AGATCAACTTGGTTTTATATATAGTATAGATATACAGGTGTCTAAGAAGAATCGACATGATTCGGGACTAAAAAAAAAAAAACAGCTAATCAAAGTAATCACTAGAATGGCTGGATTGAATGGCGAAGACTCTAAAAAACGGTTTGAGCATATCCATCGAAAAAGCGCTTTTTTTTTTTTTTTTTTAATGGGCTTTGTTGCCATGCTCACTCTACATGCTATTGACAACTTGACAAAAAAAAAAAAAAAAAAAAAAACAGCATAGAGGACCAGCCTCTTCTTTTTTATTTAAAACATCAAGAGCAATCATGGAGAAGATCAGCATGCCTGCGCACATTCTGAAAAAAAAGGGTCATGAAGGAAAAGGAGGAGGGTGGTAAATGACTTTTAGAGATCAATCCCAAGCATTGGCGGGTAATGCATGTTCAACAGGACGCTTACAATGCTTGTGTGGTTGCCTTAGGTTGTCGATGTTGTTGTTGTATAGAGTTATGGATGTTTTGATGATGTGCGTATGAGCATGAGTTGTGGCCAAAGTACATGTGTTGTGTATGTAATAATATTTTTATCTTTTGACCCTAATGACCACCATTCTTATGGATTGAGTATGCGTATGGTAAAAAAGAGATTAAATGTTTAAGGTGCAAGAGTGTTTGCATATGCATATCGCATGTTGTGCAAAGCATTGTAGATGTATACCAATTTGAAAATCCCATCGTCTTTACATCCCTCAACACCATTGGAACCGATGCGGATGATATTATAAAACGTACGATTGTATTTAAAGTATTTTATTTTAATTCAATATCTTTTCTATTGTATCCACTGTAACCTATTGTAATCCTTTCAATAGAAAGTATACCATCAACATATGCAACCACTTCTTCATCCATTCAATCCCATCCATTGTCCTGCTCTGCCCTGCCCTGCCCTGCCCTGCCCTGTTCTGCTCCTGCTCTTTGCTCTATTCTTGACAGTAAATAAACGGACAGACAGCGGTGCTACAAAGACCGAGCCATGAACAGACCAGGGTTCGTTTGTATTTCTTATTTTATTTTATTTTCTTTATTTTATTTTTTTTATTTTAAGCCAAATGGCTCGACCTTCGCCACTTTTCTTTCTCTCCCCTTCTTTTGCAACTTTCATCACCCACTTCTCCTCCTACGCTCCTATTTCTACTCTCGTTGCTCTCTCTCTCTCTCTGTCTCTCTATTCCTTTCTACTCTTCCGCCACCCTCTCATTCTTCAAAAAAAGAATTGTATCCGCAACCATCGCCCATCCCATCTCATCCTCTTCTTCCTTTATAAAGCCTCTTGATCATCTCTACTCTTCACTTCTCTCTTCTCTTTTCTCTCTACTCCAACTTACTCTCCACAATCCGACTTGATTGTCCTTCTTGATCTTGACATCTAACAGTTTTGTTTTTTCCTTTTTCATTCATTCACTCTACGTGTCCTTCTTCTCCATATTTCCACTCTTGGCATTTTTCTTTTTTAACGTTCATTCTGTGGCGTTAATGGCCGTTGCGACACTTCATTCTTCTTTATCCAAACATCCGTCCATCAGTTACATACCTTTCTTTACAGCCGTGATATCTGTCCGGTCAGCCTATTTATCCATCCTATCATCATTTCGATCATCCTTATCAGAAAGATCTCGGCCACAGCTGGTACCGTATCATTGCTATCTCAACATCCGTTCACACCTCTTGCCTTTTAAACCTGCATTATCACAGCTGGACAGATTTTAAAATTTTTTTTTCCTCCCTTTTTGAAATAATCATTGTTCAAAGCAGCCAGCTCCTCCAACACCAACAACATATAACCTGAATATCCATAGTGTCGATAGATATCCATCTTTTGTAGAATTTTTCACGTCCTTTTAGTACAGAATCATTTTTGCTCAACCTTTTTTTTTGTTTCTTTTTTGATAGCTTTTGTAGTACCATTTTCATTTGTATAGAGTTATTTCATTTTTTTTTGTTATTTCTGTCGCTCTTTGATTTCTCTTTCCCCCCTCCCCCCCCCCCAAGCAATCCTGTATCGCTCTCTGACCTCATTTCGTTTCATATACAATAACTCAAAATCCCCAGGGCCGAGGAAAAAGCGCTTTGTTGTTGTTGCTGTTTTCTAGTCCCTATTCTGACGTTTTATCTAACGTATTTTTGTGAATATCCTTCAATCCTTTGCCCTTTGTTCATCACTATAATCCTTCATCAACATACTTCAAAGAAAGTTCTCTCAATTTGAGTTTACCTTTTTTTTTTTTTTTTTTTTTTTTTTTTGATTCTCCTTTTCTTTGTATATAGTATAAGATTGAACCTTTTTTTTTTTTTTTTTTTTTTTGAGGCATTTGCTTTGTTTTGCTTTGCTTTGCTTCCCAAGACATTGAACTCACGAGACAAGTCGCGTTATATTGTTCCTTTTGAACCCGACAGAACAACAGTAAATTTCACCTGCGGGATAAAATCAGACGAAGTCTAATCGTTTTTAAGAGTCCTCAGACAGTAAACTCTACTATTTGCAAAGGTATATAGAAAGTCAAAAAAAAAAAAAAAAAAAAAAAAAAAAAGTTTCAGCATAGAACGATATGTTTGACTTGTTAATGCTGCTTCATCCATCTAACGCATGAACTCTTTCCCTATTTTCCTCTCAGCCTTTACGCAGCTTTTTTTTTTTTAAAAAAAAAACAAAAAGGGCCCTTTTGATCATTATCCCCTTTGTTTCTCTACAGTATACCTATGGAGCCACACTCCTTCCCCATTTCATCCCCTGATCGCATGTCTCCCCTTCAAAATAATACATCCAGGTCGGGGGAAGAGAGGCTCGAAACACCAACTGTTTCCTCCCAGTCGTTCCAATCCATGGAATACCCTGTTGGGTTTCAACAACAACAACAACAACAACAACAACATCAAGGACTAAAATTCAGTCCAATGTATCCTCAACAAATACTTGCGTCGTCTAACTGTAACCCGGTTCATGGCCATCCTAATTCGGATGGGATGCAGGGAGCATGGCATCCATCACCGATCAAGACAAGAAAAGAGGGGAATCATCTATATTTCCAACCCCGGTATGGACATTTCGTGCAGTCCCAGTCCTACATACCATTCCTTCCTCTGGGTAACCAACCAACATTAGCATATCCAGCGACTACACAGTCATCGCATACTTCTCCTCCCCCCCAAGGGCAATATGATTATACTGCGGCCCTCAATGCAAGTCATCAGTTCTCGCCTTACGAGGAGCTTACGAATGTGGAGAGGCCAGACAGGACAGTGAGTGAGAGCCAAGTGGTCTTGTTGGAGATGGCCGCCAACAATTTGGCGCTTACAACTCCATCCACGTCCCCCAGCATGCGTTCTTCGTCCTTCCCGCCAGAGTCAAGTACACATCCCACGTCGGAGCTGACAAACACTTCTGCAATCAAACAGAGCGGGAGCGGTAAAGGGAGACGAAGCCCAAGTAGAAACGAGGGTGTCAAGGCTAGCTCAGAGACAGATGGAGAGTCTGAGCGGGACGACAGCAGCTTTGCGGGGAGCACGAATCTCAATAGAGGATCATACGGAAAAGCCGGTATGGCCCGTGACCAATCCGCTCCCAGAGAATCTTCCGTCATCAGCTACATAGATAGTCCGACCAGTACCGCGTCGCATTCAGTTTCGCCATCAACAACTCACTCGTTGCCTTCGACGTCACCGCTTCTTCCGCCATATTTCCACTCTGCAGTCCTGCCTTCGTCGGACACACTTCCACAGACACTTTTCTTTGGTGGCGGTGTGCGTGACTTCACTGCATCGCTTCAGCAGCGCAATCTGCCAATGACCCTACAGCAGTCTGCTCAAGGATCTATCCACTCCCAGAGTCTATGGCAGCAATCAGAATTAAGCAATCACAGCGCCCCCGCAGGCTTCACAGTCCCTGTGACCTCTACAATGGCCATTAGCTCAGCCCACTCGAGCCCGGTGAGCCAAAGTGTTGCTTCGTTTGTGAGGGAAGCGACCAATTTCTCGGGTCCAGTAGCAGTACCAGGTGAAAGCCCTGGAGCTCTTTCACCGTTCCTTGGAAGTCCACACGGGCTACAGATGAACCCTGACTACTTTGCATGCAAGCCACTGCACATGGGTGAGCAAATGCAGGTGGATCCACGCTGCTTCCCACAGGGGGAGGAACAAGCCCAGGAAAATACTTTGCGGACACAACATGTTTATCAAATGCACCCATCGCAACAGATAATCAATGGTGGCCAAATACGCCAAGCAGGACAAATGTCCGGCCAGACTCTTTCCCTCCAGAGTATACAACATCAACAGCAGCTGCATCTGGAGAGAAGGGATAATCCTGAAGGGTTCTTGGGCACGCATCAGGCATTAGTAGACCAATATGGCTTGGTAGTAAACACGAACCCAGAAATGCTAGAGACTCATAGCGATGATGAGTTTGTTCTTTATTCATCAGGAAATGAGGGGAGTTCCTACGCGACAGCAAGCACGGGCTCTATTAATCAAATGCGTCCACGATCACTGACTGCCCCAAGGAGTGAGACTCCTTTGGGTTCTATTCTATCTACAGGAGCGGATGCAATCGCTCAGGAGGATAACAATCAGATGCAGTATATACATACACAGGTTCTATTCGATCCAACAGCGTATACCCTTGCTCAAAGATTATCGAACGAGGCGAGCTTTCAACAGGAGAGGCGTCTACAGCAGCAGAGAAAGCAAGAGGCCCAAGCACTCGGGACTTCAGTATCATCGTCGTCAAAGTCAACAAAACCATTGCTCCTACCAAAGACAAAACCAAAGCAAGGCTGCTCCGCTTACCCATATCCAACGTCATCTAGTGTAGATTCAACTAGCTCTAGTACGGATGGAAGCGGGAAGGATTCAAAGGGTTCATCAAAGAGCAAGAGTAGCAGTAGTGGAGGAAGGAGAAGCAAGGCATCCACGCCCGAGTCCAAAGCAACAAGGACCCTGTTTACCTGTAATGAACCCGACTGTGGGAAAACGTTTACACGGCCGTTCAATCTCCGATCCCATTTAGATACTCATGCAGGCATAAGGCCACATCGATGTATTGATTTGGTGGGAGTCGAAAATGGAGCTTGCTCATACGATTTCACGCGACGTCACGATTTGGTGCGTCATGTGAAGGCCAAGCATCGGGATGTCTATGAGGTGCTCTTAGCAACCTCTACCAGGAAAAAGGCGGCTAAAAAGACGACAGAAGAATCCACCATGGATGTGAACAATGATGATGAGCATCAACATCATTATCTTCATCATATCGATGGTGGTAGTGATACTACGGACAGTGATGCTGAAGAAGAAGATGAAGATGATGTATGAGAAAAAAAAAAAAAAAAAAAAAAAAGCGACAGATAGCATCATCCCATTTAGCACAGCATTCACCTTTTTGTCTCTTTGTCTTTTTTGTATAATATAATTTATTTATTCTGATCTTGGACAAAGGTGCATAAAGAGAGTGTTATCATGTTATCATACTATCATGTTATCAGACAAGAAATGACACATATAAAGCTCAATCAGGTATTATACGTGCATGCATAAAATATTAATATATTTTATGAATACAAAGGGAACAAGGACGGTTCCTGTTTGTAAAAAGAATGAAAAAGATTGGTTGTTATGATGCTCCCACATTAGAATCCATCAGAACATGGAATGATGATTTTAATTCCTCCAAAATCTTTTTTAGTCTAGCTAAACATGGTAGCGTAACTTGTAAAAAGTTCATATAAACCCGATCGATTCTTAATCCCAAACGCGACCGAGAGAGAGAGAGAGAGAGAGAGAGAGAGAGCAGACATGGCATGCAAAAAGAATTATTATGTCAATCATTTATTTCTTTATTTATTATGTATTATTGATCTTATTTATTTGTTAATTATTTTGGATTGTAGGATTGTAAGGATTTGTAGGCATTTAGTTTTTTTTTTTTTAAAGAGGTTTTTGTGTAATATAAGTTTGTTGTAGAAAGTCGTTCCTTCTTCTTTTATTTGTCCCTTCTTTTCTCTTTTCTTTTTTTTTTTTTTTTTTTTTTTTTCCTCTTTACTCCTTTCTACTCCTTTAACTTTCTTTTCTCCATATTATATCCCATCTACCCATCTAACTGCGGTTGATAATTTTCACAACGTTTTCACACACACACACAGACATCTTCCCTTCACCCCCTTTGGATTATATCTGTTTGAATATACCTTCTCTTCTCCTTTTTCCTTTTCCTTTTTTTTTTTTTTTTTTTTTTTACTGCAAACAAACAAACAAAAAGTCAACATGCGTTTTACCGGTACAACCATCCTTTCAGTCCTTGGTAAGCAGGAAAATAAAAATAAAAAAAATAATAATAACGCGTTTTTGTTATTTATGCCTTTTACAATGCATGTGTCACACGACGTAATCTGCGATCTCATCTTTACCCATCTCTTGGAGATGGAGGGGGGGGGGGAGGGGACAGAAGGTCGGAAAGAGAAAAGAGAAGGAGGAAAGAGAGAGTGAGCACGGACCTTGAAGCTGGCTTGTGCGTCAATTCATTGTCACACCCCATCACATCACTAATCATTATTATTATTATTATTATTATTATTATTATTATTATTGCTTTTTTGTACTCCCTCCTATCTTCACTTTCCCACTTCTTCACTTCTTCGCTTCTGCAGCACTCCCTGCGATCGCCGTCAATGCTCAAAGCGCGACATATGCAGACTTTGTGACATCTTGTCAAACCCCCGGCCAGGTTGCTCTTACCTATGTAAGTCTAAAGAAAAGAAAAGAAAAGAAAAGAAAAGAAAGTTTAAAAGTTATAATCATGTCAATTTTCTAAAACAAAAAAAAAAAAAAAAAAAAAAAAAAAAATACATACCTCCTTTTTATAGAGCGAAGGACCTTCGGAAGCAACGATGGAGATGCTTCAGACGCTTAAAGAAGCTCAAGCAAGAGTCACGTTCTTTGCGAATGCCACATGGTTGCAATACATGCAATATGCTGGAGTGACCCGCCATGCGTATTTGGATGGTCATCTGATCGGTATGACCTACCGTCTCCCCTCCGACAGCTCCTCGACCTTGACAGATGATCAGATCAAGAACGATATCGCAAAGAACTCGCGTACGATCCAAGACCTGATTGGAGTGTACCCCAAATACATGAAGATCCACGAGTCGAACCTGAAGGATTCAAGGCTGTTGAGCCTGGTCAAGACCATGGGTTACAGTCTGGTGGGCTTCAACATGGATGAGTACGATTACAAGTACACGACACTGGAGACAGCGGGTCAGATCGCAGAGGTTTACAACTCCATGTTTTCGAAACAGATGGATGCGTACGGTCGTAAGGCCTCGTATGTGGTTGCTGGGTATGATGTGCCCTCGACAGGCGCAGCAGCGGCGTTGCCCAAGGTTGTGAATACGATCAATACACACGGGTATGATATGGTTCGTCTGGATGGATGTGTGAATGACAAGACGCCATACAAGAAGGATCCGATTACCAATGAAGGCTATATGGGGGATGAACAATCCTTTGGTGGACCAAAATACAAGCATGGACAGGTCACTGTCAAGGTCTCGAACGGTGCACCCGGTCCAAAGCCAAACAACAACAATAATAATAACGGCCACAACGGCGGCAATGCCGCTGGTGGCACTAATAATGATAACAAGGATCTGCAAGGTGGAGCTGGACCGAGCAAGAACGTGAATAACAACAGTGGACCACTCAAGCCCTCTGGTGTCTCCCGAATGACTGTCGCAGCCTCGTCCACCCTCGCTGTTGTCATCCCAGCAATGGTTTATTCTTTGTTCTTTTAAAGCTTCCCTCCCTTTTCCTTTCTTTTTTAAAGTAGATGAATCCCCTCTTTTTTTTTATTTTTTTATTTTTTTTTTCTGTCTTCAAGAAACTTTCCAATGCCTAGTAATTCTCTAATTCAGAAAAAATAAAAAAATTAAATAAAAAATGAGCCAAGCCAGATCGAGATCAATTTCTTTAATTTTGTTTTGTTTTGTTTGATAACAGATCTATTCTGCAATTTGCTATTTGCTGGGAATATGTGGGAAATAAAAATGACGGACACGGAGGATGATGACTCTTTTTAATCTCTCTCTCTCTCTCTCTCTCTCTCCATAACTTTATAACTCTAACTCCAACTTCATCAACTTCAACTCCAACTTCAACTTTCCACTCTCTTTCTCTCTCTCTCTCTCTCTCTCTCTTTTCCTCTTCCTTTTTTTTTTTTTTTTTTTTTTTTTTGAAATTCAATTCATCCATTGAATTCATTTATTCACATTCAGTTTCATTCTCATTTGGGTTGTTCATTCAATGAAGATCACTGACAAGATTGCACAGAAGCAGGCCGAGGGCAAGCCCTTCTACTCGTTCGAATACTTTCCTCCAAAAACTGCACAGGTATCAAAGAACAAACAAAAAGCCAAATATCTGTTGCCTTGTTTACCATGCTTGATGTCTTTAAACATAATATTCACTTCTGGATCTTTTTTTTTTCTTTTTTATTTCTTTCTTTGTTGTTACGTTTATCTGGATCAATTGAAATCTCTATCTATCTTCTATTCCTCCCACTATCAATGTCTTCTTCTTCTCTGGCATTGTTGTGGACTTCTTGATGGGAACATTCTCTTTATTCTCTTTCAATTATTATATTTTTAGGGTCTATCCAATTTGTATGATCGTATTGGACGCATGCAAGCATTGTCACCCATGTTTGTGACTTGCACATGGGGTGCTGGAGGCTCTACATTTGAAAAGACCACGGAGCTGACTGCGGTAGCACAGACTGTCCACGGACTTGATACATGCATGCATCTGACCTGTACCAACATGGACCGTGGCAAAGTGGACGAAGCATTGGCTGTAAGTCGAAGAAGAAGCTAAAAAGTTGAAGATTGAAGATTGAAGAGAAAGGAAAACATACATTGATATTTATATTTATATCTAGAAAAATATCTTTCGGCCGGCTCACTCATCTTGTCATTTTTAAATGTGCTTTGCCTAATTAACTATTAGGAGGCCAAGAGGAATGGGATCCAAAATATCCTGGCTCTTCGAGGCGATCCACCGCGAGGACAGGAATATTGGACACAGGTGGATGATACATTTGTACATGCCATTGACCTTGTTCGGTATATCCGGCAACAATATGGGGATTACTTTTGCATCGGAGTAGCAGGTTTGTTTCCCCACTTTGATTCGTTAGAGATGGATGGCGAATTATGAAAAAGATGGAAAGTAACAAAACCTTCTTTTCGTGACCACTAAAAAAAAAAAAAAAAAAAAAAAAATACGACATGTGGAAAATTACCTTTCCTACCCTACTTCTCTTCACGGTTCAGGTTATCCTGAGGGACACATGGATAATACAACATTTAGCAGTGAAGAGGAAATCGGATTTTTAAAACAAAAGATCGAGGCAGGAGCAGACTTTGTGTTGACACAGTTGTTCTATGATGTGGACGGGTTCTTGGCTTGGGAAAAACAGTGTCGATCTCTTGGGATCACATGTCCTATCATCCCTGGTATCATGCCCATTCAATCCTACAACGGTTTCAGAAGAATCACTAGTCTGGCAAAAGTCCGTATCCCCACCGAAGTTGCTCAGGCCTTGGATCCTATCAAGGTATGGGGCAATTGAGAAAAAAAAAAAAAAAGAAAAAGAAAAAGAAAAAGAAAAAGCGATTAAGAGTATGAAGAAAACGATATACTGCAGGTTCTAAATGATGGTTTTCTTTTCTTTTTCTTTTCTTTTTTTTTTTTTTTTTTTTTTTTTTTTAAAAAAAAAAATTATTCAATTATTCAACCATGTAATACTTATTGTTGAGAAAATCCAGAATGACGACCAAAAAGTCAAGGACTATGGCGTTGAGTTGGCAGCTTCAATTATTGAACGTTTGTTGAATGCGGGCATTTCAGGCTTTCATATTTGTACACTCAATCTGGAAAAATCTGTTCGTCTCATCCTTGAGCGTATCGGACTCGTCCCCAAAGCGTCGACATGGAAGCAACAGCAACAACATCTCACCAATGAGCCAACACATGTCAATATTAACTCCCAGGAAGGTCCTATAGTAGGCATCGACAGCACAGACGCTAATTTGAACCCAATGATCTGGACACCAACAAAGGATCTCACCGGACGCTCGGAATCGTGGGATGATTTCCCTAATGGCCGTTGGGGAGATGCTCGTTCGCCAGCTTTTGGTGATCTGGATGGATACGGCGCATCTTTGAAAGTGGAGCCACGAAAGGCACTCGAGATGTGGAAGGAACCCAAGAATACAGAGGACATCAGTCAGTTGTTTGTTCAGTTTATTCAGGGAAAAATTCCCTTGTTGCCTTGGTCGGAGGGGTCACCATTGCCAGAGACCGAGGCAATTCAATCCCGATTGGTGGCTTGTAACGAGCGCGGATTATGGACTGTCGGATCACAGCCTGCTGTCAATGGCAAACCAAGCACGGACCCTTTGTTTGGATGGGGTCCCAAGGGAGGTTATGTTTATCAAAAGGCGTTTTTGGAATTGTTTGTTGGGCCCAATGAAGTTGAGGGAATCGTCCAAAGGCTGAGGACAGTCTCACCCTGGATCACATTCTTTGCAGCCAGTCGCGATGGTGAAGTGCTGACCAACACCACAGGGGATGTTCAGGAAGAGCAGCGAAAGATTGCAGAGTTGAAGAAGGTTTGTGGAAAGAAACAAGCAAGTGAAACACTCAAGGTCCCTGGTAGCAGTAGTGCTGGTGTTAGAGGGCCCAATAGCTCTTCATCTGCAACTACTGATGGCACTGCGAGTCCAACGGAGACACCTGTTTGCGCAACACCCTTCACTAACAAGTTGGGTGAGCTGGTAGAGGATTCAAATGCAGTGACCTGGGGTGTGTTCCCAGGCAAGGAAATCATCCAACCTACAGTGATTGAGAAGGTTTCTTTCCTGGCCTGGCGCGATGAAGCATTCGAGATCTGGCGTGAGTGGGAACAACTGTACCCAAAGGGATCAGAGTCACGGAAGCTGTTACATCAGATTGGACACGATTACTGGCTCTTGAATGTGGTTCATAATGATTTCCGGGATGAGAACGGTATCTGGGATATTATCCTCTCATAAAGAAAAAAAATAAGAAAAATAAGAAAATAAGAATTTATATAAAAAATAAAAGAGTAAAGAAAAGAGTGTTATTGCCGATGTTCCAATGGACGATGTACTCAGGATGATCGTGGGGCTAACCGATTATTCGGTTAATAACCAGTCTTTACCAGTTAAAGTGGTTAATTTTTGCCATATCAGGTGCACCTAAACCGATTTTTTTTTTTTTCTTTTTTCTTTTTTCTTTTTAACCATGGTCAGAATTAGTCGGTTAAAATCGCTGCCGCCCATGTTATAGTTCCAGACAATACCCGAGGCTGGCAAGACTTCATCTGAAGCTTTGATTGAATTCAAACGTCGTTCTGCAACCAAAGTTCAAAAAATGATTCGTTAAATTGAGCAAGGATTATGGCCTTGGTGCTGGGACACTGCCTTGAAAATGATCTTTCGCAGCCTTCAACTTCATTTGGACTTGCTTTCTTTGTGGGAATTCAGTTTTTTTTTTTTTTTTTTTATTTCTTTTTTTTTTCTGGGCTTCTTCAAGAGCATCAAAAGTCGAATACAAATTACAATATGGTCAGTTTCGGGCACAAGCATATCCCGGTTGAAGCTTGAATTCGTGTTCTCATTGATCAACAGGAAAAAAGGCCCAATGGCTGATATTCCAGCTGAAGCAAAATGGCATGAGAGAGCTTGAATAAAAATTCAACTTTGGTCTCATAGACGACTCCTTTTTGTGAAGAAACTCCATCTGAGATGCCACTGTTTCCCTTTTGCTATATACAAAGCCCTTTAAATCCCCTTTTGAACTACCCGATATTTACGATATTATACGTCTCATATACTTTTCTTTCTTTGAAAGATTCAGGTTCAATATAATACTTTACTTAGAGCCAACATGATAACTTCCACTTATATTACCAATAGTAACATGGCTGAGTGCCTTCTTAACACATATCTTTTAAAGGCTAGGATTAGGTGAAGAATGATATGGATGGGAACAGCGAGTCAAAATTTATTTTTAGCAAGGGCATAAATGAAATTACTTGGGCCGTAAAACGGGCAAATTTGCCCATTTAGCATTCATTAGCCACCTATACATGGGGCAGGCCAGATCCAGTTCTCTGTGATTTTATTAACAGAAAACAACTGACCATTGGCTTCTTGTCACCCATACGAGGCCGCTGAGGGAAGCTGCTTGCATGGTCCCCGGACTTCGATACATCGGCATATGAGGATCCTTCCCTCATCCCAGAAGGGTTCAGTCAGTCCTTTCGTGATGAGTCTCACACAAGAGATATTTGAGATGGGTTGGACGCAAGAAGTAAATCACATTCCGGTGCAAGGTTCCCTGCACATGCCCAACCCCGAGCAAATCTCAAACCACGACCGATGCTATGACAGCTACAGGCAGGTAGTGAGAGCTAAAGAGAGGGGGAAAAAAAATAAAAAAAGAGAGGAAGCAACTGCAGAGTTATCTAAACAGGATAATAAAGAATTGATAGACGTGCGGGAGGGATTGGATCGTATTATGCTTGATACGAGTATTTTGCGAACTCCATCTTAAGGAAAGGCAAACAAAATCAGTCTTGAAGTGTAGTCTATAAAGCCAGCCATTGTTTTAGATGATTTAGCGATGACACAATACATTAAAAATGGTGGCACAAAAAGTTTCAATTGGTGCATCGCATTGAAATTTCTTTCCCCCTCACTCTCATTTCTCTCATTCCCATTCTCATTTCCCATTTCCATTCACACGGGTACCATGGCAAACACCTATAGGTTTGGTCCGCATATCATCCCAGCTAGCCAAATCTTCTTCAGGTCGAAGTACAGTCTAGGACTTGTCAACCTGAAGCCAATTCTTCCGTAAGAGTGATTTTTTTTTTTTTTTTTTATTTTTTTTTTATTTTTAAAAAAAGCAGGAATAAAATAAAAATTTTGTCCAAGCAATAACGCGTCAGGAAAGCACCACAGCGCCATAACAATATTGCATTGTGATTATTATATTGTATATAACAGGGTCTCATACCTTGCTAATAACTTTTTTTTTTTTTTTTTTTTCTTGTTTTGTTTTTTGATCTTAGTGGCCGTAAGTTACTCCTTTAATTATCATGTATGCTTTCAAATCAAGAAAACCAAATTACAATGCATATTTATTTCTAATTATTAGATGTTTTGGTGATCAGCCGTCGCAGTGTGCCTCGATTCTTGGATTTGAATGCTGATGAGGTTAGTCAAACAGGAGGAGGAGGAGGAAAAAGGGTATACAAGTTTAAAGAAGATAAAGGTTTTTTTTATTTATTTATTTTATTTTCTGACTTTGGATTTTTTTTTTCTTAATTCTCCCATGATGCCTAATCAAGGTTAGTGACATGTTCCAGTCTGCCCAGCGTATTGGTAAGGTCATTGAGAAGGAGTATAATAGTACCTCTTTGACGATCGCATGCCAAGTAAGTCCTTTTTCTGAAAACAATATTTAAATAGTAGTAAAAACATTAGAAGAAAAAGATGTTTCTGATTAATTAATATCAACGCACTGGTCCTTTTCATTGATATACTTGATATACTTGATATGCTATTTTGCAGGACGGGCCACATGGTAAGAACGGGAAATGCTTTCTGTAGTCTCTTAATGAGGATTTTTTCCTTTTTTTTTTTTTTCTCCTTCTTCAAAGTAATAACCCTTGACAATAATTAATCTATTGTATAACTAATATTTTTATCTTTAATTTTTTTTTAGCCGGACAATCTGTTCCTCATGTCCACGTTCATATTATCCCTCGACGGCTAGGGGATTTTGGCAATAACGATGATATATACGATGAGATTGCTCGTAATACTAAGGAGTATTTAACAAAAGACTCGGATTCAGTCGATATAGTAGGCATTGGAGCAGCATTGGCAGCACCTCCAGAGAAGAAAGGAGTGGATTTTGATGAACGGAAACCTCGATCTGAACAAGATATGGCCCAAGAAGCCACGCGATTGGCCGAATTATTGGATCAACACCAGCTGTCATAAATTATATAATAGAGTTGCTTTTTTTTTTTTTTTTTTTAGGAGTCAACTTGAGAAAAATATAAAGGCCCATTTCCTCATATTAACAATGCTGGCTATTCTATTCAATAAGGCACGACTCAATTGCCTTTTACATGGCGATGACGCTTATTCAATATAAAAACAAATGCTAATGAGGAATTGTAGAAGAACATGAGGATCCTCAACAAGGAGACAGTTTGAATTTCAAAAACTCAATAGATTTAAAGAAGCATCATGGCCCACAATTAGACTCTATCCAGCAATGGAATAGCTTTTTTTTTTTTTATATAAATATATTTTCATTTTTTAACTTTCCTCAAAAATATTAAATACGTCTTGGATCCATGGTCCATGTGCGTGGAGCCATACATGCACTTTGTTGGTTGCATATGCCCGATTATTTGATTATTAGATTATACTATCCATGGATCGATATTTATGCCATGCATGGTATTTACGATATCCATCTTATTCTCTATATCGTCCTAGTCCAAGCTGTTGGCCCAGAAGTAGAACATTTCCAATGGCCTCAATTCGCATTGCGGTAACTGATTTCAGATCGTTTTTGTCATAGTGCTGCGCCACTTACTTTATCAGAGTAGAAACACTCTTATATCCTGTTTCAGAACTTTTGCAATTTCAAATCAACATATATTTTTTAAGGAAAATAGCAACAACAGCAAAAATAACCCCCCCCCCCCTCCCCGCCACCCTCAATCGAGCCTCATCAGGCAATTGGATCCATCCATTCTTTACTTTTTTTTTTTTTTTTTTTTTTTTTTTTTTGAAGGGTTTAATGATCTAAATTGGCTTATTTTGGTGACTAAATGGAAGACACCGTAGCCTGATATTTTAATGATATTCTGATTCGATCACTGTCCACAGATTGAATGGTAGATCTAAACTCCTCTGCAGTACTTTATTTGGACTGAACTGTATTCCTTAGCTACTATAATATTATTTCCAGGATCAAATCACTCATATAAATGTGAGTACAGGTCCAAGTCAGTATCAAGGTCCAAACCGGCGTTAACCTCATTTGCCTCTATCATTGCGACGCGCCCTTCATTCTCAATTGAGTTGTATCTCAAATACAGCTTTTTTAAAGTCCTATTAATCTTGAGCGCCTCAGACAGTGCCACAGCTCCTCCATTCCCAATTGGGTTGTTATCCAGGTCCAAGGAGGTCAAAGTGCTATTAGTCTTGAGTGCCTCTGACAGTGCAAGAGCCCCCTCCTTCTCAATTGCGTTACAATACAAGTTTAAAGTCGTCAAAGTACAGTTTGTCTTGAGTGCCTCTGATAGTGCAAGAGCTCCTTCATCCCCAGCTGAGTTGTTCGTCAAATCCAATGTAGTCAAAGTCCAGTTAGTCTTGAGTGCTCTTGACAGCGCCAGGACTCCTTCCTTCTTAATTGAGTTGCTACTCAAGTTCAGGGAGGTCAAAGTCCTCCTAGCCTTGAGTGCCTCTGATAGTGCAAGAGCCCCTTCATCCCCAATGGAGTTGTATCTCAAGTCTAGAGCAGTTAAAGTGGTGTTAGCCTTGAGGGCCTCTGACAACGCCACAGCTCCTTCTTTCCTAATTGAGTTGGAACTCAAGTCCAAGGAGACCAAAGTAGAATTGGCCTTGAGTGCCTCTGACAGTGCAAGAACTCCTTCTTCCCCAATCGAGTTGCTTCCCAAGTCCAGAGTGGTCAAAGCAGTGTTAGTCTTGAGTGCCTCTGATAGCGCAAGAGCTCCTCCGTGCCCAATTGGGTTGTAATTCAAGTTCAAGGAGACCAAAGTGAGGTTAGCCTTGAGTGCCTCCGACAGTGAAAGAGCCCCTTCAGCCCCAATTGAGTTGCCTCCCAAGTTCAAATTGGTCAAAGTCCAGTTAGCCTTGAGTGCCTTCGATAGTGCAAGAGCCCCTTCCTTTCCAATTGAGGCATGATTCAAGTTCAAGGAGGTCAAAGTCGTATTGGCCTTGAGCGCCTCTGAGATTGCACATGCGCCTTCCTCCCCGATTGGTTTGGAACTAAAATTTAAAGTAGTTAAGGTTGTGTTGATCTTCGATAGCAACAAAGCTCCTTCCTTTCCAAGTGGGCCGAAGTCCAAGTCTAAATTGAGCAAAGTTCTATTAACCTTGAGCGCCTCTAATAGTGCAAGAGCTCCTTCCTTCCCGATTGAATTGCCCATCAAATCCAATGTGGTCAAAGTCTTATTAGTCTTGAGCGCCTCTGACAGTGCCAGGGCTCCCCCATTGCCAATTGAGTTATCCCTCAAGTCCAAGGAGGTCAATGCTGGGTCAGCCTTGAGTGATTTTAAAAGCACTCGAAGTTCAGTAGTAGCCATCTTTCGAGGCCTCAGCCTAACGGATAAATCCTTAAGGTATGGTGATCTTTTGGGTCGTAGATTGGAAAGTTCTATGAGATTCGGGGGTAGAACAATGTCAATTGTCCTTAAGTTGATAAGCTCCATAATGCGAACAAGTATTTCATATCGCGTGGATGTTGAAAGCAATTTCCTGGTGGTGCTTTCTTGGAATTCTCCGAATTTAAGGTGAAGGGCTGATACGCTTGATCTTTTTATCACTTCTTCGAATGCTTCAAGATCAGCTTTGGTCCAGCTCCAGCTGAAGGTGATATCCAACTCGTAAACACGTCTTGCTTTGGCTAACGCATCAAAGAATTCTCCAGCTGTAGTTCTAGACTTTAATGTAATAATCACTTTGCCGAGGTGCGAGTCATACTCGCCACCATTCCACTGCATTGTCTTTTCAAACGCCCTCTGTTCTTCTTCTCTATACGTCGAACGATAGTGATCAAGACAGACCCATTTGACATAGCCTGCTTCCGTCGTGATCCTGTACAAGTTGCCAAGTTGTTTGCCTTCGTCGGTAGTTTGAAGAAATGTATTTAGCTGTCGGAGATCAGCTCCTTCGAGTGCCTCACAGTTATCGATTGTGTTGATCTTGCTCAAGGCCGAATGCTCATCAGAGATTGCCTCCATATATTTGATTGAAGAATCAATAGCGGCACTGAAGTCCGAGGCTGGCGCGAGAGGATTAGCCAAGGGTGCCCCTATCTTGAGGCACTGTAAAAGGATGAACATGTACCTTCCATACTTGCGGAAGAACTCTGTGCTGTTTCGGATCTCATATCCTTCATGTTTGGCAATATGGATTTCGTTCCGTCTGCTTTTGCTTGCATCCACGGTGTGTTCTCCACATTCACATAGGAAATATAGGCGGACCTTGCTTCTCAGGGCATTCATTGGGTCCCACTTGGTGGTGTCGACAGGCAAGACTATAAAGAGTCGAGGGATCGGATATTCGTGTAGCTCGAAGTTCTGAATGAGGATAGCATTAGCGTGCTTTTGAAGGATGGCGAGTCTGTCTAAGGCCTGATGTTGCAGCTTAAGCATTTCATCGTCCTTCGCCTTCGCCTCCTGTTGCAGCTTAAACATTTCCATCTGCATTTTAAGCATTTCGTCGTTCTTCTTCTTGGCTTCCTGTTGCAGTCTAAGTATCTCCGATTGTAGCTTAAGCACTTCGTCACTCTTTTTATCGATCTTTTGCAGCAGCTGTATACCCTTTTCAGAGCTGATCATATCGGTTTGTCCATTATTACGAGTAGTGAGGGATGAATTGAAAGGTGGGGTTGTCGTATTTGATAATGCTAAAGGAAGGTCTTGAGAGGCCAGATTTGTCGACTTCTCCAGGGAAGGTAAATCGGTGGCGGTGCTTGAGTTGTCGAACTGCGGTACCCATGTGATGACGTCCAGGATCTTGCCAGGATAGAACGCAATGCGTGGGGGTTCGATTCTAATTGAACAAAAGAAAGAGACCATACCCAATTGAGTTTTTCACTTTTTTTTTTTTTTTTTTTTTTTTTTCTTTCAGGAAAGTTGATAAGACAGACACATTAGGCACAGTTATAAAATACTACTACCTGTTGCCATCAGAGTCTTCAAGGAATGGGATGGGATGTCCATTCAACTTGAAGCGCAATGCATCTGGAAACACGTCTTGAATGTCTCTCAACTTTACATAAGATGACGAGCTGCCATTACTTGCAGAGGTGGAGGGAGTTCTGACACAAACTTCTTCAATGATGCCAGCATTTTGAAATCTTTGATATCGTTGAGTCATCATGGAGGTAATTTGATGGATGATGATGAAAAGGATGAAAGGATGAAACAGATGAAAAGACTCCTTCCATTTTATGGGTGCATGAGATGCATTGACCCTTTTTTTTTTTTTTTTTTTTTTTTTTTTTTTTCCGCAGGATAGGTCTTTGTCTAGATGAATAGTCTCTTGTGATTAGATGGATCCTTCTGTCAGAGCTGGCCACTTTGTTGTACATACAGCTAGCAAGAAAGACAGTTTGGTTCAGAAAAACAAAGATCTGAAATGGATATGAAAAGAAGCATTCACTTCAGACCCATTTCATGCAATGCCAACCATAACCACATTGACCTCTTGAACAAAAAGTGAATACATTCATTCTTGACTGATGAAGTTTGTTGCAAGCATTGCAATAAAGCTGCTCAAGTGGCTGAAGATACTTTCCTCCGTTTAGAGTTCAATCAGACCCTGAAAACGATGGTAGGCCCTGAAATGGAATGCAAATACACCATTCCCTGTTGTAGAAATGGAAAGAAAGTCGCCTTTATCCACAAATGAAGGGACGGAGGTCTGAAAGGATAGTGTCTGAATGCAAAGGGATCCCTTTACCCTTTCTAAAAAGATGTTGCATTGACTGGCAAGTAAGAAATAAGGTATTAGCAGTATATCCATACTCAAAACCAAAATACACTGTAATGTTGATAGGATAATATCATCCTCATATATTCTTCTCTCACCAGTCGACTTTGCTGGTGCTTTTTTTTTTTTTTTTTTTTTTTAACTTCAATTTTGAGGTCAGGTACATTAGCATTTAGTACAATCATGCCTTTGAACACGCTAAACATAGGCCCATCTGTTTACAAAGCAGAAAAGCTCTTGTTTTATTGTTGCTAATGTTTTTTTTTTTTTTGTGTTGTTATTGTTGTTAAGAAAGCAGTGTTGGATTAATGAGCGTATCTGAGTATCAGAAGAGAACAAAAAAGACAAAGACAAAGGAGAGGTTGGTGGAAATATTACTGGTGTACTAGTGTAACTGGTGAACAAACGACAGTTCGAATGTCACTATAAGCGCCACCAAATAATTAGTGGCGTTTGCCTTCATGCCACTATAAATTTATCAGGGGAGGAGAGCCTTATTTATGTAATGTTACGCGTTCTTTAGGATCAAATAATCACCCGCTTGATGCTGACATAGTTTGTAGATAAGGATGTTATATGGCGACAGTAAAGGGAGTTGATATCAAGGCTGAGAACCAAAAGCTGGCATACTTTGCATTCCTCTATTGCATAAACATTAAGACTGGTTACCCGCCTGTAGAGCTCAGTGTTACAATACAATACTAATAACCTTTACGGCAACACTGGTTCAAGTTGTCCATAAAAAAAAAGAAAAGAAAATTACGAGGACAGAGATAATACGACTTTTACAGCCGTAAACATCCATGATTTGTCAGTCTGATGCATTTTTTTTTTTATTTTTTTATTTTTTTAATTTTCCTCAATAAATATCATCTTGGGCCTATGGTCCGTGCGCATTGGACTATATTTATTTGACTATACCTGCTTGATTTTTTTTTTTATTAGTCAATGTCATTCAGAAAACGATGTTTATGGATGTTTACGATGTCAATCTTATTCTGTGTACGATTGTGATGCACGTTGTTGACCTTGGAAGAAAACCCATCCAACGAGCTCAAATCCCTTTATGGTACTTTCAATATCAAGCCCCTCACAGTATTGCACCTCTTACTTTACCAAAGTAGGAGTGCTCTAGTTTTCTGTTCCAGTGCTTGTCAAGTGCTTCTGCGGCTTCATAGGTTTTTTAAGGGAACAAATACATTTAATATATTTTTTTTGAACCTCATTAGTCAATCAAATCCATTATTTACCTTTTTTTATTTTTTATTGTTCCCTTTTTTGAAGGGTGAAATGGTCCATATTGACTTATTTTGGTGTTGGGTGGTAGGAGTCGTATCCAGGTCTCCTATTGGAGCTTCGGTCCAACCGCTCTTCATAGCTTGAACAATAAGGCTAAAATCCCCTACAAAGCTTGGATCCTCTTGCATCTAAAGTCGCTTCAGCTTGTAACTCTGTAGAAGCAGATAAGACAGAGATGTCTCCTTTATGAAAAAAGTAAGAGCAGCTTTTGTTCAGACAAAAACACAAGACAGATCACTTTCTCTGCGATGATTTTTTTTTTTTTTTTTTTTTTTTGCTAATTTGTCTCTTCTCTTCTGCTCAGTCCAGCTGTATAGGAAAGAGTTCCTAGTGAAGCTAACATGGTTTATCAAAAACATTCTCAGCTAGAGAGAGAAGGAAAGAGAAAGAGAGAGGGGTATTTATAATTCATTCGGATGTACCACACTTAGAAGAGCGATTCGCGTAAATAGTTCTCCATATTTGGATCTATGCGGTCTGTGGAAGCATTTGCACGGCGCTTGGAAACGCGACAAAAAAAAAGGAAATGACTAGAAGGAAGCTATGTGGAAGAATAAAGCTGGGGACGGTTATGAAGTTTACGCTGCGCTCATCCGCACCTGCAAGTCCTCAAAAAGCGTCATTTTTATACTCTGGTTATATGAAAACCTACTGAATTTACCAATGAAAATGGTTTTTTTTTTTTTTTTTTTTTTTTTTTTTATTTCATTTTTGACTATTACAGTAAATATCTATATTTATGGGTTTTCAAGAGTACTGGAGTAAGGAAAAGCATCGGTAATGATGGGGAGAAGGAGTCATAGAGGCATGTGAAGTAAACGAGATGTATCTGCCTTGCGGCAGCCAAGCGTTCATAATGATATTGCTTTTGATCCTTCGATGTCGGTTCTTCCTATCATACTGGAGCAGAAATCAGTAAGCGTTGGATTGTTCACCCACTAATAGGGAACGTGAGCTGTGTTTAGACTGCCGTAAGGCAGCTTAATATTATTCGTCTGATGAAATGTTGTTGCATTAGTAGTACGAGAGGAACCGTTCATTCGGATAAATGGTATTTGGTCCTGCCTGGCCAGGCAGTAGCCCGAAGCTAATATCCGTTGGATTATGGCTGAACGCCTCTAAGTCGGGATCCGTGCTAGAGCGCGGCGGTTACTGCCTTTTCTGACAATTAGTTGAATACAAATAGTGCTTCGGCTCCTGAATCATGCTACGCGGAGCCAATATCCAGGGCTAAAAGTCTTGTGTGGTGCCTGCCAATGTTAATTTCCAATATTGGAAGATATATATCCATTGCAAGCGAGTTTAAAGCAGTGCTGCACTATAAGTCGTAGTGTAGCCTTGCCGCTACAGATTTGTCTCAAAGAACAAACATTTCTCTCTCCTTGTTACTTTACTTTGTATTATTGTAAACTGGAAGGGGTGGCTCAAGGAGCAGGCTATGGTAACTATGAAAGTGATGAATAAAGTTATGGGTATCGATTATGGTGATTCAGGATCGCTTTTACAAGATCTCGGAGAGTATTTTTTTTGCGACCTTCAAATTCTTGTTAGAAATCGCTTTGGAGAACTCATTCGAAAGGTCTGAAAGAACTTTCTCTGCCTCTTCATTGCCAGTGACAACAAGTTCTCTACTGCCCGGAAAAAGACCAAGCAGTCTCCTTGTAATATTTGCAGCCTCTGAGTGGTCGTCTTGCTGCGGTTCTTCAATGTCACAAAAATGCAGAGTAATCTTGGCCTCCTTGTTTTGCCTTGCCCTTATTGCAAGGCTCCGAAAGACAAGACTAAGAGGTACCTTGTACTGCGAGAGTGAGAAAATGGTAACAGGCGTTAAGTAGAGTGAGCCATATCCCAGCAATGCTTCCCGACGTGCTGTATAGGTGGTAGGATGACCAAACCCACTTCTTACTTGTGCGAGGCCAAGGATGTCACTTGAGAGCAATCCTGGATCTTGAACTTCGTTTTTAATGAACATTTTAGTTGATCGATCCACCTTGAATGCAGCACATCGATTGGGACCTACAAAAGCGAATGTTTGGTTTCCCTGAGACTTGTCGTTGTTTTTGTATAAACCTGAGGTAATAAGATAATTGCAGGCTCTTGCTCCAATAACAAGTTTATTGCGTTTGTATCGGTCGTGGACTAAAGTAATCTTGATTCTTGCTTTGTATTGTGTCGCTTCAGAATCAATGGGGATACTGGATGGGGAAGCATTTTCAGACTCTGCATGTGGGTCGCTTATTGTATCTCGAGCATATACCTCAGCACAAAGGATTTTTAAGGTACTTTTTCCCGTTTGCAAAATAGCACCGACAACTCGCCTCAACCCATTGATTCCACCGGACTCAATCTCGGACATGTGCTCTACAGTTATTTCTCGATGGGTTGTGAATATATCGTCATTTTCCACGGAATGGTAACCGTCGGAAGGATTTATTTCTGAGATAATATATTCAGGCTTGAGGGCTTTTCGGAAAAAATCGAGCGACTGTAGCGGAAATATCCCTGCTTCCAATCCTCCTTTGGAGCAGATTTTGAATACACCCGCTTGCATTGATCCTACAGTCGCCTCGAACATTTTAGGTGGCACATCCCCACGAATCCTCTTTAAAAGCTTTTGATCCTCCATGTGGTCTTTCACTCGTTTCCTTTGACATGTTCCTTCGGATATTCCAGACTTAATGCTTTCATTGTCAGTATTTTCACTTTCAGTTAGATCATCCTCGGAAGAGACTTGTGTAAGGCTTTGCTTATCTGCTGTTAGTGTATTCTCTTGAAAAACCTGCGTACAGTCATATGCAACTGCGGTGTCCACACACTGCTTTGAGCCATCATTTGTGAGACCAGTTGTCCCATGCTCCATTTCATCCCGCACGACGCACACATCGACCGCATTAGCAGATTTGGAGTGGATTTTCATGAAGTGCCTTCGAGCTTTTTTCTTAGAAATCGTACATAAACAGACAGGACAAACCACGCGATCCCCCTTGTAGCTTCCTTTGGGAACATTATCAAATACAATCTCTTTGTCCCCAATGTGAATTTCCATGGTACAATGTCTTCTAATGCAAAAAAAAAAAAAAAAAAAAAAAAAATTAAAAAAACATTGCCTGCATCCGGACAAACAACAGGAATTGAGAGGTTACAGGGGACACCATACTAAAAAACATAAGAGGGGACACCATACTAAAAAACATAAGAGGGGACACCATACTAAAAAACATAAGAGGGGACACCATACTAAAAAACATAAGAGGGGACACCATACTAAAAAACATAAGAGGGGACACCATACTAAAAAACATAAGAGGGGACACCATACTAAAAAACATAAGAGGGGACACCATACTAAAAAACATAAGAGGGGACACCATACTAAAAAACATAAGAGGGGACACCATACTAAAAAACATAAGAGGGGACACCATACTAAAAAACATAAGAGGGGACACCATACTAAAAAACATAAGAGGGGACACCATACTAAAAAACATAAGAGGGGACACCATACTAAAAAACATAAGAGGGGACACCATACTAAAAAACATAAGAGGGGACACCATACTAAAAAACATAAGAGGGGACACCATACTAAAAAACATAAGAGGGGACACCATACTAAAAAACATAAGAGGGGACACCATACTAAAAAACATAAGAGGGGACACCATACTAAAAAACATAAGAGGGGACACCATACTAAAAAACATAAGAGGGGACACCATACTAAAAAACATAAGAGGGGACACCATACTAAAAAACATAAGAGGGGACACCATACTAAAAAACATAAGAGGGGACACCATACTAAAAAACATAAGAGGGGACACCATACTAAAAAACATAAGAGGGGACACCATACTAAATACAGACCGACCAGACAACAGACAGCACTACAGCACAGCAGGCAGTGCAGAAGGGAACATGCGGAACCATGCTAAAAGCGTGATAATTTTACATCATGTGACGAAATTCCCACCGGCCGATCTGTTCCTTTTCCTCTTGACAATATTCTTTGTACACGTTATTTTCCGAGCGACGAAAACAAGAATCTTTTTAACGAAAATAAGGTTTAATTTCCTGATGAAAATCCTTGACGAAAAAAAAATTTAGAAAACTCTCTAATAAGAGAAGACTTCCTAAATTACTTAAAACCAGCTACAAGCTTTTTTTTTGTCCACAAAGCCGTTCAGTTACAGCGCTGGGAAGCTGGAGAACAATGGACCAGTAATTCAAGGAAACACCAAAGAAAAAAAAAGAAATAAAAGAAAATGAGATGGAGTAACAATGGTATTACCGAGGAGAGTTCACAAGATTATGCGAGTCTGGACAATGAATAGACACAAAGTGGAGTTTGGTCAGTCGAGAAAAAGTGGACAGAGGAAGAAGGAAGATGAATAAGACTTCAGTGAGAGGAGGAAAAGAAAGGCGGATAAGGTGGCAAAGAGAGAAGAGTAAGAAAGATGGATAAGGTGGTAAAAAGGGGGGAGATATTGCTTTGAAGAAAGTGAAAGATGCGAAGAAAGTAAAGAAGAAAGTGTACAGCATCGAGAGCAAAATAAATACCATGGAAAAAAAAAAGTAAAATGACCCCTGAAAACGGTCTGTACGGGGTGACGTGGAGCGCATTAACAATTTTTTTTTACATTATCCTTTTTTTTTTTTATATTTAATTGTTCAAGCGAAACTGCTGTACCAACGGAGACAGAGAAGCTTACCAATGTATTAGGAAGCCTAGCAATAGTTAGATCATCAAATGTTCGGGCACGGTTTAGAGCTACGTAACGCTTGCCCTGAACAGAATAATTTTTCGAGATCGAAATGGGTTACTGGCAAGGTCAAGCGCTGGGATCGATGCATCGTCAGCCAATACGACCTTGTAACAGTGAATATTATACTGAAGTTTAGGGGCATGTTGCAAGTAAATGAGTGTGAGTGAATGTAACTAGAGTTTTTTTTTTTTTTTTTTTTTTTTTTTGATCAGTTTTAATCACTTTAATCAGTTTCAGTCATGGCCTCCATTCAACCAGAAAAGCTTACCTCTCTTTTACTCATCCACGCAAGAGTTTTCACATAAAGCACTTTCCGTCTTTCCACGCATCTATTTGTTCTATTGAATGGTCTACGAAAGACGACCTATTCACAATGTCATAGGTGCCATGGGCACATGTCCCCCCACACTGCCCCTTTGGTTCGAGAAATAAATCCAGATCAGATTTACAGGGCTTTATTTAGTATGTATACGGACATGGTACCGTAGACATTGCTCGTCCGCAAAGCGCCTTAACCACGCAGTGCTTCTCATCCTTTTAGTCATTTATTTACTTACTTGCCTAACGCTCTACACACATAAAATAGTCAAATATATCGCCATAACTGTCAAAAGCTTCAAAGTAAGGCTGCATATGATGGCATACTTCGAGGAGGAATTAGAGTTGTTATGCCTTCCTGAAGCCTTTGACAATGCAAAAGGGCTAAACGTGTCCACGAACACCTAAACCAAGGCCTCTGACGATGATAGCGAGACTGAAAAATATTCAGTAGATAGATCGTGAGCAGTAGAAAAAGTAAGTGAAAATTAGATGTGAGTCCGTATACCACACCCATGTGAGTATTTATTCATGTTCTGATAGAGGGGCTTGTGCCAAATAATTACGTATCCACCTATAAGATGGCACTACCAGCATCAAATACTGAGCCGCCCATTTTTTGAAATCGTCCCCCTATGAAATACATCAAGTACAACATAAGCTTTCAATAGCGACTCCAACATACCACATTCTCCAAGAAGATAATTGAAACGAACCTTCAAAAGTTGTGAAAGGTCATGGTTGTTCGTAGCATCCAGTGATGCATGGAGAGCGCCCATAATAGACAGACAAAGGCAGAGGAATAGAGAGAGAGACGACCTACAAGGCGCGTTTTTCCCTCTCTCTGTAGACGTGTCTGGGTGTTGATGCCGCTCAGCGCATAATATTTAACTGATTTGCTTCTTGCACCTTTTCCTCGTCTACGTCTACTCTCAGCTGAAAATACTCTCTTGGGTGACCTCGAGGGACACTAAGGCCACAGGGAATAAGGGCTATACAGGAGATGCCCTCAGAGGCCATTGACCCAGCACCTCTCCGCCGCCGCCACATTCTCTCCGCCTCATTCCGGCTATGTTACCGCGTTGATCCTTGTCCGTGCGCAAAAGAAATAAATAAGCTTTTATTTGAGCGAGAGCCACACTCAGTTGCAATGGACATGCAGCGATACAGCGCGGCTACGATTCAATACGAACAAACTAAATAAACAATAAACAGTAATAATAATAATTTTCTTCTCTCTTTCCCGCCAATGTTTTGGATTTTATGTGCTATGTAAATGTGAACGCACTGTAACACGGTAATCGCCTGTAACAACACACGCCCACCAAAGTAGCAGCCCGAAATCATTGACTAGGGAACAGCTCATAGACTCTACCTAAGGAATTAACCAGAGCTATGTAGTTGTGTGAGCGTAGCTAAATACATAGGGCTTTAGACATGCTATTGCTACTAGACAAAAAAAAAAAGAATACACTTTTGCACGATGTTTTCCTCTAAAGAATAAACCAATGCTTGATGAGTGGAGCTGCTTTTAAAACTAATGGTTAGCAGCCCCTATCTTTGCCACTCTTGTGTAGATTAGGTTGAAGACCCTCTTCTCTTTTCAGTAGATTATGAGTTATATTGATTATGGAACTCGTTCGGCAAATCAAATGCACAGCCTAAACTAACAATTATAGTCAAAGCCTACCGAGCTTAACTCCACTAGGGTATTCATGTGCTTGATTGGGCTCTTCAAGACCGTGAATGAGTGAATGTAAGTATACAGCCAGCTATATATTACTGAGGAGCTTGCTATCAATAGCTGATACAGTTTAGTCCATTGACTTTGCTATTGATTGTCGCTACTAATTTTCTATTCCTATTTGAGGACATTTGCATTTACAACAATCACAGATCCTTCACAATTTCAGACAAAAGACAAAGATCATTGTACCTGATCTTGTCTTTTAATATTTACTGTTAATTGTTTACTATGCTATGGTTTGCAAGCTGCATCCTGGCCCAAGAGTAGTGATGCCCTCGATACGTGTGCATGACTAGATGTGCTTGGATTCTTTTGATGGTACTTTTTAGCATATTCTTTGATGGCGCCTTGGCTAACTGCCTTGGTAACCTTGGTTGGCTGGCCCTAGTAGCCTGGCTTTGAGATGGTTGACTGCTTTTGATTGTTTGGACTCTTATAGGTTGCCCTTGGTTGACTTTGGCTTTGGTAGTCTTTGATTTCCTTGATTGCAGCAAACTGTGTTTGATTAATTGTGGGTGCCTGGCTGCCTTCGATTGCTTTGACTTTGGTTTTCTGTCTTTGATTTTGTTGATGCAGTCTCTGGCTGGTATGGCTGAGGCAACCTTCTACCGGCTTTGTGCCTTAGCTGGCTTTCAATGAGGTTTCTTTTGGTTGAGTGGAGTGAGCTGGTTGACTTTTTTTTTTTTTTTTTTTATTTTTTTTTATTTTTTTTTGCAGTGACGTGGCTGCTATCTGCTTGCTTTTTGGCTTCTGGCTTTTGGTTTTTGGTTTCTGACTTTTAGTTCCTGACTTCTGGCTTTTGACTTCTGGCTTTTAGCTTCTGGCTTCTGGCTTCTGGCTTTGATCTTTTGACTTCCGACTTCTGGCATTTGGCTTCTGGCTTTTGGCTTTTGGATTCTGGCTTCTGACTTTTGGCTTCTGACTTCGGTCTTTTGACTTCCGGCTTCTGGCTTTTGGCTTCTGGCTTTTGGCTTCTGGCTTTTGGCTTTTGGATTCTGGCTTCGGGGAGGGGGGGTTTATTTTTTATTTTTTATTCTTTTTTTTTTTATTTTCATTTGAAGTTTTTTTTTTTTTTTTTTTTTTTTGGTTTTTTTTATTTGGGTTTTTATATGACCGTTGGCTGTTAACTGTTGGCCGTTGGCTGTTGGCTGTTGGCTGTTGGTTATTAGCTCTGAGGCTATTTCTCCAGGCGCTCTACCTCGGCCTGATGCTCTTTCCCAGGCCTTCTGCTTTCCTCCATGGACAGTAGGCCTCGCTTCTCCAAGCAAAAGTCCCATTGCAGTGGTCTATCAAACGACTAACCAATGGAGCCTCACTTTGACCAGAGCATCTTTGGTTCAGACGGCAGGAAACAGGGGTCACACAACATGACGCCTCTACGCCATGCACCCACTACGACCAGACGTCCCTGGCGCAGCATCGCTAATTGGATAACCTAAGAATGATAAGTCAGCAACAATGAACCATTCACAAAGCCCTATAGAGCACCGAGTTGCCAAAGATTCCATCTAACCAGAGAGAACGAAAGCAAAGGTAAAATAGAATTAATATGTTCATTGTGTCTTTTTTTTTACCTACCTTAGATGCTACCAGGCCTCGATAGCACCTGATCCTGATCCTGATCCTGGTCCTGCTGGAGGGGGAATCTCCTTGACGGCCGAGGCTCGAGCTCTACAGGTCCCTGTGAATAATTCATTGGTACTGACTTACCATTCTTAGACTACCGCAACTGTGTGTCATCCTGTCCCTACGCGAAATCCCCAGAGATACTCGGATCAAAGTGAGGCCCAGAGGCTAGAAGCTCTCTAGCGCCACCACAATGGTCCTCCCTCAAGGAGTCGTGAGGGTCCGACGGAGTGGAACCCCCCATCAGAGCAGATGAGGAGTTCGTAGGAGGCGGCAGAGGGGCCCCCGGGCTCCGATGGTAGGACGGAGTGGAGCCCTTATCGAAACGGATAGGCCCCTATGGAAAGAGCCGAAGAAAGAAATAAAAAAAAAAAAAAAAAGCGTGGTTAGAATATTTGGTAACCAAAGTACAGATGACCATATCTCATTACAAAGAACAGTATAACGCAGCAAACCCAAAGAGAAAAAAAGTGCAATATGTTTACTCAATAAGAGAGAATACTTACAGATCCGCTTGGGGCCCCATTTCGGTAAGCACTGCATGAACTTATTGCAGTCTTTAGGATGGCCGCCGCTGAGCATCCAGAGGTAGTGTTTCTTGTGATGACTAGAAGGACAAAGGTAAAAGAATAGGAATAAGTTAATGGACCTGCTGGACTCATTTAGCAATAGCTAAGCAGTGGGTGACGGTAGGCAAGAGAAAGTGAAGCCATGCTAGATACTTACTTGATGACGGCTCTATAGTGGGTTGTATTTCACGCCTGGGATAGAGCATTTTTTATGGCCTCTGTGTGGCCTTTGTAGTGCAAGTGAAGGGGAGGTGGAGAGGATGTGGGTGAAGAGAGGAGAAAAGAAAAGAAAAGCTGGGAGGAGAGGAAGGGTATTTATGAAAACTGTTTTCCATTTTGTGTCGTCCGTATGACGTTTTACAGCAACGCAAAGGAAACTTGGTATCCCACTGCCAAAGGTATTAAATAATAATAAGAATACTAATAATATTCATCATATGTCAGCAATAAAGAAAGCCATTGTGAAGTATAATAGTAAGCGAATGAGCGAGTAAAAAATAAATATTTAAAATGTAAAGAGATAACGCGTTTAGAGGGTAATGCCACAAAAATATTTATCTTTCCGCCATGACGCCCTCGGTCAGATGTTCGCTATTTTCTGGTTGGTCAAAACATTTACACGGCAGATAAGGGAAGCAGACATTGTCCACCTCGGTAAAATTAACCTTTTTTATCTCCAAATGCTGCATGAATGAGTATGGAAAGAACCATTGAGCCAAATATAATGAATAATACAAACTAATGCATTATATAGACATATACTTACTTGCTGTCGACGACGAGGGCTCTTTGGCGGATTGTACTTTGGAGAAAAGGAGAAAGGATGAATGCCGAGTGGTTTTTGAAATCGCTCAGGGAAAATAGTAAGTGAAACCAATTTGAGATCACAAAGTATTGATTGAATAACAATACAAATACGGCATTTTGCTTTTAAGCAAGAAAAAAAAAAAAGGAAAAAGAAAGCGGCATAGCGGGAATTGAAAATCGATCATCTGCGCACCCGTGATATCATTCGTCAATTTTCATATGCTTACAAGGTGGAGAAAGAGAAAAACATTCCATCCTCAAAGACATGCAGGGTCATACATACAACAATCTGCCTGCCCACAACATGAGCACGAGCCACATTGCTCTCTTTGGTGTACAGCAAAGAGAGAATAAAGGACCGAGAAGTGTAAAGCGACTAAAGTAAAGGGACAGGATTCAGAGCACAATAGCTTATCAACGCTCGCATGCTCCCATTTTTCACCAGCGTTAAGCTCGAGTACCTTTTTTTGTTTAGCAATAGAGCCCATCAGACACTATCAGTCAAATTTGCTACTTAATTCCCTTCTTCTCTTCTCTCTCTTCACCCCTTACAATGAATAGGATAAACTACCGTGGGAACTCTGCTTCAGCAGTTTTTGTCCGAACAAACTTTTTTTTTTTTTTTTTTTCCTTTTTTCCTTTTCCTTTTCAGGACGCCAAAAAGATACGGCACGTCATTCCCTCGATACGATTGTGTGCTTTTTATTGGTCGATACATAAACGTTGATACTTTATTTCACCTTCAAACAAAGGAATTATAAACGCACCGCTTAATCAGCTATTCACTAATCTTTATATATCCTATATTGTATTGCATGAAAATAAAACTAATAAATAATATTCTGAGGATTTGTCATGTGTTATTTTCTATCACACTCTGGAAAAACGGCAATCTGCCAATGTACAGTTCCAACGATTAGTCTATCCCATCTCTTGTTAGGAGTGAAGAAAGAGAATAGAATAATAAGATTAAGATGATGATTCCCTTTACCAACAAGAGTAAATAACTCGAGATCAATGCAGCTCATGCTCTGTTTGGTTGTGGGCAGGCTTTTATTACGAGTCTTGAAGACAGAGTGTCTTCTCCATCTCTACTCGTGAGAGTCTCTTCATTATCATATGAAATATGACAGATGACATCAAATACACGTATATTTATTTATTTTTTATCTTTTTAAATTGTTGCTCATCTTTTATTGGTCGCTCTTGAGCGTACAGCAAGCAAGGTACTTAGTACATCGTGCTTTTGAAATATAATCACTACTCGTCCCTTCTCCTCTTCTTTCGCGGACGTAAAAAAATGATAAGAAAAACGAATATAAAAAAGACCAATTTTGATTCTCTTCTTTTTTTTTTTTCTTTTCTCTTCTCTTTCTCCTCGGTCTCCTTGACCATCGGCCTCCTCAACCAAGATTAAAGGTAAGCAACACTCTCCAAACACACACTCCTACTGAAGTCTTCAACCTTCTTGCTCTGCGCTGTACTGTTCTTGTTCTGATGTTTCTTCCCCTACCTCTTTCTTTTCATTCCATGATTAGACTGTAAACGACATGAACCCATCGAAAGCAACTGGAACTTTATAGCTCACAATGAGGCCGCTGCATCCAAACGGCCGCACTCAAACAAACAGCCGCGCTCAGACAGCCACGCTCAAACAGCCCGCCGCATCCAAGCAGCCGCACTCAAACAAGCAGCTGTAGCCAAACAGTCGTATTCAAGCGACTCCACACAAATGGCCGGACTACCACATTCGAGCGGCCAGCTCTTTTCAATGGCCAGACAGCCAGCCCGTCTCCTGGGCATGATGGCTAAATGGCGAAGGCTTCTCAGCAACTCCGGGCCACAATAACCAGATCGTTTCCCATAGCACATCCTACAAGGTACTGGTACTGAAAGCTCGGCGCCGCCAGCTGAAGAACGAAACCAAAGAAAGGCTGAACAATCCATCAAGCCAAAACAAACACCTCCAAAAAAAAAGAAAAAAAAAGAAGAAAAAAAAGAAAAAAACAAAAAAAAAGAAGAAAAAAAAGAAAAAAACAAAAAAAAAAGAGACGAAAACAAAAAAAAAAAAAAAGAAATAAAAAGAAGAAAAAAAAGAAAAAAACAAAAAAAGAGACGAAAACAAAAAAAAAAAAAAGAAATAAAAACAAAAGAAAAAAAAAGAGACGAAAAACAAAGAAAAAAAAAGAGACGAAAAACAAAAAAAAAAAAAAAAAAAAAAAAAAAAAAAAAAACGATGAAAAAAAATATAAATAATCCAAAGAAAAGAACAAAAAAAAAATCAAAGACAAAAACAAAAATCCAAAGAAAAAAAAATCCAAATAAAAAAAAAAAAACCTCAAACCAGAAAAAAAAAAAAAAAAAAATTCATACTAACACCCTTTAATATAGCAACAATGCATATCCAAGGTAGGTCCGAACGGGCATGAGCCTACGCTGGTCCTTGAATGAGCCATGCGGTGGCGGAGCCCCTTCGGTTGGGAATGGGAATGGGAATGGGAAAATGGGTTAATGGGTGTGTGTGCGGGCGTTTGCAAGGCCATGGGGCCTGACCAACGGAGCACGATATGCCAGACCACCTCCACGTGGTGTGCTCCGGACAACATCTTGGAGAGTCTTTTCGATGGTGACAAAGGAAAGTGCTTTCCAAGGTGGCTAAGAGTCTGGCTTCTTGTAGAATAGTAGCCAGGTAAGCTAGATAGCTAGATAGCAAGCAACCATTAATAAAAAAGTGTAAAAAAAAAAAAGCTTTAAATGCACTCTGAAAATTGAAAAACTTAGTAGAGGCAACATTGCTTAGATGATAGAGTCGCTCATTTTTTTTTCTTTTCTCTGTTGTACACCACACAAAGAGGGCAATGTGGCTCGTGCTCTTGTTTGCACAGGATTGTTGTTTGCAGATCATTGAAGATGGAATGTTATTAATGCTCTTTTCATCCCACCTACACCCGTGAGAGCTCTTTCTTTCTCATCTTGCAAAGATATGAAAATTGATGGATGATGTCATCGGTGCGCTGATTATCCATTTTCAATATTTTTTTTTTTTTTTTTTTTTTTTTTTTTTGCACACACGCTCTAGGTTATTTTATTTTGTTTTATTTTCTCCTCTCTCTTTTTTTCACACATCGTCACATCGTCACATCATCACATCATCAAAGAGCATAACCGGGACGCCGATTGCTTCTCAATGATCTCGCTCTCGAGGGGTAAATCCAAGTTGACATTGCTGACACTGATGAGTCACAAGCTTTGGACTATTCTCTGTCCTAATTGTTTGTTGCTGTATCTCCAAGCCATTGCAACTGTTGGTGCTATTTTTTATGGAGAAGATGAAGAGATCCTTGGATTCAGCGAGTTCCTTCCTGTGCAAACCTACAGAATGTAAAAACCACCCGAAAAGATTGTGGTCTACGCGGTCATCAAGCCTGTTTTTTTTTTAATGGGTGTAGTTCCTACTACTTGAGCTAATAGCCAAGCGAAGTGGCACTATCAGATTCCATCTTAGGCAGGGCGTCAAGCAAGACTCCCTTCGCCGAAAAAGAATCATGATGTATGGATGTTCAGTGGGAATAGAAGCTGATAGGCTGAAGCTACTGAATACAAACTAAAAACATCCAAACTGAATGCACAAGCCAATGATAATCTTGGAGATTTAACAGAACTTGACAATTTTTTGATTTGCAATCCCCATCGCGCTCGATGGGTTTCCAAATTAAAATCGAGAAAATAAATTGTCCATTTCCACATCTGTCTTCAATCTGCCATCCTAACTTTTACTGCAACCTGTGCCAACATATTTGTACCTACTTATAAGGCCGCTAAGGTCGGCTGAGGCCAATCACTTTTTGTTGCACACATTTGTCCCAAAGAACAAACATTTCTCTCTCCTTGTTGCTTTGTATTACTGTAAACTGGAAGGGGTGGCTCAAGGAGCAGGCTATGGTAACTATGAAAGTGATGAATAAAGTTATGGGTATCGATTATGGTGATTCAGGATCGCTTTTACAAGATCTCGGAGAGTATTTTTTTTGCGACCTTCAAATTCTTGTTAGAAATCGCTTTGGAGAACTCATTCGAAAGATCTGAAAGAGCTCTCTCTGCCTCTTCATTGCCAGTGACAACAAGCTCTCTACTGTCCGAAAAAAGACCAAGCAGTCGCCTTGTAATATTTGCAGCATCTGAGTGGTCGTCTTGCTGCGGTTCTTCAATGTCATAAAAATGCAGAGTAATCTTGGCCTGCTTGTTTTGCCCTGCCCTTATTGCAAGGCTCCGAAGGGCAAGACTTAGTGGTACCTTGTACTGAGAGAGTGAGAAAATGGTAACAGGCAGTAAGTAGAGTGAGCCATATCCCAGCAATGCTTCTGGACGTTCTGTATATATCGTCAATTTCCATGGAATGGTAGCCATCGGAACAAACAACAGGAACTGAGAGAACAAAGGAGACACTACTCCAAAAATATAAGAGAATACCACACTTAAAACATTGGAGCGGACACCACACTAAAAGGCATAATAAACACATAATCTCTTGGGCAAAAGGTTGGTATTGTTCGAGCGTATCAAAACTATGATCCTTTCACTTACAAATCTGTGAAGAGAGAGTCGATCTTCCTAATCATTCTTTTCCCGAGCGCTTCGCAGGGCTAACGCGGAAACCCGTCGCAGTTCTCGCAGCTGCCGTTATGGGTTTAAGCTTCTTGGGTCGCATTTGAGATGTACCATATGCGCAAGGCATTTCCCACTAGTATTTTCAGGACCATATTTCAAGGAGCTGGTGTGACTGGTTTGCCGGCAACGTACGCTGGCAAAATATCTATGAATGCCAACAGCACTATCCTAGCAATGTGAGCCTGCGATCAATCGTTTTTTTTTTTTTAATAAATATTTTTTGACCAGAATGGAGGCTGACTCGGCAACATACCTTTAGCAGTAAAGAAATCACTAAGGAGGTAGGAAATAATAGAGATGGATACTAGCTTGGGCGGGATAAGGTGGAAGTTGGGAAATGCGCAGAGGAGTGGAGGCTATTTAAAGATGAATAAAGTGGCATCGTGATGATAGAGCTTGATACATGGATTTTACTGATTTTTTACTGATTGATTTTTGCGGTTGGTTTTTGTTTGGTTTTTAATGGTTGATTTTTATTGATTGTGATGGCTGGTTTTCCATAACTATTTAAGGGTTGGAATGTGCACAAAGCGTGAGTTGATCCGCAACAACAACAACAACAACAACAACAACAACAACAACAACAACAACAACAGCAGCAGCATTGTCCAACTCGAAAGTCCTTCTTTTTTTTTTTTCTTTTTTTTCGCCTCAAATAGTAAATGTCATCTTGGCTCTATAGCCCATGCACATGAGGCCGTACATTATTGACGATGTATGCTTGATCTGTTTATTAGCTTATGTTATTCATGAGCCGATATTTATTCATTGAGCGCAATATTAAGTGCATAGCAAGCGTTTAATATATTACAGTTGTTTCCAGACGATCATCAACCTATATTCATGAGTCTATACCCATGATACTACTAAATAAAACGAACTCTCAGCAGCCTTGGTATGCTAAGATTCCCTTTTAAAGAGAGAGACCAGACAGCGAAGGTTCAAAAGGCACCAATGTTATGAGCGTTTGTTACTATCAGTCAGCTTATTTGGATCAAACTAACATTCTTAACTATCGACTATATTGATGACCAAACCAATCAAATAAATCTAGCAATGGCCCATGTTTATCAGTCAGCATCGAGCGTGTTACACCACTGGGAATATTTGGGTGTCGGTTAAGGTACTCTCACACATGAATGGCCAAAGTCGCGTTGGTCTTGCGTGCCTCTGACAGCGTAAGGGCTCCTTCGCCCCTGATTGAGTTGTATCCCAGTTACAAGGTAGTGTTAACCTTGAGTGCCTGTGGCAGTACAAGAGCTCCTTCGCTCCCAACTGAGTTGCACCACAAGGCCAAAGTAGTCAAGGTTGTGTTAACCTTGAGTGCCTCTGACAGTGCAAGGGCTCCTTCGTCCCCAACTGAGTTGTACCGCAAGTTCAAACAAGTCAAGGTTGTGTTAATCTTGAGTGCCTGTGACAGTACAAGAGCTCCTTCCTTCCCAATTGAGTTGTACCGCAAGTCCAAAGCAGTCAAGGTTGTGTTAGCCTTGAGTGTCTCTGACAGTACAAGGGCTCCTTCATCCCCAATTGCTTTACTACTGAAGCTCAAAGAAGTCAAGGTTGTGTTCGTCTTCGACAGCAACAGAATTCCTTCCTTCCCAAGCGAGTCGTACTCCAAGTCCAAAGTGACCAAAGTTGTATTGGTCTTGAGCACTTCTAACAGTGCAAGAGCTCCTTCCTTCCCAATGGAGTTGCCCATCAAATCTAGTGTGGTCAAAGTCCTGTTAGCCTTGAGTCCCTCTGATAGTGCCATGACTCCTTTATCTCCAATTCGGTTGCACATCAAATCCAGCGTGGTCAAAGTCTTGTTAGTCTTGAGTGCTTCTGATAGTTCCAGAACTTATTCATCCCCAATTGAAAGGCCCTTCAAGTTCAACGTAGTAATAGCGTTATCGTCCCTGAGTGTATTTGCGAGTGATCGAAAGTCACTAGCATCAATCTCTCGAGGCTTCATCTCAATAGTTAGCTTTTGAAGGTGTGGTGGCCTGCTGAGCTGTAAACTGGGGACCTTTATAGTGTTCGGAGGTAAAACAATATGGATCGCCTTCATGCTGCTAAGTTCTATGATGTGAACAAGCATTCCATATCTGGGAGCCATTGAAAGTATTTCTTTGGTGGTGCTTTCTTGAAACTCTCCGAGTTCAAGCCGAAGGATCGATACACTTGACTTCTTTAGTGCTTCTTCAAATGCTTCAAGATCACTTTTACTCCAATTCCAGTCAAAACTGATATCCAACTCGTAAACACGTCTTGCATTGGTCAGCGCATTGAAGAATTCTTCAGCTGTGGTTTTGGATTTCAATGTGATGATCACTTTGCCAAGGTGCAAGTCATATTCGCCGCCATTCAACCCCACTACCTTTTTGAACACTTTCTGTTCTGCTTCTCCATATGTCCAACGATAGTGATCTATACAGACCCATTTGACATGGCCTGTCTCTGTCGTGATCCTGTACAAGTTGCCAAGTTGTTTATCTTCATCATTGTTTTGAAGGAATTTCCCCAGTTGCAGCTTAAGCATTTCATCGTCCTTCTTTCTGGCTTCCAGTAACAGGTCAATCACCATGTTGCTCTTTTCCAACATCATCTCTGCAATCGTTTTAAGGTTAGAGTTGATCATTTCAGTTTGTGCGTTGTCGCGAGTAGTAAGGATTGAGTTGAAAGAATGAACCAAGTTTGATAATGGGTAAAATATCCTGGGAGGCTAGATTGGTTGGTACTCCCAACGCGGACAAACTGATGACGGCCATGCTGTTGCTGCTGGCACTGGTGCTACTATTACTGCTGCTATTACAGTTGCAGGCCTGTGGTTCTGCTGTAATGACGTCCAGGATCTTGTCAGGATAGAATGCAATGCGTGGGGGTTCGATTCTAGTAGGACGAAAGAAAAATCAAAGTTAGGATACGCACTTACTTTTTGTTCCTGAGCAACACAAATGGTAAAATAAAACTCTTACCTGTTACCATTAGAGTCTTGAAGGAACAGGATGGGATGTCCATCCAACTTGAATCGCTGTGCATCTGGAAACACATCCTGAATGTCTTGCAAACACACATAGTATGACGAGTCGCCATTGCTTGCCGAGATGGAAGCAATCCTGACACCGACTTCTTCAATGATGTCAGCTTTTCGGAATCGTTGGTATTGTTGGGTCATGGAGATGAGTCGAGGGATGATGATGAAAAGGAAGAATGAAAAGATTCGTTCATTCTATTTTTTATGCATTTTCTTTTTTTTGCTTCGCCATTTGGTGACGCAGGTGAGAAATATGGCTGTAACGTACTTTCTTGTTGTTTAGAGCTTGATCTTGCTTGACATACTAGTTGTTTTTCCATCCATGGATACGATCCACTTGTGTCCTTGGCTTAAAGTAAAGTGCTCCTTGTTGAAGGCAAAGATGCTTTCGAATGATGTTGCATCGATTATGACCAGACATGGTTATACCAACCAACAATGCCCTGCTTACGAAAGATAGTTCAGGCTTCGAGCTACCGACTACTATGTTAAGCAATAATGGCAGATAACGGAGCGATGACTATAAAATATCTGTAGTTTGCAATGGTACTCTAGTCAAGTTGATAAGAGCGGTAGCTCATAGCTTTATATTGACTTCTGATGAAAAGGTGATGATCTGAAATTAGAGTATATGGCCCAGCACAATACAAAAGCTGATACTTTGATCATAAATTTGGACCGCTGCTGTCAATATCCAATATCAAAACCGAAAATGCCATATGATTTTTACTTTACATAGCTGCCTCAGGGAGAGAGCTTGGTCGACAGATGTATTGGAGCATCTGTGCAGCATGGACTTTCATACAAGTGGACCAGGACTTATAAAAAGCAAAGATTTGCACTTCCAGAGCTGAGTAAATGACTAGGTATACTATCCTTACCAATATCACAATAATGGTGATCGACCATATCTTCCAAAGCTATCAACTCTTCAAGACCAAAAAGATATCATGACGCCAAATCCATGGTGATGAAGCAAGTCCTTGTGGAGATATTAAAGTAACAGTAAAAAATAACTAAAACACTCACTCAGTTATGCGTGTTAGTGCATGAAGAGCAAGTCTTGTCCAGACAAACAACGGCCCACTTCGTACTCAATGGCTTTTAATTTTTCTTTGTTGTTCAATCGAGTCGAGCAGGAGAGACTTACTAATGGAGTTATATAGCTTATCATAAAATATCCTTTCAGAGAGAGAGGAGTATTCGAAACTCATTTGGATGCGTCGCACATAAAGAGCGACTTGGACAAGTAATTCTTCAGACTTAGGTCTATTCAATCGGGAATAATATTTGGAGAATGCTTGGAAACGCGACAAAAGGGAAGCTAACTCATTTGTGAAGACATTTGGAAGATATGTTGTAGATGATTAGAGGAGCATATACGGATAGTGAGGATAGTATGTAAGAGAGCGAGAAGTCCAAGGGTTCAAGAAAATGATGTAAAATTATTTTTTATTTCTTATTTTTATTTTATTTTAATTTCCATATTTTTGTTTTTATTTCTTATTTTTATTTCTTATTTTTTATTTCCTTAATTTAATTCTTATTTTATTTCTATTTACTATTTGTTTTTTTTTTTTTTTAATATTTTGTTTAATGATTTAATTTTATCTCACTTCTTTGTTTAAAAAATATAACAAGGCCAGAGTCAATAGCTGAATATCTATTTGTTCATGCTTATGCTTCCATATGCGAAGAGAAGAAAGGCGGACATTAAGAGAACAATATGACTTGTTGATGACACTTATCGCTTGTGGAGCTGCAAATGACGAGAGTAAGCATACATTTATTTAAATGCATTGTGCTTACTATCTTTTCATATTCCACTGAATTATCTTGAATAGTACTCTTCATAATGTACTCTTACTTCATTTAATCGCAGTCAGCCTCTTCAAAGGAAAGGAAGACAAACTTGGCTGGTGTTGTCAAGATACTCTGCCTCTATTCTTGATCAAGGGCTGGCTGCCTGTGAGCATGGGTGTGTAAATACAACCGTCACTATGCTTATGTTATGGGCCTTTGTCCTGTTTAGTTTAACCACATCACACTACATGTTGCTCGTTGCTCATTGTCTAAATAAGTTTCTTCCCTTGGAGTATGGGAGGTCTTTGCTTGCTCTGGTACCAAGAGGTATGAGAGGAGTATAGATGACATCAGAAGCGGATAATGAGCGGCATAGACTCCATGCATCTGCTGCTATTCGCTGTCTCAATTTCTAAATTTTTGCCACCAACAGGACGGACCAATAGATGTGAGAGATGTAAGGGCAATGGACGCGCGCACATCACATGAATCTCTCTCGGCTCTTTTTGCTTGACCCTTCTTCTCCCTTGCTTCGTCTCTTTCACTATACAATCTCAGCATTAAATCGAATATTGAATCGATAGAGCGATGAACAACGTTGGATGATGTCACTTGCCTCTTGGCTTTCAAAAACGAACATTTATAAAGGTGTCATCTGTCCACTCTTTCTCTTTTTCTTCTTTTCTTTATCCTTCAACCACTTTGACGAAAATGAAAGGTAAGAAGCTCCACTCCCAAAAGAAAAAGATAAAAAAAACATATCCACTCTTACTTGATAAGAAAAAAAAATAATGACCACAGCTCTCATACTTTGTGTTAACTGACTGTGATGCTAACTTTTTCTTTCTTTTCTTTTCTCTTTCGCTTTCTTTTTCAGTCACTACAACCACAATAAGAGCTACCACGTCCCTTGACAGGCATCCAGGCTCTTGGCCTCTCTTCTGGCCGAACCTAGGACCGGCCTTCCCCAAGCCCGACGAAGGGCTTTGGTCGATGCCGATCCCATAAAAACCAGAAAAACCCAAAAAAATCGAAAAAACACGAAAAACCAAAAAAAATCCATAAAACACAAAAACCAAAAAAAATCCATAAAACACAAAAACCAAAAAAAACTATAAAACAAAAAAGACCAAAAAAATCATAAAAAAAAAAGACCCAAAAAAAACATTATAAAAAACAAAAACAAAAAAAAAGTATTAAAAAGAATTAAAAAAGCAAAAAAAAATGCATAAAAAAAACAAAAAGCAAACAAAAAAAAATATAAAAATACAAAAAGCAAAAAAAAATATAAAACTAAAAAAAAGCCGAAAAAAACAAAAAAAATAAGAAAAAAAAAAAAAAAAATTTAATAACTAATATTTAATATGTAACATTATAATATTTACTCATAATATGTAACACTATAATATGTACCAATATAATGTGTACATTATAATAATAACAACTATATTAATCAAGGTGTTTAAGGTGTCTAAGGTGTTCAGGATGCTCAAGGCGCCAAGGTACCCAAGGCCTGCTAGACACAAGATATCCAAGATACCCTAAGGCGTCTAGAAGGCTCGATACATCCAACGGTACCCAATATACCCTCCGAAACACCCGAAGAACTCTGGACACAAGGCACTCAAGACACCAAAGATACCCAAGGCATCCTAGATACTTAACGCACTTGATACACTAGAGATAGTCAAAATAGCCAACATTAATCCTCAAGACCCTTATACCCTAGTCGTAGTTGTTAAAATAATAAATAAAAAGAATAAAAATTATAAACCATCGTATTTAAATATTCTCCCTATAAGCGCAGACGGAATGCGAAAATGGATGTTAACCAACAGTGCTTTTGCCAGGTTCAAAAACCGAATATGAGGTTGCGTGTGTGGAGGAAAACGAACGGCTGCGCGATTTAGTTATTTTTTACAGGTGCATTGGATCACTCATCACGCCCAATTGTTTTTGGTGGCATTTTTTTAAATTTATTTTATACAACGGGGAGCCTCCATCAACGTTAGCACGTTAGAATCCCCTTGCAAGGAGAGAAAGAGTAAACGTCGAAAGATCAAAAGGCAACGTCGGAATGAATGCTTGGCTACTGCAAGTCAGTTATTTATTTGGACTGAATAATATTCAAACATCATTATGATGCTCAAGTCATCCAACCTGCTATCATTTAGACTGCTACAGTCAAAGTGGTGCTATTCTTCAGTGCCTTCGATAGCGCATGAGCTCCTTCATCCCCAATTGAGTTGCACCACAAGTTCAAAGTAGTCAGGGTTGTATTAGCCTTGAGTGCCTTTGACAGTGCAATTGCTCCTTCAGCTCCAATTGAGTTGCATGCCAAGTTCAGAGTAGTCAAAGCTGTGTTAGCCTTGAGTGCCTCTGACAGTGCAAATGCTCCTTCCTTTCCAATTAAGTTATTGGGTAAGTCCAAAGCGTTCAGGGTTGTGTTAGCCTTGAGTGCCTCTGACAGTGCAAGTGCTCCTTCATCCCCAATTGAGTTGTCCCGCAAGTTCAAAGTAGTCAGGATAGTGTTAACCTTGAGTGCATCTGACAGTGCAAGCGCTCCTTCCTCCTCAATTGAGTTGTCCTGCAAGTTCAAAGTAGTCAAGGCTGTGTTAGCCTTGAGTGCCTCTGACAGTGCAAGAGCTCCTTCCTTCTCAATTGAGTTGTGCGACAAATTCAAAGCAGCCAGGGTTGTGTTAACCTTGAGTGCCTCTGACAGTGCAAGAGCCCCTTCCTTCTCAATTGAGTTGCCTTCCAAGTTCAGGGTAGTCAAAGCGATGTTATTCTTGAGTGCCTCTGACAGTGCAAGTGTTCCTTCCTTTCCAATTAAGTTATTGGACAAGTCCAAAGCGTTCAGAGTTGTGTTAGCCTTGAGCGCCTCTGACAGTGCAAGAGCACCTTCATTCCCAATTGAGTTGCTGAACAAGTCTAAAGTAGTCAGGATAGTGTTAGCCTTAAGTGCCTCTGACAATGCAAGAGTTCCTTCGTACCCAATTGAGTTGCCCTGCAGGTCCAAAGCAGTCAAGGCTGTGTTAGCCTTGAGCGCATCTGACAGTGCAAGAGCACCTTCATTCCCAATTGAATTGCCTTCCAAGTTCAGGGTAGTCAAAGCGGTGTTATTCTTGAGTGCTTCTGACAGTGCAAGTGCTCCTTCCTTCTCAATTGAGTTGCGCGACAAGTTCAAAGCAGCCAGGGTTGTGTTAACCTTAAGTGCCTCTGACAGTGCAAAAGCCCCTTCCTTCTCAATTGAGTTGCCTTCCAAGTTCAGAGTAGCCAAAGTTGTGTTAATCTTGAGTGCCTCTGACAATGCCAGCGCTCCTTCATTCTCAATTAAGTTATTGGACAAGTCCAAAGTAGTCAAGGCTGTGATAGCCTTGAGTGCCTCTGATAGTGCAAGAGCTCCTTCATTCCCAATGGAGTTGCTGAACAAGAGCAAAGTATTCAGGGTAATGTTAGCCTTGAGTGCCTCTGACAGCGCAAGAGTTCCTTCCTTCCCAATTGAGTTGTCTTCCAAGTTCAGAGTAGTCAAGACTGTGTTAACCTTGAGTGCCTCTGACAGTGCAAGTGCTCCTTCATACCCAATTGAGTTGCCCTGCAGGTCCAAAGTAGTCAAGGCTGTCTTAGCTTTGAGTGCCTCTGACAGCGCAAGAGCTCCTTCCTTCCCAACTGAGTTGTACCGCAAGTCCAAAGCAGTCAGGGTAATGTTAGCCTTGAGTGCCTCTGGCAGTGCAAGTGCTCCTTCCTTCCCAATTGCATTAAATCTGAAGTTCAAAGAAGTCAAGGTTGTGTTCGTCTTCGACAGCAACAGAATTCCTTCCTTCCCAAGCGAGTCGTACTCCAAGTCCAAAGTGACCAAAGTTGTATTGGTCTTGAGCACTTCTAACAGTGCAAGAGCTCCTTCCTTCCCAATGGAGTTGCCCATCAAATCTAGTGTGGTCAAAGTCCTGTTAGCCTTGAGTCCCTCTGATAGTGCCATGACTCCTTTATCTCCAATTAAGTTGTTCCTCAAGTTCAAAGTAGTCAAACATCTGTTGGCCTTGAGTGCCTCTGACAGTGCCAGAGCTCCTTCAACCATAACTGAATTATCCCTCAAGTTCAACATGGTTATAGCAGTATCGGTCTTGAGTATATTTGCGAGTGATTGAAAGTCACTAGTGTTAATCAATCGAGGCTTCATCTCAATAGTTAGTTTTTGAAGGTGTGGTGGCCTGCTGAGCTGTAAACTGGGGACCTTTATAGTGTTCGGAGGTAAAACAATATGGATCGTCTTCATGCTGCTAAGTTTTGTGATGTGAACAAGCATTCCATATCGCGAGGATGTCGAAAGTAATTTCTCGGTGGTGCTTTCTTGGAACTCTCCGAGTTCAAGTCGAAGGGCCGATATACTTGACTTATTTAATACTTCCTCCAAAGCTTCAAGATCAGCTTTGGTCCAATTCCAGTTAAAGATGATATCCAACTCGTAAACACGTCTTGCATTGGTCAGCGCATTGAAGAATTCTTCAGCTGTGGTTTTGGATTTCAATGTGATGGTCACTTTGCCAAGGTACGAGTCATATTCACCGCCATTCAACTCCACTGCTTTTTCGAACGCTTTCTGTTCTGCTTCTCTATATGTCGAGCGATAGTGATCGAGACAAACCCATTTGACATGACCTGCTTCGGTCGTGATCCTGTACAAGTTACCAAGTTGATTGCCTTCATCATTTGTTTGAAAGAATGTTCCCAGTTGTCGAAGATCGGCTTCTTCAAGTACCTTATAGTCATCAATTGTGGTGATGTTGCTCAAGACCGGATGTACATTGGAAAGCGCTTCCATATATTTGACCGAGTAGTTGATAGCGGCATCGACATTCGGGATTGGTGCCAGAGAAGCCGTCGGAGACGATGTATCCTTGAGACAGTGTAAAAGGGTGAGCATGTATTTTCCATACTTGCGATAAAACTCCATACTGCTTCGAACTTCATATCCATTATGGTTGGCAATATGGATTTGGCTCTGGCTGCTTGTCGTTGCGGAGTGATCCCCACATTCACAGAGGAAATAAAGGCGAAACTTCTTTTTCAAGATATTCCTTGGATTCCACTCGGTCTGCTGGATAGGTAAAATAATAAAAAGTCGCGGGATTGGACACTCGTGTAGCTCAAGGCTCTGGACGAGGATGGCGTTAACATGCTTTTGAAGGATAGCAAGTCTGTCGAGGGCTTGACGTTGGAGTTCTTTAGGTATCTCATTACTCTTCTCCTTAGTCTCCTGTTGTTGTGGTTCCTCCAAGGAAGACAAGTTAGTGACAATATTACTATTGCTGGACTGCGACGTTCCCGTAATGATGTCCAGGATCTTGTGAGGATAGAAAGCAATGCGTGGAGGTTCGATTCTAATAGAATAAGAAAAGAAAGACATGAATGTCCAATCGAGTTCACTTATTTGGTTCTTTTTTCTTTCCAAGGCAATTGACAAGGCACCTTGATAAAGTAAATATTATACTATACCTGTTGCCATTAGAGTCTTCAAGGAATGGGATGGGATCTCCATCGGATTTGAAATGTATTGCCTCTGGAAACATGTCTCGAATGTCCGTCAAATCCACATAGAATGTCAAGTCGCCATTGCTTCGAGAGGTGGAATCAATTCTGACACAAACTTGTTCAATCGTTCCAGTGCCAGCCTGTCGGAACTGTTGGTAATGAATTTGTGTCATTTTTCTTTTTTTCTTTTTTTTGGTGATTATTCGATGAATGATGACAAGCTGAAGGGTTTTCTCATTTTCATTTTCTGAGCAATGGAGTCGCCGACCATCTTTTTTTTTTTGTCTGGCTTTACCGCTTGAGTACAAAAGTACAAGGATACAGGTCTGTCGAATGCATTCATCTGCTGTGCCTAATAAATTAGAAAAGCTATCCACATGCACATGCAGTCTTTGATTGGCTCTCAAATGATGACTACAGACACAATTAAGTGCGCCTTGGGCTGTTGATACAGTACGGACCACATAATGGCGCCGTATCATTCTCTCTTCTTGCAAATTTCCTGAAATACCACCCACCCTGACAACTGAACTAAGGTGCTTTCCTCATCCTTGTGCTTGTCCTCCCGGTCACCTTTGAGCTCTTCAACAATGTTATCTTTGTCACTGGCAGAGGGTACTTTGTGAAATATTCCTCAATCGATGGTCTACTGTAGTTGAAAGGAGTATCTGTTCCGTATAAACGCTAATGGAGGAGTTAATCCTCATGTGGGAACTAACGGAAGGCGTAGCTGGAGGGAGATCATACGGAGAGTATGGACAGTGTATAGGAGAGCGAGAAAATGAATTAAGTCCAAGGGTTCCAGGAAATGAAGTAAGGAATTTTTTTATTTTTATTTTACATTTTTTATTTTTATTTTACATTTTTTATTTTTATTTTACATTTTTTATTTTTATTCCATATTTTATTTTTTATTCCATATTTTTTATTTCGTATTTTTATTTGTTTTTTATTTATTTTATATTTATTTTGTTTAAAAAATATAGCAAGGCCAGAGTCAATAGCTGAATATCTACTTGTTCATGCTTATGCTTATGCTTCCATATGCGAAGAGAAGAAAGGCGGACATTAAGAGAACATTATGACTTGTTGATGACACTTATCGCTTGTGGAGCTGCAAATGACGAGAGTAAGCATACATTTATTTAAATGCATTGTGCTTACTATCTTTTCATATTCCACTGAATTATCTTGAATAGTACTCTTCATAATGTACTCTTACTTCATTTAATCGCAGTCAGCCTCTTCAAAGGAAAGGAGGGAAAGACAAACTTGGCTGGTGTTGTCAAGATACTCTGCCTCTATTCTTGATCAAGGGCTGGCTGCCTGTGAGCATGGGTGTGCAAATGCGGTGCCACTGTGCTTATGTTATGGGCCTTTGTCCTATTTACTTTAGCCACATCACACTACATGTTACTTGTTGCTCATTGTCCAAATAAATGTTTATTGACATATTTATTTTATTTGCTACAAGTCATCTACCCTGCCATCTTTAGAGCTGCTGGCATTTCCACTATCACAACATGCATCTACTGCAAAAGACGCATCCTTGGGGTCCGTATCTCCTTCGCTCATTGAACACATTAAGAGAGCTTTTAATGGTATTGCACTAACCTGAGATACCTCCATTGTCATTCTTGTCATCATTTGGATCATCCTTGTGTATCTCAGTTGCTGTCCCTCTATCTAACAGAGCGATAAGGTGCGAATATCTCTGCTTACTCACTTGTGCCTGCTTTAGCACCTGGCTGGTGAGCAGCGGTAGCTGCCTGCTCAATGGGGATCTTGCTCAGTTATAGGCAATATCTAATGAGAAGAACTAAAATAATTGGGGATTGGTTAGTGAGCTGAAGAGACAAAACACAACCGCACAACTTCCTTTGTGCTATTAATCTGCTCATTTCCTCAGGGGCAGGGGTCCCAGACATCCAACGATGAAAACAACCGCAATTGGATGATTCCTAACGTTCGTCATAGCCATCAGCCTCAAAGAGACAACAGGCATCGATTGCAGCACTGCCAAGAGCCAAAAAGACTCATGGGGAGGTCATAGCAAGAGACAGTCCACACCTTTTAGCATCGACTATGTGTCTCTCATGTACCCAAAGAGCAACCAACATGATGAGCAGAATTGCTTACAATATGACTCCCAGATAGGTCCAACGGGAAGTGGACTCCAAAGAAGTCGGATGAGGCCATATGGAGGAGGGACTTATTTGCACCACATTATCAACTGCGTGGTACAACAACCCCCTCATGGACCCACGAGTCTGACGGAGAACATGTCGTTCAAGCTGCTGCACCATCCATGCTCAACATGGAGAGGTGAAGACACCCAACGGAGCAAACAAGAACAACAAGCTCAAATCCAGCACCACCTCAGTCCCGGGCTCTGAGGCGAGGTCATAGCGAGAAGCAATCCAGCGCCTTAGCATAGACTGTACTCTTCTCATGTACCCACGGAGGACCCTGCTCGCATCCTTTCTCTGAAATCCGTACACACGCTATGCTTGTTCTTAGTCACAACCAATCCCTTACCTTGTGGCTATACTTCGTTTCATTGCGCTTGCTAGTCTTGATAACCTTGTAAAGCAACCTCATGTTATGGGAAGCAGGTTTGAATTGAAGACAGAAGCAATTGCTGAGCAGAGTGAATGAAGTGAGTGAAGAGGAATGTTTACGCGTCATGCCAAGAACGAGAGAGAAAAAAAAAGAAAATGGGTGTCACGTGCCTTATAGAACCAAATTACGCGTTTAATCACCACACGAATAAAATGCATGCAAGGCAGAATTCATAAGTAGATGCGCCACTCGCAGTTCTAATTTAGAGCATCTAAACGGGTGTCGAGCATCTGGTCAGGGATGACTATTTCCTGCATTTTCGACGTTCTAGTTTGGATGGCTATATTCTTGGAGTTACTGTCCAGAAAGGAGGACTTTATTTAAGGATTGACGCAGAGTATAATCAGCTTGGAGCAACATTGACTGATAGGAAGCGAAAGTGGCCATCCGATGCGGGATAGGAAAAAGTACACATTGCAACAGATGCAAGGGATTGGGAAACTCTCCAGTGCTCGGTGGTCATAGACGACAACATTCCGTGTACGATGTCAAAGGTGGATGAGAGGACCGATTTCCCAAGTGGTTAGAGAGTAACTGTACGCTCAGTGGATCAATGGAGAAGCTGTTCTGAAGAATAATATGGCATGAGGAGCCATATTAGTCCTCGAGTGGAAAGAAATATGAATGATACACCAGAATCACTCCATAAAATAAAGAAATGGATGAGATGGAGAGTCGAAGCCAAAAATAAAAAAATAAAAAAAAAAAAACATTGTATAAAAAATAGATGGAACGAATCTTTTCATTCCTACTTTTCATCATTATCCTCGAATTATCTCATGACTCAACAGTACCAACAATTCCGAAAAGCTGGCATCATTGAAGAAGTCGGTGTCAGGACTGCCTCCATCTCTGCAAGCAATGGCAACTCATCATACTATGTGTGTTTACAAGACATTCAGGATGTGTTTCCAGATGCACAGCGATTCAAGCTGGATGAACATCCCATCCTGTTCCTTCAAGACTCTAATGGCAACAGGTAAAGTATTTATTTATCGTATGTGTTGCTCAGGAACAAAAAGTAAGAGAACTCAATTGCATATCCTAAGTTTTGTTTTTACTTTTGTCCTATTAGAATCGAACCCCCATGCATTGCATTCTATCCTGACAAGATCCTGGATGTCATTACAGATGGACCACAGGTCTGCAATAATAATAGCAGCAGTAATAGTAGCAGCTCCAGCCTTAAAACGACTACGGATTTGATCCTAGAGACTAAAGAAAACGCCAAAAAGATGCTTGACTTGTTACTGGAAGCCAAAAAGAAGGACGACGAAATGCTTAAACTGCAGCAGCAAGTTCTTGACAGACTTGCTATCCTTATCCAGAACTTTGAGTTACATGAGTACCCAATCCCTCGACTCTTTATAGTCCTGCCTGTTGACACCACCAAGTGGGACCCAAGGAATATCCTGAGGAGCAAGTTCCGCCTTCATTTCCTTTGTGAATGTGGAGAGCACACTGCAACGATAAGCAAAAGCAATCAGAACCAGATCCATATTGCCAAACATGAAGGATATGACATCCGAAACAGCACAGAGTTCTTTCGCAAGTATGGAAAGTACATGCTTATCCTTTTACATTCTCTCAAAATGGGGATGCCTTTGACAGCTTCCCTGGTACCAACTCCTAATCTCGATGCCGGTATCGACTATTCGATCAAATATATGGAAGCACTCCCTAATGAGTACCCAGTCTTGAGCAAGATCAACAAAATCGGTGAGTGTGAGGCACTTGAAGAAGCCGATCTTCGGCAACTGGGGAAATTCCTTCAAAACAATGATGAAGACAAACAACTTGGCAACTTGTACAGCATCACGACAGAGACAGGCCATGTCAAATGGGTCTGTTTTGATCACTATCGCTCAACATATAGAGAAGCAGAACAAAAAGCGTTCGAAAAGGTAGTGGAGCTGAATGGCGGCGAATATGACTTGCACCTAGGCAAAGTGACCATCATATTGAAGACCAAAACAACAGCTGAAGAATTCTTCAATGTGCTGACCGATGCGAGACGTGTTTACGAGTTGGATATCAGTTTTGACTGGAATTGGAGTAAAAGTGATCTTGAAGCATTTGAAGAAGCACTAAAGAAGTCAAGTGTATCGATCCTTCGGCTTGAACTCGGAGAGTTTCAAGAAAGCACCACCAAAGAAATACTTTCAATGGCTCCCAGATATGGAATGCTTGTTCACATCATAGAACTTAGCAGCATGAAGGCGATCCATATTGTTTTACCTCCGAACACTATAAAGGCCCCCAGTTTACGACTCAGCAGGCCACCACACCTTCAAAAGCTAACTATTGAGATGAAGCCTCGAGAGATTGATGCTAGTGACTTTCGATCACTCGCAAATACACTCAGGGACGATAACGCTATTACTACGTTGAACTTGAAGGGCCTTTCAATTGGGGATGAATAAGTTCTGGAACTATCAGAAGCACTCAAGACTAACAAGACTTTGACCACGCTGGATTTGATGTGCAACCGAATTGGGAAGGAAGGAGCTCTTGCACTGTTAGAAGCACTCAAGACTAATACAACTTTGATTACTTTGGACATGGAGTACGACTCGCTTGGAAAGGAAGGGGCTCTGTTACTGTCGAAGACGAATACAACTTTGACTTGTTTGGACTTCAGTAGTAAATCAATTGGGGATGAAGGAGCTCTTGCACTGTCAGAGGCGCTCAAGATCAACACAACCTTGACTACTTTGAACTTGCGTTACAGCTCAATTGGGAAGAAAGGAGCTCTTGCACTGTCAGATGCACTTAAGACTAACACAACCTTGAGTATTTTGCGCTTGAGGCACAACTTAATTGGGAAGGAAGGGGCTCTTGCGCTGTCAGAGGCACTCAAGGCCAACACATCCTTGACTACTTTGGACTTGTTCAGCAACGCCATTGGGAAGGAAGGAGCTCTTGCGCTGTCAGAGGCACTCAAAGCTAACGCTACCTTGACAACTCTGGACTTGAGGTACAACTCAATTGGGAATAAAGGAACATTTGCATTATCAGAGGCACTCAAGGCTAACGCATCCTTGACTACTTTGGACTTGAGGCACAACTCAATTGGGGATGATGGGGCCCTTGCACTGTCAGAGGCACTCAAGGTCAATACAACTTTGACTACTTTGAACTTGCATTACAACTCAATTGGGAAGGAAGGAGTTCTTGCGCTGTCAGAAGCGCTCAAGACTAACGCCACATTGACTAAATTGGACTTGAGGGACAACTCAATTGGAAAGGAAGAAGCCCTTGCACTGTCTGAGGTGCTCAAGACTATTGCGGCGCGGATCCGTTTTACGTGAGGGTATCTTTACTGACATCCAAAATTGCCGGCGGCGTAACACATTCGAAGTTGACTGATGAATATGAGCCATCATTAGATTTATTTGATGATTTGGTTAGCAATGTAATCTTGATAGCTAAGAATATTAGTTTGACCAAATAAGTTAGTGGCTGCTGGAAGCAAACGCTCATAACATTGGTGGCTTTTGATCCTTCGATGTCTGGTCCCTCTCTTTGCAAGAGAATCCTAACATACCAATGCTGCTAAGAGTTCGTTTTATTTGGCAGCATCATAGGTATAGAGCTATGAGAATGGGTTAATGATCGCCTGGAAACAACCGTAGTATGTTTAACGCCCGCTATCCATTCAATACTGTTCTCATCTAAACTGCTCTTGTTACAATAGCTTCTCATCTAAAATGTGTGCGGTCGAATGATCGATTCAATAGAATACCAATGTACAGCGCCTTGCACTTAGTCATCAATCATTAAATAAGCTTTGTACCATTGCACCCTTCAAACTTTAACAATGGCTGGAGCCGATCGTCTGATGAGGGCCATTTTTATTTTATTTTGTTAATGTCGCCGCTCCCTTAAGGATTTCTATGATGGCAAGCACTGGAACAGAATGCAAGTGTTCTTACTAAAGAAAGCAATGTTGCAATGAACACTTTACTGCAGATCAGCAAATTATTTGGAATAAGTTATTTTCCTACACTATTCAAATACTATTGTGATGGTCGCCTCTAGTAGTGCAAGAGCTCCTTCCTTTCCAATTGGGTTCCTCCACAAATCCAAGGCAGTCAAAGCTATATTAGTCTTGAGTGCCATTGACAATGCAAGGGCTCCTTCATTCCCAATTGAGTTGTCGGACAAGTCCAAACCAGTTAAGGTTGTGTTAATCTTGAGAGCCTCTGACAGTGCAAGAGCTCCTTCATTCCCAATTGAGTTGTATCCCAGTTTCAAGGTAGTCAAAGTAGTGTTAGTCGCGAGCGTCTCTGACAGTGCAAGAACTCCTTCTTTCCCAATTGAATTGTTTCCCAGGCCTAGAGCGGTCAAAGTAGTGTTAACCTTGAGTGCCTCTGACAGTGCAAGGGCTCCTCCATTCCCAATTGAGTTGTAATGCAGGTTCAAGAAGGTCAAAGTGACGTTAGTCTTGAGCGCTTCTGACAGTGAATGAGCTCCTTCTTCCCCGATTGCATTGCTGGACAAGTGTAAAATAGTCAAAGTGGTGTTAGTCATGAGTGCCTCAGATAGTGCAAAAGCTCCTTCTTTTCCCATTGAGTTGCTGGACAAGTTTAAGGTAGTCAAATTAGTGTTAGACTTGAGCGCCTCTGACAGTGCAAGAGCTCCTTCATTCCCAATCGAGCTGTTCCTCATGTCCAAAGTGGTTAAAACCGTGTCGGTCTTGAGCGCATTTACAAGTACTCGAAGTTCACTAGGTTCAATCCTCCGAGATCTCAGCTCAATTGATAACTTGTGAAGGTTTGGTGATCTTTCGAGTCTTAGGGTGGAGAACTCGATAGATTTTGGGGGTAGGATAATATGAACCGCCCCCAAGATGGGAAGCCCTATGATACGAGAAAGTATTTGATATCGCGTAGATGACGAAAAAAACTTCCAGATATTACTTTCTTGAAACTCTCCGAGTTCAAGCTGAAGGATCGATATACTTGACCCTCTAAGTACTTCTCTTAATGCTTCAAGATCAGCTGTAGTCCAATTCCATCTGAATGTAATATCCAACTCGTAAATTCGCTCTACATTCGCCAGCGCATCATAGAATTCTTTAGCTGCGGTTCTGGATTTTAACGTGATAGTTACTTTGCCAATCTGCAAGTCATATTCACCGCCGCCATTCAACTCCATTGCTTTCTCAAACGCTATCTGTTCTTCGTCTCTATACATCGAAAGATAGTGATCAAAACAAACCCACTTGGCATGCCCTGTTTCCGATGTGACTCTGTACAAGCTGCCAAGTTTATTTTCTCCATTCTTGGTTTGAAGAAATGTACCCAGTTGCCGAAGATCTGCCCCTTCAAGTTCAAGGGCCACATAGTCATCAACTGCGTTGATGTTCTTCAAGGCCGAATACTCATTTGCGAGCGCTTTCATATAGTCGAGCGAATAATTGATACCAGCATCGAGATATGAGGTTGGCATCAGAGAAGCCGTCATGGGCATTTCCAACTTGAGCCACTGTAAAAGGATGACCATGTATTTCCCATACTTGCGGAAGAACTCTATACTGCTTCGAACTCCATATCCATAATGTTGAGTAATGTGAATTTGGCTCTGATTTCTATCGCTTGCTGATGCGGTATGATCTCCACACTCGCAAAGGAAATGAAGGCGAAACTTTTTCCCCAAGACATTTCTTGGGTCCCACTTGTCAGTATCGTCAGGCAAGATTATAAAGAGTCGAGGGACTGGGTGCTCGTGTAGTTCAAAGTTCTGAGCGAGGGCGGCGCTGACGTGCTTTTGAAGGATGGCGCATCTATAGGGGGATTGATATTGCAGTTTAAGCATCTCATCGTCCTTCTTTTTGGTCTCCTGTTGCAGCTTAAGCATTTCAAATTGCACTTTAAGCATCTCCGATTGTAGTTGAAGCATTTGCTGCAGTCCAGATGTTCCGTCGCCCTGCTTATCGATCTTTTGCGGTAACTCTATACTCTTTTCGGAGTTAAATATCTCGGTTTGTCCAATGTTGTGAGGAGTGAGGGATGACTCGAAAGATGGAGGAGCCGTGTTTGATAATGATAAAGGAAGATCTTGGGATGTTAGGTTGGTCGACTTCTCCAAGAAAGGTAAAGTGAGGACAATGTTACTGTTACTGTTACTGTACTGGGGTACTCCCGTAATGACGTCCAGGACCTTGTCAGGATAGAAAGCAATCCGTGGAGGCTCGATTCTAATGGGGCAGAAAAATAAATTAATTTGTTCCTGAGTTGATGTTAGGCACATTCGAAGTCATGATAGGACAAACAAACGCTCTCACCTGTTGCCATCACGGTCTTGGAGGAACAGGATGGGATGTCCATCCAACTTGAATCGCTGTGCATCTGGAAACACATCCTGAATGTCTTGCAAACACACATAGTATGACGAGTCGCCATTTCTTGCAGAGATGGAAGCAATCCTGACACCAACTTCTTCAATGATGTCGCTGTCAGCTTTTCGGAATCGTTGGTATTGTTGAGTCATCTTGGAGATTATTTGATAAAGGATGATGAAAAGGATGAAGAAGATGAAAAGATTCATCCATTTTATACATTGAGCATGGAATGCATTTTTTTTTTTGAATTCCATTTCGCCCGAGTTTGCAAGGGTCTCTTATCCCTTCGTCTGTTTCCAGAACAAATTTGTTCCAGATTTTTATGGGCACTAAATGCACGTAACGCCATATGATAAATGTCAGTAAAAGAGGTTGGAATCGAGATGTTTATTCTTCATTTATTACTTTATCTTGCGTTTTTTTGTGAGGGAGGGTGAGCATAGGCGGTTGGTGTGATATTGAGGGCTAAAGGTCTTTGATATCATGATATTCAAGAAAACAATTTCTGGAGGAGAATAGGCAGAGAGGGACATTACACTTCACACATTTCCACGGCGCTGGAGTCTTGGCTTTGTAATTAGAATCCTTTAGTATATTTGTCTTGTAGCGGCAGAGAACGCAATTCGGCCTGCCTTCAATACTAACCGGGAGATGGGCCCCTGGAGACAAACGAATGAAAAGGGAGTGAATCTACGAACTTACTCAACTTTTTCATCAATGACTTCTACGTCGTTCTCTTGGATTCTTGTCAGGGCCTGGTGAACAATAGAGAAAGACAATTCGTCGTTCTCTGCATGTGTGGTTCTATTGGGTTCTTTAGTATGTTCGAATTTATCAAAAGACAAAAGGAACAATGGAATGAAGGCATCAGGGTAACCATATCATGCGTAATGCTCGGCACGAACCCCCATCCGATGTAAAATTGGTCTGTGGATAGATTTCGCTTGGGAGAATAGGGATGGTTCTCATAGCCAGTTATTGTGGAAAACTTCTTTATTTGAAAATCGAGGAATCCTTCAGGAAGTGCCTTTTCGCTTGACTCTTACAAACTCGTTGCAGTAACAGATGCTAGCCTTGCATGGGTCCACTTGGTTGTGATTCCATCCTTTGTCTAAAAGTGACTTGATCTTTGTTGGAAATGGAGAATGCTCTTGCATGAAGGTAAATTTAATGTTTATGACCTGAGATTGATACTCTGATCAAGCAGAGCAGTTTATTGACATGATTAATATTGAATCCAAGAGCACGCCTAGAGCTATAGATATGAATAGCATAGCATAACGATATCAATGCACTACCACTATTTTCTCTTGGAGGATCTTTAGAGGCTTGGAATCTAAGCTTTGGCGCTTTTCTCATCTTGATCATGTTTGAGCTCATTGACAATGTTATTGTCTTTGTCCCTGGCAGAACAGAGACAATCGGAAAGAACTATTGTTCAACTGTTCATTTTTGCTTCCATAAATCTTGCTGTTTCCCATGAACGATATGGATAAGTTCAAGAATGCATGATATTCTCCTCAAAAGATGAACATTACATGTCTTGGTATTGTTTTCCTGGAGTAAATTACAGAGCTATTCGTCTTTCTCTCAGATGGTACCTTGGAACGTTGCAATGATTGAACGGTGCCGATATTGAGGTATTTAAAAAAGCATCTCCTTAGGCGGCTGCTTCCAGCACCAATGTGCGAAGCATCCATCATTAGACCTCTCCCTCAATCTATCTCCAAAAGTCTGATCTTACTGAACATTGCTCACTTGACCTTCTGTCCCGCAGGCTAGGAAAGAGAAAACTAAACAGTCTACTGCTAAACATTTAGTCCAGTTTACCTGCCTGCAATGCTACGGGGTTCGCTAATATCTCAAACCCCCGTCTGTATTAAAGCTTGTCTCTCTTTGTTCGCTTGTCTTGAGTAAAAAAAAAAAAAAAAAAAGACGAGATTGAATATGCTTACCTGATAGAGGACATTGCGTAATGATATACGAAGTATCGTTTGCGAATGCAGCGTGGAAAGAAAGGCTTACTCTTAGGTCAAGAGATCCCTTTATCTAAATGATAGTTTCGAGTGTGATGACTGATTTATTTTCCATTACCATTCAAGGGTTAGGATGCGCGTGCAGAGGGGTAGGTTGATCCGCAACAACAACAATAACAACAACAGCAACAGCATCGTTGAAGTCAAAAGTCTTTTTTTTTATTCCTTTTCTTTTTGCTTTGATTTCATCCTTGAGATCAGGCACATTAGTATGTGCCTCTACCATGGCTTTGAAACGCACTAGAAATGGGTCATTTGAATTACAAAGCAAAAAAAGCTTCAGTTGTTGTCAACCATTGTTTTTTTTTTTTTCTGTTGTTAAGAGAACAGTGTTGATGTTACTGAACGTAGCTGGATATCAGAAGCGAAAGGAAAAGACAAGGAAACAGGGATAAGGGCGTTGAAAGCAAATAGTCGGTGAATGTTTGAGTGAACTATAGACTACGAGCATACTGGCATACTGGTGGATGCGCTGTGCTTTAAGCGCCACCAAATAATTGGTGGCGACTGCAATTATGCACAGCACATTTAATAGGGAGCAAAGCTGTAAATATATACATGCATGCAGTGCTACGCGTTCCTTTGGGTTCAAACAGTCACACAATTAATAAAACTGACACAATTTGTTGATAAGGATGTCGAATGGTGACGGCAAGGGGGAATGTGGTGCATTTAAGGCTGATTATTAGAAGTCACCCTAGGTTAATGATAATGAAAGCGGATAAGCTATTTATAGCATTCATAATGCGACCTTGGCACCCAGTAGTACTTTTTTTTGTTTGTTTGTTTGTTTGAACAAAACAAACAAAAGAGAACGTAGGGCTACGGGGGCTAAAAGGATAGCGGCTAATTTATTTGGATGCTATGCTGTATATGGTATGATATATGCCTTTTTTTTTATTGCAAGAGAGGTATTATATTCATTTGAAGGGAAGAGGAGTGACAACCATTGTATATATATATAATATAAATGAATCTATATAGGGTTATAGGATTATGGATGATTTCTAAGTCTTTGTTGTATATATTTTATATAGTTTTAGATGGTGAACAGGCTTGACAGTAAGATTACTGATCCTGCGACCAATACAGCCTGGGTCTTTGGAAGGGCTGCAGGGTTGATGATGAGCCCATTCGCATTGTTAGGGTGGCTATTCCTATTGTTTGCAGAAGTTTCATTGCCACTGCTTCCACTCAATTTGAAAGTGCCTGCGCCTTCCCTATAGGGCTTGCCATCATTCAAACACTGAGCAATTGGTTGCATCACAAGGCTCTTGGTCTCATAAGCAACAGGCAACACACCGTTCAGGGCAACGTCCACCTCTTGAGCGAATAGATCGTGTTGCAAAACAATGAACCCAGTACTGAGAGATGGGATCTTGGTGAGCCAAGTTTTGAAGGTATCGACAACGGATTGAGGTGTAGCAGTGCCACCAGGGATGTTCCAGTCGTTTGTATCAAATCCCTGTGTCCAGATAGAGGTCTTCAGTCCAAGCTGAGTAGCAATATTGCGAACACGAGCATCAATATCGCCTAAAAATAAAAAAATAAAATAAAAAAAAGAAGCATAGGAATGTGTTAGGGTTGCAACTAATCCGCTTTGAAATAAACATTAAGACTATTGACAAAGCCAACCCCCATTATGAATTACCGAAGGGAGGACGCCAGTAAAGAGGAGTGACACCGATGACATCAAAGATTGCCTTCTCCGTCCACTTGAGTTCAGCAACGATCTGCTCATTGGTCAGGCTGGTCATGGAGTGGTGAGACCAGGTGTGGATGGCAATGTGGTGTCCCTCATCATAAGCACGCTTCAAAGTGGCGGGGTAGCTGATAGCACGAGAACCGACGATGAACAGTGTGGCTTTCTGGTTGTGAGCAAGGAGGTTATCGTAAAGACGAGGTGAATCAGGCGAAGGACCGTCTGGAGTTGAAAATAAAAGTAAAAATAAACAGTCATACGTTAGGTAATTGTGCCGGTTTAATTGTTAAACAAAGGCTTTTTTAACAATGTCAAATACTTCAAACTGCCAATGTACTCCTTTGAGGGAAATGAGGCGAGGAACAATAAAAATAAAGAAAAATAGTAATAATAATAATTGTATGTAAATAAAGCCATTCTTATTCTTACCATCGTAGGTCAAGCCCCAGGTACCTGGAGTAGGGCATGTGGTGATGTCGTCGGAGGCTTCACACTTTTGACAAGTCCACCAACATTGTTCCTTTGGAAGACTGGAGGTGGGGTTAGGACAAACACCTTCATTAGAGGGAGGGAAGACAGGGGCCTTTGAGAGATCGACCAGCTTTAACCACTCCTGGACTTGTGGATCCTGTGTGAAGGGAACGCAATCAATGGTTGGGTATTTTCCCTTTTCAACAGGGGTGTATTGTTGAGGGCAAGTAGGGCCAGCTCTCTTGTCTAGATGAGTATGACCATGGGAATGAGCAGAGACAAGGGAGAGGGAAGAGGAAAGGGAGAGGATTGCAGCTGCAACTGTGAAGCTGATCTTGACCATAATTGCTGATGATATGATATGATATATGATATGAAAGAAAAAAAAAATAAAAAATAAAAAATAAAAAAGTTCAGGGATGGGTAGGACTGAAGAGTGTGGGAAAGAGGAGGAAGAAGTGAATGAAAAAAAGATATTTTTAAGAGGAATGTCTAGTAAAGAGATGAAAGAAGATATAAAGATAAAGAAGATGAAGATGAAGGGGCCACTTTTTATATACGAATCAAAGGTGCAAAGGAATGACCGTTGGGGAAGCAGTGACGAAAGATTCGATCCGATCCAATGCAAAATACAGATACGATATCCATGTAAACATCGACATAAACATAAACATATAAACATAGACATAAACAATTACAAATGATGCTAAATTACAAAGAATGATTTCAGGACAGGTGTCCCCCCCTGACAATGCAGAGCTATTGTTACATGTCTGTTACTTCCTCATTGTCTTTAGTGTGTTTGTCGATATTATTTTTAAACCGTTAGACTTGGATCGCCCCTTTGCTTAGTCTCCATTTGGATGACAAAATACAACTTTTACTGTCATTCTTTGCCATGAATGGTGTCTAGTCTGGCCAAGTGGACAGGGTGCACCATTACGGAGTTGTAATTTAGTTAAATGTGCCATATTTTATTTTACATGTACATGTACATGTATACACACATATACATATTATATATATACATGTTATATTACATTTATATTATTACTGCATCTTTATATGTTATATCTGTACAGTCTACTAGACTACTACATGTACGCCATGTAGAAGGAAAAGCCAGATGTTATAAATATATATACCAACAACTCGTCTTCGTGAATGAATAAAGTGTCCATGTACGCACAGACATGCTAAAAAAGTTTTTTCCCCGTCTGCATCCCTGTCTACTCCATCTCTTCCTTACTCTGTACACATGCTCTGTTCTGGGGGAGAAGAAACATCCACTGCCAACTACACTCATGTAAAAAGGTACATTGGTATAAAAAATATCATTACAGAAAAGCATACATCCACTTTTATACATTTCATACAGGAGACATGTACATTGTACGGCTCTACCTGTAACAACGCACATAAACAGTAGTAGAACCCATTGTTAAAGTGGTCCCTATTCCATATATTATTATTCCTCGGTCGAATGACAATTCATGCATAGCAAAGTGGCGATGCTGGAATCGAGAAATGGGCACATCTTTTCATCTTTTCATCATCCATCGAATAATCACCACCAAAAACGACACTACATCTGTACTAACAGTTCTGAATGGCTGGCAACAACATCATTGGAAAAGTTTATGTCAGAACCGCCTCTGCCTCTGTAAGCAACGGTAACTCGTCATACAATGTCAATCCGAGAGACATTCGACACATGTTTCCAGATGCAATGCGCTTCAAGCTGGATGGACGTCCCATCTCATTTCTCAAAGACTCTGATGCCTCTGAAAAAAAAAAAAGAAAAGAAAAAAAAAAAAGAGTCTGCGCATGGCATTCTATCCTAACGAGATCCTGGACGTCATTACAGGAGTACGCAGCTCAGCAACAGCAATGTTGCCATCAGTATGTCTTGCTTGAGGGAGTCAGTAAACCCGGCCTCGCAGGATCTTCCTTTAGTATCATCAAATACGACTACTCCATCTTTCAATTCTTCCCTCACTACCCCCAATAATGGACAAACCGAGATGATCAACACTAGTCTTGGAAAGGGTATAGAGCTATTGCTAGAGGTCAAAGACTAGAGCGACGAAAGCCTCAAATTATAATTAGATGCCGAGGTGAAAGACTACCAAATGCTTAAACTGCAATCGGAGGTACTTAGGCTACAGCAGGAGAGTAGGACGAAGAATAATGAAATACTTAAACTGCAACGTCAAGCCCTCGACAGACTTGACATCCTTCAGAAACATGTTAACGTTATTCGCATCCAGAACTTTGAGCAAAACGAGTATTCAATCCCTTGACTCTTAAAAATCTTGCCTGTTGATACAGCCAAGTAGAATTAGAACAAGAGGCGTTTGGAAATGCGGTGAAATTGAATGGCAACACATATGACTTTGTAAATTAACCATCACATTGGAATCCAGAATTACAGCCCAACAACTCTTTGATACGTTGACCAACGCGAGACGTCTTTACGGGTTGGACAGCACATTCAATTGGAATTAGGCCAAAGCTGATTTTGAAGCGTTTGAGAAAGTACTAAGGAAGTCAAATGCATCAATCCTTTGACTTGAACTTGGGGGCTTCCAAGGAAGTACTGGAGCTTCATTATATTGAAGCTACTGGAATTTGAATACTTGTAAATTCACTCAAGGCCCAACCTAGCCTTGACCTGCTTGGATTTGAACGACAAAATAATTGGAGATGAAGAAACTCTTATACTGTCAGAGGCACTCAAGACTAACAGCACTCTGGCCCTTGTAAAACAGTCTAATGAAAGTAAGTGTATATGAACTAATTTTGAGGCTTTCCCAGATACAATTGACTGGTTTGAAGTTGGAAATAGTATTTGTATAGCGAATAAATATAGTTTAGTTTCAATAAATAATGATCCGCAGCCAAGCGCTCATTGCGAGGTTGCATTTTGATCCATTTTCTTCAATCCTTAAACTCAATTCTTCTTCCCGCTCTCTTATATACCATCCTTACTATCCGTATATGCTCCCCTAATCATCTACAGCAATGCCTTCCATATGTTTTCACAAATGAGTTAGCCTTCCTTTGTCGCGTTTCCAAGCATTCTCCAAATGTTTCCCCGACTGAATAGATCTTAGCCTGAAAATTTACTTGTCCAAGTCGCTCTTTATGTGCGGCTCTTCCAAATGAGTTTTGCATGATCCTCTCCCCCTGAAAGAATATTTCATGGTAAGCTATATAGCTCCATTAACAAGTCTCTCCTGCTCGCCTTGATTGAACAACAAAGAAAAAATAAAAAGGCATTGAATACGAAATGGGTCATTGTTTGCCTTCATAGAGGCGAGAAGTCCGAGTCGGCCAACACAAAAGGATCCCCAAGCCATGCAGAGGGGTTTGGTCCTGCCGTTCAGAGTAAGAATAGCGATGGAATCGTCGTTACAACAGCATGGCCAGGTTAAATGATCATCTTCACCTTTCTCCCTTTGAGCAATCTCTCTCATCGACTGAGTAAGAAGGGTGCTTACTAATACTGGAGAAGGATTTCGCTATTGAATGCCGCAGTCAACCGAAAGATCTACAGAATGGCTAGAAAACATTGAGCTTGAAGGCGCGCGTGGTAGTGGGAGAGCCGCGATTCGAAAGAACATTCCACTCACTCCACCAACTGTCCTTCTGTACACCTCACACCTGCCTAGTATATATCACCCGCGACATGGATACAGCTCATAACAAACAGTAAAGGATGCGTCTTGAAGCCAATAATCAGTGTTTTGACCCAGCTGCATCCCTTCGCAAATGTGATGGCAAGTAAGTTGGGAGACGTGGTAATACCGGCAGACAGTAACATGCTTGCATCCAAAGTATAAAAGCACGTCAATTATCTGATAGCCTTTCTTCAGTTGCATATTTTTTATGGTGTTTGCAAATTACTTGAGATACTTGATTGAGCATGGCAGGCCATAGAATTGTTGCATAGTAATTATAAATGACGAGCTACCAACAACACCAAAGAAAGCGGAAGGAGGTAGAGCATCATATTGCTACTCTTTGCGTTGGACCAATCAATGCTATCTGCCAACTATCCTCATCCAAGACTTTGAACTACACGAGTATCTAATCCCTCGACTCTTCATTGCTCAAGACTAGACCACTTTGGCCACTTTGGACTTGTCCTTCAATTCAATCGGGGATGAAGGAACTCATGCGCTGTCAAAGGCACTCAAGGATAACACTGCTTTGACTGTATTGGCCTAAATGAAAGTGAGATGGCTGATTTAATCATCATATTGATATTTAAGTAGCCAAGAAATATATAATTCAGTTTAAATAAATGACTGATCTGCAGTAGCCAAGCATTCATTGCGACATTACTTTTTGATCTTTCGACGTTTACTCTTTTTCCCCTTGCAGGAGGCTCCTAGCGTGCCAACGTTGATGGTGGCTCATCACTATATCAAATATATTATAAAAGTGCTACCAAAAACAATTGGATGTGATGAGTGATCCAATACGCCTGCGAGAAGTGATTAAATCGTGCAGTAGTTCGTATTTCTCCACACGCAACCTACTATTCGACTTTTGAACCTAACTCAAGCCCTGCTTGTCAACACCCATTTTCACATTCTATTTGCATTTACAGGGGAAATTTTCAGATGGGATACGCTTGCATTATTTATTTATTTATTTATTTTAACAACTACAACTAAGGGACACAACTAGGGGACAAAGGCCTTGAGGATTAATGTTGGCTATCTTGGGTATCTCTAGTGTATCAAGTGCGTTAAATATCTTGGATGCCTTGGGTATCTTTGGTGCCTTGAGTGCCTTGTGTCTTAAGTGCTTCGGGTATTTGGAGGGTATAGTGGGCACCGTGGCTGCATAGGGTTTTCTAGACGCCTTGGGTATCTTGGGTATCTTGGCGCCTTGGGCATCCTGAACGCCTTAAAGGCCTTTGATTATTATTGTTATTATTATTATTATTGTTGTCGTAGTTACGTATTATAATGTACACATTATATTGCTACATAATAATGTTACATATTATAGTGTTACATATTATGATTAAATATTATAATGCTACATATTAAATATTAAATATTAAATATTAAATATTAAATTTTTTTTTTTTTTTTTCTTATTTTTTTTGTTTTTTTCGGCTTTTTTTTAGTTTTATATTTTTTTTTGCTTTTTGTATTTTTATATTTTTTTTTGTTTGCTTTTTGTTTTTTTTATGCATTTTTTTTTGCTTTTTTAATTCTTTTTAATACTTTTTTTTTGTTTTTGTTTTTTATAATGTTTTTTTTGGGTCTTTTTTTTTTATGATTTTTTTGGTCTTTTTTGTTTTATAGTTTTTTTTGGTTTTTGTGTTTTATGGATTTTTTTTGGTTTTTGTGTTTTATGGATTTTTTTTGGTTTTTCGTGTTTTTTCGATTTTTTTGGGTTTTTCTGGTTTTTATGGGATCGGCATCGACCAAAGCCCTTCGTCGGGCTTGGGGAAGGCCGGTCCTAGGTTCGGCCAGAAGAGAGGCCAAGAGCCTGGATGCCTGTCAAGGGACGTGGTAGCTCTTATTGTGGTTGTAGTGACTGAAAAAGAAAGCGAAAGAGAAAAGAAAAGAAAGAAAAAGTTAGCATCACAGTCAGTTAACACAAAGTATGAGAGCTGTGGTCATTATTTTTTTTTCTTATCAAGTAAGAGTGGATATGTTTTTTTTATCTTTTTCTTTTGGGAGTGGAGCTTCTTACCTTTCATTTTCGTCAAAGTGGTTGAAGGATAAAGAAAAGAAGAAAAAGAGAAAGAGTGGACAGATGACACCTTTATAAATGTTCGTTTTTGAAAGCCAAGAGGCAAGTGACATCATCCAACGTTGTTCATCGCTCTATCGATTCAATATTCGATTTAATGCTGAGATTGTATAGTGAAAGAGACGAAGCAAGGGAGAAGAAGGGTCAAGCAAAAAGAGCCGAGAGAGATTCATGTGATGTGCGCGCGTCCATTGCCCTTACATCTCTCACATCTATTGGTCCGTCCTGTTGGTGGCAAAAATTTAGAAATTGAGACAGCGAATAGCAGCAGATGCATGGAGTCTATGCCGCTCATTATCCGCTTCTGATGTCATCTATACTCCTCTCATACCTCTTGGTACCAGAGCAAGCAAAGACCTCCCATACTCCAAGGGAAGAAACTTATTTAGACAATGAGCAACGAGCAACATGTAGTGTGATGTGGTTAAACTAAACAGGACAAAGGTCCATAACATAAGCATAGTGACGGTTGTATTTACACACCCATGCTCACAGGCAGCCAGCCCTTGATCAAGAATAGAGGCAGAGTATCTTGACAACACCAGCCAAGTTTGTCTTCCTTTCCTTTGAAGAGGCTGACTGCGCAAATCGAAAGCATTATAAAGGATTAAATGAAATAAGAATACATTATGAAGAGTACTATTCAAGATAATTCAGTGGAATATGAAAAGATAGTAAGCACAATGCATTTAAATAAATGTATGCTTACTATCGTCATTTGCAGCTCCACAAGCGATAAGTGTCATCAACAAGTCATAATGTTCTCTTAATGTCCGCCTCCCTTCTCTTCGCATATGGAAGCATAAGCATGAACAAATAGATATTCAGCTATTGACTCTGGCCTTGTTATATTTTTTAAACAAAGAAGTGAGATAAAATTAAATCATTAAACAAAATAATAAAAAAAAAAAAAACAAATAGTAAATAGAAATAAAATAAGAATTAAATTAAGGAAATAAAAAATAAGAAATAAAAAATAAAATAAAAAATAAAATAAAAAATAAGAAATAAAAAATAAAAATAAAAATAAAAATAAATATAAAAACAAAATATTGAAAATAAAAATAAATAAAAATAAGAAATAAAAAATAATTTTACTTCATTTTCTTGAATCTCGCTCTCTTACATACTATCCTCACTATCCGTATATGCTCCTCTAATCATCTACAACATATCTTCCATATGTCTTCACAAATGAGTTAGCCTCCCTTTTGTCGCGTTTCCAAGCATTCTCCAAATATTATTCCCGATTGAATAGACCTAAGTCTGAAGAATTACTTGTCCAAGTCGCTCTTTATGTGCGACGCATCCAAATGAGTTTCGAATACTCCCCTCTCTCTGAAAGGATATTTTATGATAAGCTATATAGCTCCATTAATAAGTCTCTCCTGCTCGACTCGATTGAACAACAAAGAAAAACTAAAAGCCATTGAGTACGAAGTGGGCCGTTGTTTGTCTGGACAAGACTTGCTCTTCATACACTAACACGCATAACTGAGTGAGTGTTTTAGTTATTTTTTACTGTTACTTTAATATCTCCACAAGGACTTGCTTCATCACCATGGATTTGGCGCCATGGTATCTTTTTGGTCTTGAAGAGTTGATAGCTTTGGAGGATATGGCCTATCACTATTATTGTGATATTGGTAAGGATAGTATACCTAGTCATTTACTCAGTTCTGGAAGTGCAAATCAGACAAGTCAAACCTCTGCTTTTTATAAGTCCTGGTCCGCTTGTATAAAAGTCCACTTTGGACATGAGGAACAGCTCGATTGGGAATGGAGGAGCCCTTGCACTGTCAGAGGCACTCAAGGTTAACACTACTTTGACCGCTCTAGGCCTGGGAAACAATTCAATTGGGAAAGAAGGAGTTCTTGCACTGTCAGAGACGCTCGCGACTAACACTACTTTGACTACCTTGAAACTGGGATACAACTCAATTGGGAATGAAGGAGCTCTTGCACTGTCAGAGGCTCTCAAGATTAACACAACCTTAACTGGTTTGGACTTGTCCGACAACTCAATTGGGAATGAAGGAGCCCTTGCATTGTCAATGGCACTCAAGACTAATATAGCTTTGACTGCCTTGGATTTGTGGAGGAACCCAATTGGAAAGGAAGGAGCTCTTGCACTACTAGAGGCGACCATCACAATAGTATTTGAATAGTGTAGGAAAATAACTTATTCCAAATAATTTGCTGATCTGCAGTAAAGTGTTCATTGCAACATTGCTTTCTTTAGTAAGAACACTTGCATTCTGTTCCAGTGCTTGCCATCATAGAAATCCTTAAGGGAGCGGCGACATTAACAAAATAAAATAAAAATGGCCCTCATCAGACGATCGGCTCCAGCCATTGTTAAAGTTTGAAGGGTGCAATGGTACAAAGCTTATTTAATGATTGATGACTAAGTGCAAGGCGCTGTACATTGGTATTCTATTGAATCGATCATTCGACCGCACACATTTTAGATGAGAAGCTATTGTAACAAGAGCAGTTTAGATGAGAACAGTATTGAATGGATAGCGGGCGTTAAATATACTACGGTTGTTTCCAGGCGATCATTAACCCATTCTCATAGCTCTATACCTATGATGCTGCCAAATAAAACGAACTCTTAGCAGCATTGGTATGTTAGGATTCTCTTGCAAAGAGAGGGACCAGACATCGAAGGATCAAAAGCCACCAATGTTATGAGCGTTTGCTTCCAGCAGCCACTAACTTATTTGGTCAAACTAATATTCTTAGCTATCAAGATTACATTGCTAACCAAATCATCAAATAAATCTAATGATGGCTCATATTCATCAGTCAACTTCGAATGTGTTACGCCGCCGGCAATTTTGGATGTCAGTAAAGATACCCTCACGTAAAACGGATCCGCGCCGCAATAGTCTTGAGCACCTCAGACAGTGCAAGGGCTTCTTCCTTTCCAATTGAGTTGTCCCTCAAGTCCAATTTAGTCAATGTGGCGTTAGTCTTGAGCGCTTCTGACAGCGCAAGAACTCCTTCCTTCCCAATTGAGTTGTAATGCAAGTTCAAAGTAGTCAAAGTTGTATTGACCTTGAGTGCCTCTGACAGTGCAAGGGCCCCATCATCCCCAATTGAGTTGTGCCTCAAGTCCAAAGTAGTCAAGGATGCGTTAGCCTTGAGTGCCTCTGATAATGCAAATGTTCCTTTATTCCCAATTGAGTTGTACCTCAAGTCCAGAGTTGTCAAGGTAGCGTTAGCTTTGAGTGCCTCTGACAGCGCAAGAGCTCCTTCCTTCCCAATGGCGTTGCTGAACAAGTCCAAAGTAGTCAAGGATGTGTTGGCCTTGAGTGCCTCTGACAGCGCAAGAGCCCCTTCCTTCCCAATTAAGTTGTGCCTCAAGCGCAAAATACTCAAGGTTGTGTTAGTCTTAAGTGCATCTGACAGTGCAAGAGCTCCTTTCTTCCCAATTGAGCTGTAACGCAAGTTCAAAGTAGTCAAGGTTGTGTTGATCTTGAGCGCCTCTGACAGTGCAAGAGCTCCTTCATCCCCAATTGATTTACTACTGAAGTCCAAACAAGTCAAAGTTGTATTCGTCTTCGACAGTAACAGAGCCCCTTCCTTTCCAAGCGAGCCGTACTCCATGTCCAAAGTAATCAAAGTTGTATTAGTCTTGAGTGCTTCTAACAGTGCAAGAGCTCCTTCCTTCCCAATTCGGTTGCACATCAAATCCAGCGTGGTCAAAGTCTTGTTAGTCTTGAGTGCTTCTGATAGTTCCAGAACTTATTCATCCCCAATTGAAAGGCCCTTCAAGTTCAACGTAGTAATAGCGTTATCGTCCCTGAGTGTATTTGCGAGTGATCGAAAGTCACTAGCATCAATCTCTCGAGGCTTCATCTCAATAGTTAGCTTTTGAAGGTGTGGTGGCCTGCTGAGTCGTAAACTGGGGGCCTTTATAGTGTTCGGAGGTAAAACAATATGGATCGCCTTCATGCTGCTAAGTTCTATGATGTGAACAAGCATTCCATATCTGGGAGCCATTGAAAGTATTTCTTTGGTGGTGCTTTCTTGAAACTCTCCGAGTTCAAGCCGAAGGATCGATACACTTGACTTCTTTAGTGCTTCTTCAAATGCTTCAAGATCACTTTTACTCCAATTCCAGTCAAAACTGATATCCAACTCGTAAACACGTCTCGCATCGGTCAGCACATTGAAGAATTCTTCAGCTGTTGTTTTGGTCTTCAATATGATGGTCACTTTGCCTAGGTGCAAGTCATATTCGCCGCCATTCAGCTCCACTACCTTTTCGAACGCTTTTTGTTCTGCTTCTCTATATGTTGAGCGATAGTGATCAAAACAGACCCATTTGACATGGCCTGTCTCTGTCGTGATGCTGTACAAGTTGCCAAGTTGTTTGTCTTCATCATTGTTTTGAAGGAATTTCCCCAGTTGCCGAAGATCGGCTTCTTCAAGTGCCTCACACTCACCGATTTTGTTGATCTTGCTCAAGACTGGGTACTCATTAGGGAGTGCTTCCATATATTTGATCGAATAGTCGATACCGGCATCGAGATTAGGAGTTGGTACCAGGGAAGCTGTCAAAGGCATCCCCATTTTGAGAGAATGTAAAAGGATAAGCATGTACTTTCCATACTTGCGAAAGAACTCTGTGCTGTTTCGGATGTCATATCCTTCATGTTTGGCAATATGGATCTGGTTCTGATTGCTTTTGCTTATCGTTGCAGTGTGCTCTCCACATTCACAAAGGAAATGAAGGCGGAACTTGCTCCTCAGGATATTCCTTGGGTCCCACTTGGTGGTGTCAACAGGCAGGACTATAAAGAGTCGAGGGATTGGGTACTCATGTAACTCAAAGTTCTGGATAAGGATAGCAAGTCTGTCAAGAACTTGCTGCTGCAGTTTAAGCATTTCGTCGTCCTTCTTTTTGGCTTCCAGTAACAAGTCAAGCATCTTTTTGGCGTTTTCTTTAGTCTCTAGGATCAAATCCGTAGTCGTTTTAAGGCTGGAGCTGCTACTATTACTGCTGCTATTATTATTGCAGACCTGTGGTCCATCTGTAATGACATCCAGGATCTTGTCAGGATAGAATGCAATGCATGGGGGTTCGATTCTAATAGGACAAAAGTAAAAACAAAACTTAGGATATGCAATTGAGTTCTCTTACTTTTTGTTCCTGAGCAACACATACGATAAATAAATACTTTACCTGTTGCCATTAGAGTCTTGAAGGAACAGGATGGGATGTTCATCCAGCTTGAATCGCTGTGCATCTGGAAACACATCCTGAATGTCTTGTAAACACACATAGTATGATGAGTTGCCATTGCTTGCAGAGATGGAGGCAGTCCTGACACCGACTTCTTCAATGATGCCAGCTTTTCGGAATTGTTGGTACTGTTGAGTCATGAGATAATTCGAGGATAATGATGAAAAGTAGGAATGAAAAGATTCGTTCCATCTATTTTTTATACAATGTTTTTTTTTTTTTATTTTTTTATTTTTGGCTTCGACTCTCCATCTCATCCATTTCTTTATTTTATGGAGTGATTCTGGTGTATCATTCATATTTCTTTCCACTCGAGGACTAATATGGCTCCTCATGCCATATTATTCTTCAGAACAGCTTCTCCATTGATCCACTGAGCGTACAGTTACTCTCTAACCACTTGGGAAATCGGTCCTCTCATCCACCTTTGACATCGTACACGGAATGTTGTCGTCTATGACCACCGAGCACTGGAGAGTTTCCCAATCCCTTGCATCTGTTGCAATGTGTACTTTTTCCTATCCCGCATCGGATGGCCACTTTCGCTTCCTATCAGTCAATGTTGCTCCAAGCTGATTATACTCTGCGTCAATCCTTAAATAAAGTCCTCCTTTCTGGACAGTAACTCCAAGAATATAGCCATCCAAACTAGAACGTCGAAAATGCAGGAAATAGTCATCCCTGACCAGATGCTCGACACCCGTTTAGATGCTCTAAACTAGAACTGCGAGTGGCGCATCTAGTTTAGCTTATGAATTCTGCCTTGCATGCATTTTATTCGTGTGGTGATTAAACGCGTAATTTGGTTCTATAAGGCACGTGACACCCATTTTCTTTTTTTTTCTCTCTCGTTCTTGGCATGACGCGTAAACATTCCTCTTCACTCACTTCATTCACTCTGCTCAGCAATTGCTTCTGTCTTCAATTCAAACCTGCTTCCCATAACATGAGGTTGCTTTACAAGGTTATCAAGACTAGCAAGCGCAATGAAACGAAGTATAGCCACAAGGTAAGGGATTGGTTGTGACTAAGAACAAGCATAGCGTGTGTACGGATTTCAGAGAAAGGATGCGAGCAGGGTCCTCCGTGGGTACATGAGAAGAGTACAGTCTATGCTAAGGCGCTGGATTGCTTCTCGCTATGACCTCGCCTCAGAGCCCGGGACTGAGGTGGTGCTGGATTTGAGCTTGTTGTTCTTGTTTGCTCCGTTGGGTGTCTTCACCTCTCCATGTTGAGCATGGATGGTGCAGCAGCTTGAACGACATGTTCTCCGTCAGACTCGTGGGTCCATGAGGGGGTTGTTGTACCACGCAGTTGATAATGTGGTGCAAATAAGTCCCTCCTCCATATGGCCTCATCCGACTTCTTTGGAGTCCACTTCCCGTTGGACCTATCTGGGAGTCATATTGTAAGCAATTCTGCTCATCATGTTGGTTGCTCTTTGGGTACATGAGAGACACATAGTCGATGCTAAAAGGTGTGGACTGTCTCTTGCTATGACCTCCCCATGAGTCTTTTTGGCTCTTGGCAGTGCTGCAATCGATGCCTGTTGTCTCTTTGAGGCTGATGGCTATGACGAACGTTAGGAATCATCCAATTGCGGTTGTTTTCATCGTTGGATGTCTGGGACCCCTGCCCCTGAGGAAATGAGCAGATTAATAGCACAAAGGAAGTTGTGCGGTTGTGTTTTGTCTCTTCAGCTCACTAACCAATCCCCAATTATTTTAGTTCTTCTCATTAGATATTGCCTATAACTGAGCAAGATCCCCATTGAGCAGGCAGCTACCGCTGCTCACCAGCCAGGTGCTAAAGCAGGCACAAGTGAGTAAGCAGAGATATTCGCACCTTATCGCTCTGTTAGATAGAGGGACAGCAACTGAGATACACAAGGATGATCCAAATGATGACAAGAATGACAATGGAGGTATCTCAGGTTAGTGCAATACCATTAAAAGCTCTCTTAATGTGTTCAATGAGCGAAGGAGATACGGACCCCAAGGATGCGTCTTTTGCAGTAGATGCATGTTGTGATAGTGGAAATGCCAGCAGCTCTAAAGATGGCAGGGTAGATGACTTGTAGCAAATAAATAAATATGTCAATAAATAAAGAATACAAAGTTAAAAAAAGGACGAAAATGGGTTGTCCCGAGATGTTAAAGACAAATCATACATGTTCAATTCTTTGTCCATGGCCATTGTTCTAGACGATCCTTTTGGGAAGGCCCTAAGACCTTGAACTTCGTCAGATTACGTGTCTGTGTCGACGACAATATCCGACCATGGATGAGTATATACCCCTTGGCACTGGGTTCTCCGGCCAGGCATGGTAAGGCCAAAAAAAAAAAAAAAAAAAAAAAAGAATTCAACGGACCGGACGCAAACAATCCCTCCAGGCGCTCTGGATCGATTACGAACTTGGCCCTTCAAATGAAAGGCTTTTTTTTTTTTGCCTCTCCCAACGCAAGAAGTGGTCAAGAAGCCGCATTTGCACAGGTTCCATCTTCAACAACAATTGAAAAAGATGCTACTCATACTCGAAAACATAGCGAGTACTGTCACTCCAGCTTGCTACGCTTTTGAAGCTGGATAGACCCGACTATCTTGTGAAGGTGTGAAGAATAACCCTCGTTTGTCTTTTTTCTTATCCATTTAAGTCGAGTAGAGAGCCTTGCCGACGGAATTACATAGTTTACTACAACGCTCCCATCAATGAGAGAGCTTTCAACAGCCACTTGGGTCACCGCACATGAAGAGCGAAAGCCGTGAGTAATTCTCCATATTGGACCCGCACGCGGTTAAGAATTTTGTGAAAGGCTAAGTTTGGTAATGAAATACACCTAACAGAAAGGTCTATGGGAAATATAGTCCAGCCAATGTGAAGAGCCTAAATAAAGATTAAGATAAGTATGTAAGATGTCGCCTGTCCTATAAATAAAGACCCTCTTTTTGTCATATTGAGCTTTAGTTCGCATTACATGAGTAAGTTTATATACATGTAAAATCGGTCAAAACATTGCAGTGTCTACGGAGATGGCTCCAAAGTAATGAAAGAGACTAATAAGCTGATGGGTGATCTTGACTCATTTTTTGCGTGTCAATGTAAAAAGAAGTAGGGGGCTGAAGAATAAGCGCGAAAAAGAGCGCAAAGAAAGATGATAAAAAAAAAAATAAAGATGAAAGGCAAATGTGGAGAGAAAAAAGAGGGACGCGTCTATGTACGTCCCCATAACATCCAATCAAATTGTTGCAGAAAGCTGACGTGTATTTTACATTGACAAACTAGAGGAAAAAATTTTATTGAGGACGTTGGAAACTGAACCTGAGTAGCTGAGGCAAGCATGATCTTTGCCATAGGACAAGCGATGCCACACTAATCGGAAGAGGCACATGTTAAAGGCAACAAGCCCTTGGTGTCCTTAAAAATAGATCAAGTCCAACTTTTTTTCTTTGGTCGATCCAGTCAGCGTTTGATGATGGTGCTGGGAAAGAGAAGGTTGGCGGGCACAGCGCCATGTAGTGTACTTGGCATTACCTGGGGATATGGTGCAGTTGAGGATGCAGGCCGACCAAAGCCAGCGGATGAGTCGATAGAGAGCATAGGAGAAGGTGCGCTGCAGATAGCATCACCAGAGGTTTCGTTCTTGTATGGAGAGGTTAGCCTCCCTAGGACTTTAACCTCTCTTGTCCGTCGTTTGAGTAAAATTAAGAGCGAACAAGCTGAAAGTAAAGGCTCCATAAGGAGCCAGAGGGAATTGGAAAAAGACACTGATTTATACGGACAAGTCTATAGCCTGACGGTCTGAACCTTATTGTGTCGTGGCTACAGGGGTGCTCGCATGATAGCAACTGTATGATTCAAATAAGCCGTCTGCAATGGATTTATCTCTTCCAATATTTGAAATTAACATTAGCAGGCACCGCACAAGACCTTTTCGCCCTGCATGGCGACCCTGCGTAGCATGATTCAGGAGCCAAAGCCCTATTCGTATTCAACTAAAGTCGGAAAAGGCAATTGTCGTCACATTCTAGCACGGACGCTGGCTTGAAGGCGCTCAACTATAATCCGACAGATGATATCCTTCTCTTTGAGTGTGTATATTTCCGCGATCATTCGCTGAACAATACATAATGATCTGATTCAAGTGTTTGCCTATCAAAGGATGTAGAGCCTTGTTGTTGTAAATAGATATTCGTTTAACCTTTAATGCAGTAAACTGCCCACGACTAAATTATCTATCAATCGTATCTGTTATATTAACATAACAGCACTTATACTGACCCTTGTTTGTAAAAAACAATATCACTTTGCTTCCTGCTATCGATGTTTATCGGCCCTACAGGCCGATAACCGAGAATGCGATCACAAAAAGTCATTGCCTGACTTTCTTTGCACGCAATCATCTCTGCCTCCATACCCTGATGGGAATGCCTGACAATCCTACAGTGTAGTATAACGTGGTAAACGAAAGAGCATTGCCCTGCCGGTGTTGCAGCCTTATTACCATGGTGTGGGGCTCAATGAATTGAGATAAGAATCACCGAAGATGATTCGATTTAGTTCTTAACTGCAGAGTCACTTTGAGCTAAATACTTCTTTGCCCATCAGAGCAATAGAGTAGCTAGCTGAAGAGTGCCCCTGAACTGCCTACGCAGACATGACTGAGCAGTACCTCCGAACGGAAACCGCTCCCCAAGATTAGGAGTGTGACGAATGGAGGCATGGAAGGACAAAGGCAAGCGGCGGGAGCATTGCTCAAAGGACTTGGACGTTGTGGGTACAAAGCTGTCGGGGGGACGGCGGGCACCCGCCACAGCCAATGTAGAGAACAACGCTGGGACAGCCGAGGAGCCTTGTGAGACTGACAAGTGCTGAAGATGTCTCAGACCGTGAAAAGGCAATGGCAACAGGCTGTACTTTTTGTTGATGGAAATGTTAGATCTCACAAGTGGGTTTCTGGGGATGATTGTGTCGGAACACTTCCTGAGAGGAGAGCTGTATATATACACGTTCTTTATAATATACAGTCGTATTAATAGTAATGATTAAAAAAACGCCGCCGTCGTCTGCTCTTGTACTAACCGCATGTTGGGGTAATAGAGAAGAATGCAGTGAAAGGTAGGAAAAAGGAGGATCTTATTGGTTTGGCAAGTCATAGTCTCTTGATAAGGGATTGGAACAAGGTCCATCTTGGAGTCGATTATGATTATTTACCTTGCATGGCAGCCTAATCAAGAGCGGGTAAGGAAAGAAAATGGCATTGGGTATAGGGCGGAAAGTACAACTCCATCAACAAGTGCGAACAGCTTGCTTTGCTCGAACAAGAGAAGAAAGAAGATGAAAAGGGTGAATAGGAATGAGCATTTGAAGAAGAAAAGGCAGGAAAACTGGGATTTCAACCGAAATCGGCTGTAGGACATATTTGAACATCGGCTGCTATTTTTCATTATAGGTTTATATGTCCTCCACTTAAGCAGCCGGATCCCGCAACTCCTCTACCGCCAGTTTATCGATCACAATCTCCAAAGAAGATATATGAAGCCTATGTGTACTATGAAGCTGCACCCATCAACTGCCCCAGATGTTTAGCAGAGCTGTAATTAGAAGTGGAGCCTTTGAGCATGACGCTGTACAAGTCAGTAGATTGAGCGAAAGAAACGGTTGATCTTTATTAAACATCGCCAGAGTTGTGATTTCCGAAGAAAAATCACCTAAAATAAAGACTGGTCAAAATAAAAATAATCCTCATTTTGGCCAGTCTTTATTTCTGGTGTACCATGCATGGTCGAAGGGAGCTGCAGCAAAAAGTACCCACGCTCATCCTTGGAAAATACCGCAAGAAGTGAGGATGGCTACCCGTACTATCGTCGGCGTAACTATCCTGCACGCCCCTTTGTAAACTCAAAAGGCAACACTGTCGACAGCACTTGGATTGTTCCCCATAATTTATGGCTTACAACTAAATATTAACGATGAAGTCTGTGGATCAGTTTCATCAGTCAAGTATATTTACAAATATGTGCACAAGGGTCATGACAGAGCAACAGTTGCTATCGTAGCAGCGGATGGAGGAAATGTTAATCTCGATGAGCTCAGCAATTACAGGGGTAGCCGATATGGATCTACTTGCGAGAGCCTATGGCGCATGTATGGCTTTGCACTCCATGGGCAATCCCATAATGCTGTTCGACTGCCTGTCCATCTGAAGGATCAGCAGCAGGTGGTCTTCGATCCTGACGCTAATCTCGAGGATGCCATCTCCTTTGCCCAAGACTCCCAGCCCATGGCATGGTTCAAGCTCAATAGTGCCATTGAGAAAGACATTTTAAGGGCAGAAGTCGCAAATGTGACCAATGCAGAGACCGCAGGCAATGTAAAGGCACTAGAATATTATTTGTATCCTGATATACCTTACCTCTACACCTGGGATAAGCGCAGTAAGATGGAAAGAAAGAGCCAGGGCCAGTAGCACGAAGGTTCTCTCTAGAATCTATTTTGTCCAGCCAAAAGAGCACGAACGGTATTGCCTTCGGCTGCTGCTTATGCATGTCATAGGAGCAAAGTGTTTTGCTGAGCTCCGCACAGTGCCTGAAGTCAACCGAACCTTTGATACGTCCTACTCAGCTGCTTTTGCTCACGGCTTGCTCGAGGATGATGAAGAATGCAGTCGTTGCTTAGAAGAAGTATCCACATATCAGCCACCGAGGAGACTGCGTCACCTATTTACTATTATGATGATCAGCTGCAGTCTCTCTGGCCCACTGGCTTTGTGGAATCTCTATGCAAGGGATCTATCGGAGGACTCCCTTCATACATGTAGAGGGCCCTGGGGGAGGCAACTGCTACCATGGAAGATAGTACAGAGGAACAAGCTAAGGGCTCGCCACTTTACGATCTAAATGAAGTGCTGAAGGAACTTGTGTCCTGCCTGGCCAACTTTCCAGAGATGCCTCAAGGAATTGAAAATGGCCTACAGAAGGAAGATCAGGTTGATGACACGCAGAAGCAATGGGAATTTGAACAAAAGGCGCTCAATGACTTGGTGTACTTGAACTTGAACTAGGAAATCACCTTCGAACACATCATTAAGGCAACCTAGGATGAGATTCATGAGAGGCTTTTTTCATTGATGGGACAGGCAAAACTGTTTCTATACAAGACACTCATTGGTTGCCTCACTGGCCGATATAAGCCAAGCGTGATTGCTGTCATATCATCGGGGATTGCCTCCCTCATCCTTCATAACGGCCATACAGCCCACTCCACGTTCAAGATACAGATATTTATTTTATTAAGATATAAACAATTAAAGGGAAAGAAGGCTTTGTTTACATCTTAGAGTTCTCAAGTCCAACAGCTTCGCACGACCAATTCCACCAAAACTTTTGTTTGGCAGGATCCTTGCTTTCTTCACTTGATTCATCCTCCCCACCTTTGGAGAAGTACGCACCATTCTTGCTTCGTTTCTCACCACTCATGGCCTCAAAGACGCATGCACCTCCTTCCTGAACTGTGGAGGCAGCACTGATTCTTGAAAGCACATTATCCATCAACATACGCGTTGCCAGTCCAGAGTCACGCTTCAAGTCGGTTGTGGGGATGAAACCTGGGCATACCTAAAAGAATAAAGAAAATAACGAGTAAAGAATAGGCAAGGGTTCACGTCACCAAAAGATCAAGATTAATTTTTTGTTATCAGATTCATTACCATGACATGGTTAAAAAGGCAATCCGTTTTTTTTTTTATATTTTTTTTTTGGAATTCCTTACCGCGTTCACATTAACATCGGGGTCATCTTTAAGGGAAGCAGCCAAAGCATGCATACAAAGTGCCTGACAAAGCTTACTGTTGCGGTAGATGAGCATGCCATCAAACTCAACAGAGCCATCAATGTTCTCGATAGTGAGCTCAGGTCCCTTTCCACGACCTACACCGGGTTTGTGCAGGGTCGAAGAGACAAAGAGGATACAGGATGGTTCCTCTGGCCAGGTCTTGTGGCCGATACGCAATGAGGGCAACAGCAATTGAGTCAAAAGGAATTGAGAAAGATGATTGACTTGAACGTTGGTTTCAAAGTTATCTCCAGTCATCTTACGGCTAAAGACCATCAGACCAGCATTCAGAATTAAGGTATGAATTCCCTGTGGGAAGGACTTTGTGATATCCTCTGCGAATTGGCGGACAGAATGGAAGGAAGCTAGTTCCAAGGGACGATGTTCGACTATACTGGTAGAGTCAGCAGGGATAAAAGGTACAAGGTTGTTGACACCCTTTTTTGCACGTTGAGGGTCACGACAACCGAGGATAAGATGAACGTTGGGGATAGAGGCAAGGATGAGCTTTGCACACTCGAATCCAATACCAACGTTACCCCCAGTCATGACAATGACCTTCTTGGGTGGGACTGAAGTCTCTGAAGCGTGAGTAGCCATGAAGCAGTTTTTGATATTGTAGTGGACTTGTAAGATGGTAGGAAAATGAAGAGAGGAAAAGAGGCGAGGGAAAGTAGAGAAAAAGAATGTGGGAGAGATTCATAAAAAGTGGGACTGCTCTTTTTTGGATCCAATTGGGGCTTGTCTCATTCTGTGGTATCAACATGTTTGTACACATGTGGATGTGGGGCGCTGCTCTTATTGCGTTGGTGTTTCCCTTTGTTTCCTTTCCTTGTTCTCCTTTGTTTGCTCCATTCTTTTCTCTTTTCGTCATTTCTTTTTTCTTTTTCAGTAAACCAACACTCCAATCAAGGATCGTACTTTGGAAACACTTTTATAATTCCTTTCTACTGAAGCCATACCACGCTTGAGCGGAACGACCTATCATTTGTCATGGCTATCGTTACTGAAGAGGTTCCCTTCGTCCCTACAGAAGTATGCTTTATTTTTATTTTTTATTTTTTTTGCAGGAATGAAATGAACCGAAATTAAATTACAAAATACAATATAATACAATGCAATGCAATGCAATGCAATGCAATGGAATGCAATGTAATGGGTTGCATGAACGCGTTGGAATTGTCCATTCTAAGTGCGCGTTGTCCTTTATTTGCCTATTTATTTATTTCTTAATTTATTTATCTATTCATTTTTAAATATGATTCGACTAATACCTTCACTAGGACCTTCAATATCGCGAGCTAAAGACGGGTGTGTTGCTTCAGCTTACAGATGATCCGGTAGAACAGGATGCTATAGCCGGCTCCAGTCTTTTTGTTGTTTCCAACAAGTTTGGTTATTTCGTTGCAGGCAGCAGCAACTGTACGTGCATTTATTTCATTATTTTATTTATTATTTTTATTTTTATTGGCCTCGCTACTAAATTTTTTTAATCCATTGTTAACTGAATATTAGGCCTTGTCTTTGATAAACTCTCGGTACTGAGGAAGGCTTTTGAAGAAGGCACAGGCGGCGATGATCATAACAAATTTGAATCAAGAGCAAAGATTGAGATCCCCAACAATGCTCTTCGGATCATTCGACTCTCTGCAGATGAACTTACGGTCGTAGTATCATTAGCTGGAGGAATAATTCAGCTCTACAAAGTCGTAGATCTCTTGGCTCAGGTAAGTTCCAACAGCAATCATCAAAGACTGGGACCTGCTATATATATTTGAAGGTTGTCAAGCATTAACCAACAACTTTGTTATTCTTGGGCACTACCTTAGTCTAAAAACGCAAGACCATGTATCTCATTTAAATTTCGTCAAGAGATCCTTGATATTCGCCCTAATCCATCACCAGATAAGAATGGACTTGCTGCAGTCTTGCTCGCGGATCGAACAATTGAGCTGATTAACACTGATGGGGCACCGACAGTCGTCCTCAAAGCTAAAAAATATACAGCTATGGCTTGGTCTGCAAAAGGCAAGCAAATCATGTGTGGAACAGACACCGGTGTCCTTCAGCAGATCGATCCTGAAGGTGTCGTAAAAAAGGAGCATCAGCCTAATCCTGAAAATGAAGGCAAAATGGGTAAGTCTTGGCTATACTTTACAGATTTACTCAAGGATCCTTGGTTTCATTGCTAACTAGCACTACACACTACTCCGTCTTTTATCTCAAAAATAGTTGTTGGAATCAACTGGATCGAAACAGCAGTGTTCATCGCTGTTTACTGCGTACCGCCAGCTGATGATAACGATACACCTGAATACGATGTTTGCGTCATTTCAAAGGAGGTCCCATCCAGTCCAAAATACCAAACATTCGGTGACATTTGTTTCGCAATGCCACAAGAGGGTGCAGGCTCGGTATATTTTATGACACCCTCTATCAAATCATGGTAAGTACACAATGTTTTCAGCAGACTATTTACTATCGATCTTTGTGTTTAGAATGTTGTAAAGCCTTTGACAACGCGATCTAACAATCAACGGCGTATTCGAACATATACAGGGGAGGTGAATTTAAAGAACTTATTACTGTAGCATCCTCGCCATCGATGGACGTTGTAGGGATCGGGAGAGGAAGTGATGGAGACTGGAAGAAATGGGATCTCGATGATACAAAGCGCGCTACTGTCCCTGGGTTTGACAGCATCTGCCTAGGCCTTGGCTTAGACTTGACATCTACAGCAGCGTTAGAACCTTTGGAGGAAGATGGACCGGCTGTTCAACCATGCCCAATCATTTACATTTACACCCATCTAGGCGCACTCGCAGCTTTCCATATTCTTAATTTACAAGCAGCGAAAACAGGAGCGGGCTGTCCTGCCATGGTAAAACCGGCTGATCTTCCAGAATCAGCCCCTAAACCTAAAGCGAGCCCAAGCGCTACTAAAGCTACAGTCGCTGCCCCTATCGCCGCTACAAAAGCTACAGCCGCTATACCTACAGCCGCTGCACCTACCGCTTCAGCTGGTGCGTTTGGATCAATATCAAAGACACCAGTGTCTCCCTTCGCAACTACGGCAGCTACAGGATCGCCACTTAGTAAATCCACTATCGCAACGCCACCCTTGCAGCAACTTAAACCAGCAGGATTGCAAAAAATGAACTTTGGCGCTCCATCACCGCTTTCCAACCCTCCAACCACCTCTTTCGCCCCTAATCCTGCTGTAACCCCAAACCCATCATTTCAACAGGCCAAACCAGCTGCATCCACCACAACCTCTGTCAGGCCTAGCCCATCTCTACAACAAAACAAGGCTCCAGCCCCGAAGCAGCCAGGCATAATGCAAAAGTTGCTACAAGAAGATAAACCCCTCAAAATCATCCGCAAGAAGAGCCAATCAGAAGAATCGTCTGCACCAGCCCCCAAAGTCAGTGCGGCCATGGATGCCTTATCCCGACAACTGGAGAATACATACCTTGCTATGACAGAGGAGCTCAGGACTCTGAGCAGCCACGTGAAGGAGACGGAGGAGCTTATCAAGGCCCGTGAACTTGTTTTTGAAGAGCTGGATCAATTTATGAGGGTCACAACCAAGCGTATTAAGGCAGCTAGTGATGCAAAAGCGTTGGCAGAATCAGTTTACAAGGATTTTGTCCAGTTGAGAGCAGACCTCATTAAAGCGACTACGAAAAAGGATGAAATTGGACGATTGTTGAGGGCACGACAGGATCCCAACTTGCATGACATGCTCCAATACAACGAGCTGAATCCAGCTCAGCTCAGTCAACAGGCGAGGATGAAGGCATCATTTGAGGTACATATTGAAATCCGCTTGTAGAAAAATCACAAAACAACCCGTTTATTTTCCTCAAGTTCTAAACACAATCTTGGTTTGCATCTACTGATCATTAGGTTGTCGACAAGCGTCTTGTAGAACTGGAAGACTACGTGGAAACGTTGAGTTTGAAGGCCACTAGATTACGTCAGGGCCATGACTTTGAAGGACCTACTCTGGATAGTATTCGCCGTGCTATATGGAATATCAGTCATACTCTTCTCCAACGACAGGATGATTTAGACCAACTCTCTCGTGCTCTGGATGATTTTTCGATCTCAGGGTCCCTGAATCCAACAAGGGATCGTAGTAAGAAGGTATCCGTCAAAGAATCAGCAACACCAAATCCTCGAGCAAGTCTGCGTGGATCAGTAGCGCTCTCTTCAATGGTTGATCAACGACCAATAACCAAAATAAAGAATGAAATGGCACAAGCCTTGAAGCGTGTGCTCACGCGTGATGCACGTGTTAAGCCAATTTTTACTAGCCTATCTCAGAACGGTCCTGGAGGAACACTGTCTATGATTCCTAGAACACAAGCTCCAGAATTCATACCAGCTCCTGAACCTCGACGTGCTGAGGCTAAGAAGCGGCTCTCTGCCGTTATTTCGCCCCCGAGCGAGCAGCAAGCTGTGACTACACCTGCTGCAGATGCCACACTCCCTGCGTTCCCGTCACCTGGATTCGCATCACCTGGATTCGCATCACCTGGATTCGCATCACCTGGATTCGCAGCAACATCACAGTCATTCCAGTCACCCACTACCGCGATGGACGCGCCAAAGGCTTTTACTGGTTTTCAGGTGCCAACGCCATTCAAAGCGCCGCAGAACACTCCACCAGCGTTTGGTTTTGCGGAGACTCTTTCTCAGCAACGATATGAAGAGAAGGACTATGAAGAAGCATTCAAGGATGGAAATGCTCAAGACGAGCAAGAGCATTATGAGGGAGAAGAAGAAGAAGAAGAAGAAGAAGAAGAAGAAGACGAAGAGGTAGAGGAAGAAGAGGGAGAAGAAGAAGAAGAGCAGGCTAGATCTAATGAACGTTACACACATTATGTACATGATGGTCAGGAATATGAACTCGAGGAGGGTTCAGAACCAGAAACATGGGATCTGAGACTGACCAGCGGGATTATGACCGGGATGATGATCAAGAAGAAGAAGAACAAGAGGAGGCCTCGAAAGAACAGGAGAAGGATGAGCAGAGGCAGGAGGAAGCAAAGAGTGTTCAGGTGCAGCAAAGCATTCAGCTGCCAAGTAAGGCAGAAACAAATCCAGAAACTGAGAAAAAGGCATGGTCAGCGCCAGGGTTCCAATTCCCAGCAGTTGCCTCTCCCACGTCAGGAACAAGAACCTCGTCTGATGCTGGATATTCGTTCTTTACTACAAATACAAAACAGCCCAAGGATACGACTCAGGCAGCCAAAGCCCAGCCTGCCTTTGGTACCGTATCTGGCAATAATACGTTTGGTTCTCAAACGGCATTCAGCTTTGGTAAAGCTCTTGAGGCGACACCCACTTCCTCTGTTGCAACTACACCTAAAGAAGCCGTCTCATCAAATGGGCAAAGTCAGCCTAGTATCCCCTTTGCTAAAGTAGAAACTCCTGTTAAAGCTCCAGTTGTGACAACAACCTCTACACTACGTGAACAGCCGGTTGCGGATAGTGACGATGAGCAGAATAATGAAGGAGAAGAAAAGGAAGAAGAAGAGGATGCCTATTCTGAGGCTGAAATCGACAAGAAAGCATACCGTGGTGATGTCGCCTCAGAAAGGGAACAGGATCAAGGCAAAGGGGAGGAGGACGAAGCAGATGAAGTAGGAGGTGTTCTCGGTGATGTTGATGAAAGGCAAAATGAATCGGATGAGGGTGAGCAAGCCGACGCTAGTGATGCGGGAGATGACAGTGATAAGGAATCAGCATTGACGGCTATTCAGGTGGCTCAAGAAAAGCCTACCTCCAGCACATTTGACAGTCAGGCACGGTCGTCGGTAACGTCTACGGGATCATTCAGCATTGTGAATAGTGCAAATGCTCTGGAGGAGTCTGACCTTGACTTTGGTAAAGTTGGTTTGGGTTCCAGTATCAGCACCTCTCAAAAGAGTGACGAGACTACTTCTAAAGCTACACCTTTGTTTGGAGGTTCATCTACTTGTGGATCGGCACCAGCCTTCGGATCAGGCCCTGCATTTGGGTCCGCTGCAAGCTCAAAGTCTGGAGGAAAGGGTCTCGATATGCCATTTGTGAAATTGCCTCGCGCTCCTAAAGGCACTAGAGACTCTTTGGATTCCAACACGGATGATGACGATGATGAAAACGCCGTAGTTTCGGACAGTGACAGCTCCCCTGTTATCAAGAATAGAGAGGTGAAGCTCTCAACATCTGCAGATTTCGGAAAGCCATCAACTGATAACAAGAGCAGTGAGGGAGGTCTCGAATCATTCAGCCTGTCTTTGGGTGGAGATCCGACAGCTTCGACTGGAGCCAAGTCATCCCCATGGGGTACGAGCTCAACATCTTCATGGGAGTCAATCAGTAAGTCTTCAGCACCAGTGAGTGGCTGGGGAATGACTAGCACGTTGGGCTCAGCATTGCCAACTTCTACTACGACTCCTGCGGTGACATCTTCAGCAACACCAGCTCTCAGCGCGTGGGGCTCAGGAGGCAGTGGTTTTGGTCTGAGCTCGCAGCTTGGATCAACATCTACTACGGCATCAGGCTTTGGACAAACATCTAAACTCGGTAGTGACACAAGTGTCTTTGGCCAAACGTCTACATTAAGCCCTGGTTTTGGGCAAAGCTCACAGATTGGCGGCGGTACAAGCACTTTTGGCCAGGCCTCCACTTTGGGCTCTGGCTTTGGACAGACATCTCCATTGGGGGCTGCAACAAGCGTAGCACCGGCCTTTGGTCAAACGTCCTCCCTAGGCAGTACTGGTACCAGTGCTGCGCCTGCATTCGGTCAGACTTCTTCGTTGGGAGGCACAACCACTGCTACACCTGTCTTTGGTCAGGCTTCACAGCTAACAGGTTCAGGGTTTGGACAGACATCGCAATTTGGAACAGGGGCTGCATTTGGACAGACGAGTCAACTTGGCTCTGGGACAGCCTTTGGACAGACATCAGCAGTTGGAGCAGGATCAGGATTTGGAAGCGGATCTACCTTTGGACAGTCCTCTACACTAGGATCTGGAGTGGCATTTGGGCAGACGTCTTTTGGACAGCCTTCGCAACTTGGAGGAGGGTTTGCAAAAGTACAGCCTACATCATTTGCGACACAGTCCAACTTTGGGTCGTTTGCAGGGTAAGCAATGATCTTGATTTCGGAAACAAAAAAAAAAAAAAAAAAAAAAAAAAAAAAGAAAAAAAGAAAAAAAGAAAAAGAGAGAGAGAAAGGTCTGATCATTCAAGGTGGCCATGCAATTGCTCTTTTATATATATATTAATTTATTTATTTTATCTGATTGATCCTTAACAATAAACAGTTCGGGCACGAATGCGTTCGCGGCTCTTGCCAGTAGCGGTACGAATGTGCTCGATCAACAAGCCAGCCAGGGTAGTGGATTCGGTGACAGCAGCAGCAATAACACTTTTGGAAGTGGTGGAAACACAGGCAGTATTTTTGGAACAGGGTAAGATTTATTTTATTTAAGAATTATGAAATATGAAATATGAAATATTTTGTCTTGAACATATTATTCAAAGTTGATCTAATGAAAACTCGACTTGGTGGTTTGATTGGTTCATCATTGGTAGTGGAGGATTTGGTAATAGTGGAGGAGGAGCATCGGTCTTTGGAAGCGGAAGCGGTTTTGAAAGTGGAGGAGGGTTTGGCGGGGCCAGTAACAGTGGTTCAGGATTTTCCTCTTTTGGTACTGGAGGCGGATTTGGAAGCGCTTCAGGCTTTGGGGCCGGACAAGGTGATGGTGGTTTCGGAGCAGCAGGCAACCAACAAGGCTTTGGAGGACAGGGTACCACGCCGGCCTTTGGCACAAGCTCGAACATCAATACCAACAAGTCATCTTTCCAAGGATTCCGATGAACGTTGTTATGGGTTAGTTGCACATAGCTATGTTACAGAATATTCATATTAAAAGCTTTGTTTTTTTAATTCTTTTATTTTTTTATTTTATTGATAAGTTCGACGCAACTATATTATACCGAAGAGTTGTTAGTATCAGCTGTAAAGCCATCTCTACATGAATTGATACTAGACGAGGCAAGAGCGAAGCCATGGGCTTGCGAATGAATTTTGAAGAATAAATTAAACGCACATGTGCAAAGTGCAAATAAGTGTGCCATCTGTCCATCGACCGAATATACTCACTCAACTTGTTAATTAACAAGGGTAATGATAATGCTATTACCCTTTTATTAAAAATATTACAAAAAATTATTTGACAGCCAAAGAAGGATTTCAAAAAGGCGAAGAGATACTTCCTCGATCTGCACCTCTGAACTTAATCTTTCTTTTGAAATGGTTGCCACACGCTCTAAACCCTCCACAAGCTTTACACGTTCCACGACTGACCTATTACACCCTCGGATGAATCAACATCGGGTGTGCAACGTATCAAAGGACGACCCGTGGATGCTGCAGAGGAACTAATACAAAGTCAACAGGCAATAGAAGGGGTAGACCTATTTTAAAAAAAAAAAAAAAAAAAAAAAAAAAAAAAAACAGATAAAATAGACGAAAGCAATGAAAAAAAGAAAAAAGGTTCGAGGAAGATGGAAGCAGGGATTCAAAAGATATAGGTGTGGAGAAAGTAGTACAGTAAATCAAAGCGGTAGACGCAACTTTTTTTAAAGCTTCACATGGTCCAAAATAAATTAAATTAAGGGACAACTGGCCCGCACAAATCCCATGTAAAGTGATTGTAGGCAAATCCACAATACAGCACAAGTGCACCATGCCCTCTGAAGAGCTGAAGTCTGTACAGCCAATGTCAGAACATGTATACTATCTAGACAGGTTCTGAAATACTAAAAGATCTATATGATATACTCCGTTACCATTGTTTATTTATTTATTTATTTGGTCTTTTATTATTTTTCTTTGCTCTAAGAACGGTATTGTTCGAGCGTATCAAAACTATGATCCTTTCACTTACAAATTTGTGAAGGGAGAGTCGATCTCCCTAATCATTCTTTTCCCAAGCGCTTCGCAGGGCTAACGCGGAAACCCGTCGCAGTTCTCACTGCTGCCGTTATGGGTTTAAGCTTATTGGGTCGCATTTGAGATGTACCATATGCGCAAGGCATTTCCCACTAGTATTTTCAGGACCATATTTCAAGGAGCTGGTGTGACTGGTTTGCCGGCAACGTACGCTGGCAAAATATCTATGAATGCCAACAGCACTATCCTAGCAATGTGAGCCTGCGATCAATCGTTTTTTTTTTTTTAATAAATATTTTTTGACCAGAATGGAGGCTGACTCGGCAACATACCTTTAGCAGTAAAGAAATCACTAAGGAGGTAGGAAATAATAGAGATGGATACTAGCTTGGGCGGGATAAGGTGGAAGTTGGGAAATGCGCAGAGGAGTGGAGGCTATTTAAAGATGAATAAAGTGGCATCGTGATGATAGAGCTTGATACATGGATTTTACTGATTTTTTACTGATTGATTTTTGCGGTTGGTTTTTGTTTGGTTTTTAATGGTTGATTTTTATTGATTGTGATGGCTGGTTTTCCATAACTATTTAAGGGTTGGAATGTGCACAAAGCGTGAGTTGATCCGCAACAACAACAACAACAACAACAACAACAACAACAACAACAACAACAACAACAGCAGCATTGTCCAACTCGAAAGTCCTTCTTTTTTTTTTTTTCTTTTTTTTCGCCTCAAATAGTAAATGTCATCTTGGCTCTATAGCCCATGCACATGAGGCCGTACATTATTGACGATGTATGCTTGATCTGTTTATTAGCTTATGTTATTCATGAACCGATATTTATACATTGAGCGCAATATTAAGTGCATAGCAAGCGTTTAATATATTACAGTTGTTTCCAGACGATCATCAACCTATTTTCATGAGTCTATACCCATGATACTACTAAATAAAACGAACTCTCAGCAGCATTGGTATGCTAAGATTTCCTTTTAAAGAGAGAGACCAGACAGCGAAGGTTCAAAAGGCACCAATGTTATGAGCGTTTGTTACTATCAGTCAGCTTATTTGGATCAAACTAACATTCTTAACTATCGACTATATTGATGACCAAACCAATCAAATAAATCTAGCAATGACCCATGTTTATCAGCCAACATCGAGCGTGTTACACCACTGGGAATATTTGGGTGTCGGTTAAGGTACTCTCACACATGAATGGCCAAAGTCGCGTTGGTCTTGCGTGCCTCTGACAGCGCAAGGGCTCCTGCGCGCCTGATTGATTTGTACGGCAAGTCCAAACAAGTCAAGGTTGTGTTAACCTTGAGCGCCTCTGACAGCGCAAGGGCTCCTTCGCTCTCAAAAAAGTTGCCATCCAAGTCCAAAGTAGTCAGGGTTGTGTTAGCCTTGAGTGCCTCTGACAGTGCAAGGGCTCCTTCATCCCCAATTGAGTTGAACCCCAAGTTCAAACAAGTCAAGGTTGTGTTAGCCTTGAGTGCCTCTGACAGTGCAAGGGCTCCTTCGTCCCCAATTGAGTTCCCATCCAAGTTCAGAGTAGTCAGGGCTGTGTTAGCCTTGAGTGCCTCTGACAATGCAAGGGCTCCTTCGTTCCCAATTAAGTTGGGCTGCAAGTTCAAAGTAGTTAAGGCTGTGTTAGCCTTGAGTGCCTCTGACAGTACAAGGGCTCCTTCATCCCCAATTTCTTTACTACTGAAGCTCAAAGAAGTCAAGGTTGTGTTCGTCTTCGACAGCAACAGAATTCCTTCCTTTCCAAGCGAGTCGTAATCCAAGTCCAAAGTGACCAAAGTTGTATTGGTCTTGAGTACTTCTAACAGTGCAAGAGCTCCTTCCTTCCTAATGGAGTTGCCCATCAAATCTAGTGTGATCAAAGTCCTGTTAGCCTTGAGTCCTTCTGATAGTGCCATGACTCCTTCATCTCCAATTAAGTTGTTCCTCAAGTTCAAAGTAGTCAAACATCTGTTAGCCTTGAGTGCCTCTGACAGTGCCAGAGCTCCTCCAGCCATAACTGAATTATCCCTCAAGTTCAACATGGTTATAGCCGTATCGGCCTTGAGTATATTTGCGAGTGATTGTAAGCCACTAGTGGTAATAAATCGAGGCTTCATCTCAATAGTTAGCTTTTGAAGGTGTGGTGACCTGCTGAGCTGTAAACTGGGGGCCTTTATAGTGTTCGGAGGTAAAACAATATGGATCGTCTTCATGCTGCTAAGTTCTGTGATGTGAACAAGCATTCCATATCGCGGGGTTGTCGAAAGTAATTTCTCGGTAGTCCTTTCTTGAAACTCTCCGAGTTCAAGTCGAAGGGCCGATACACTTGACTTCTTTAGTGCTTCTTCAAATCCTTCAAGATCAGCTTTGGTCCAATTCCAGTCAAAGATGATATCCAACTCGTAAACACGTCTTGCATTGGCCAGCGCATTGAAGAATTCTTCAGCTGTGGTTTTGGATTTCAATGTGATGATCACTTTGCCAAGGTGCAAGTTATATTCGCCGCCATTCAACTCCACTACCTTTTTGAACACTCTCCGTTCTGCTTCTCCATATGTCCAACGATAGTGATCAAAACAGACCCATTTGACATGGCCTGTCTCTGTCGTGATCCTGTACAAGTTGCCAAGTTGATTGCCTTCGTCGTTGTTTTCAAGGAACTTCCCCAATTGCCGAAGATCGGCTCCTTCAAGTGCCTCACACTCATCGATTTTGTTGATCTTGCTCAAGACTGGGTACTCATTAGAGAGCGCCTCCATATATTTGATCGCATAGTCGATACCGGCATCGAGATTTGGAGTTGGTGTCAGAGAAGTTGTCAAGGGCATCCCCATCTTGAGAGAATGTAAAAGGATGAGCATGTACTTTCCATACTTGCGAAAGAACTCTGTGCTGTTTCGGATGTCATATCCTTCATGTTTGGCAATATGGATCTGGTTCTGATTGCTTTTGCTTATCGTTGCAGTGTGCTCTCCACATTCACAAAGGAAACGAAGGCGAACCTTACTCCTCAGAATATTCCTTGGGTCCCATTTGGTGGTGTCGACAGGAAGGACTATGAAGAGTCGAGGGATTGGATACTCAAGTAACTCAAAGTTCTGGACAAGGATAGCACTAGCATGTCTTTGAAGAATGGCAAGTCTGTCGAGGGCTTGATACGCAGTTTAAGCATCTCGTTGCTCTTCTCCACAGCCTCTTGCTGTAGTTTAAGCATTTTATCATTCTTCTCCTCAGCCTCCCGTTGTAATTTAATTATTTCGTTGTCCTTTTCCGTAGCCTCCCGTTGCAGCTTAAGCATTTCATCATCCTTCTTTCTGGCTTCCAGTAACAGGTCAATCACCATGTTGCTCTTTTCTAACATCATCTCCGCAATCGTTTTAAGGCTAGAGTTGATCATCTCAGTTTGTGCGTTGTCGCGAGTAGTAAGGATTGAGTTGAAAGAATGAACCAAGTTTGATAATGGGTAAAATATCCTGGGAGGCTAGATTGGTTGGTACTCCCAACGCGGACAAACTGATGACGGCCATGCTGTTGCTGCTGGCGCTGGTGCTACTATTACTGCTGCTATTACAGTTGCAGGCCTGTGGTTCTGCTGTAATGACGTCCAGGATTTTGTCAGGATAGAACGCAATGCGTGGGGGTTCGATTCTAGTAGGACGAAAGAAAAATCAAAGTTAGGATACGCACTTACTTTTTGTTCCTGAGCAACACAAATGGTAAAATAAAACTCTTACCTGTTACCATTAGAGTCTTGAAGGAACAGGATGGGATGTCCATCCAACTTGAATCGCTGTGCATCTGGAAACACATCCTGAATGTCTTGCAAACACACATAGTATGACGAGTCGCCATTGCTTGCCGAGATGGAAGCAATCCTGACACCGACTTCTTCAATGATGTCAGCTTTTCGGAATCGTTGGTATTGTTGGGTCATGGAGATGAGTCGAGGGATGATGATGAAAAGGAAGAATGAAAAGATTCGTTCATTCTATTTTTTATGCATTTTCTTTTTTTTGCTTCGCCATTTGGTGACGCAGGTGAGAAATATGGCTGTAACGTACTTTCTTGTTGTTTAGAGCTTGATCTTGCTTGACATACTAGTTGTTTTTCCATCCATGGATACGATCCACTTGTGTCCTTGGCTTAAAGTAAAGTGCTCCTTGTTGAAGGCAAAGATGCTTTCGAATGATGTTGCATCGATTATGACCAGACATGGTTATACCAACCAACAATGCCCTGCTTACGAAAGATAGTTCAGGCTTCGAGCTACCGACTACTATGTTAAGCAATAATGGCAGATAACGGAGCGATGACTATAAAATATCTGTAGTTTGCAATGGTACTCTAGTCAAGTTGATAAGAGCGGTAGCTCATAGCTTTATATTGACTTCTGATGAAAAGGTGATGATCTGAAATTAGAGTATATGGCCCAGCACAATACGAAAGCTGATACTTTGATCATAAATTTGGACCGCTGCTGTCAATATCCAATATCAAAACCGAAAATGCCATATGATTTTTACTTTACATAGCTGCCTCAGGGAGAGAGCTTGGTCGACAGATGTATTGGAGCATCTGTGCAGCATGGACTTTCATACAAGCGGGTCAAGACTTATAAAAAGCAGAGGTTTGACTTGTCCGATTTGCACTTCCAGAGCTGAGTAAATGACTAGGTATACTATCCTTACCAATATCACAATAATGGTGATAGACCATATCCTCCAAAGCTATCAACTCTTCAAGACCAAAAAGATACCATGGCGCCAAATCCATGGTGATGAAGCAAGTCCTTGTGGAGATATTAAAGTAACAGTAAAAAATAACTAAAACACTCACTCAGTTATGCGTGTTAGTGTATGAAGAGCAAGTCTTGTCCAGACAAACAACGGCCCACTTCGTACTCAATGGCTTTTAGTTTTTCTTTGTTGTTCAATCGAGTCGAGCAGGAGAGACTTATTAATGGAGCTATATAGCTTATCATAAAATATCCTTTCAGAGAGAGGGGAGTATTCGAAACTCATTTGGATGCGTCGCACATAAAGAGCGACTTGGACAAGTAATTCTTCAGACTTAGGTCTATTCAATCGGGAATAATATTTGGAGAATGCTTGGAAACGCGACAAAAGGGAGGCTAACTCATTTGTGAAGACATATGGAAGATATGTTGTAGATGATTAGAGGAGCATATACGGATAGTGAGGATAGTATGTAAGAGAGCGAGATTCAAGAAAATGAAGTAAAATTATTTTTTATTTCTTATTTTTATTTATTTTTATTTTCAATATTTTGTTTTTATATTTATTTTTATTTTTATTTTTATTTTTTATTTCTTATTTTTTATTTTATTTTTTATTTTATTTTTTATTTCTTATTTTTTATTTCCTTAATTTAATTCTTATTTTATTTCTATTTACTATTTGTTTTTTTTTTTTTTATTATTTTGTTTAATGATTTAATTTTATCTCACTTCTTTGTTTAAAAAATATAACAAGGCCAGAGTCAATAGCTGAATATCTATTTGTTCATGCTTATGCTTCCATATGCGAAGAGAAGGGAGGCGGACATTAAGAGAACATTATGACTTGTTGATGACACTTATCGCTTGTGGAGCTGCAAATGACGATAGTAAGCATACATTTATTTAAATGCATTGTGCTTACTATCTTTTCATATTCCACTGAATTATCTTGAATAGTACTCTTCATAATGTATTCTTATTTCATTTAATCCTTTATAATGCTTTCGATTTGCGCAGTCAGCCTCTTCAAAGGAAAGGAAGACAAACTTGGCTGGTGTTGTCAAGATACTCTGCCTCTATTCTTGATCAAGGGCTGGCTGCCTGTGAGCATGGGTGTGTAAATACAACCGTCACTATGCTTATGTTATGGACCTTTGTCCTGTTTAGTTTAACCACATCACACTACATGTTGCTCGTTGCTCATTGTCTAAATAAGTTTCTTCCCTTGGAGTATGGGAGGTCTTTGCTTGCTCTGGTACCAAGAGGTATGAGAGGAGTATAGATGACATCAGAAGCGGATAATGAGCGGCATAGACTCCATGCATCTGCTGCTATTCGCTGTCTCAATTTCTAAATTTTTGCCACCAACAGGACGGACCAATAGATGTGAGAGATGTAAGGGCAATGGACGCGCGCACATCACATGAATCTCTCTCGGCTCTTTTTGCTTGACCCTTCTTCTCCCTTGCTTCGTCTCTTTCACTATACAATCTCAGCATTAAATCGAATATTGAATCGATAGAGCGATGAACAACGTTGGATGATGTCACTTGCCTCTTGGCTTTCAAAAACGAACATTTATAAAGGTGTCATCTGTCCACTCTTTCTCTTTTTCTTCTTTTCTTTATCCTTCAACCACTTTGACGAAAATGAAAGGTAAGAAGCTCCACTCCCAAAAGAAAAAGATAAAAAAAACATATCCACTCTTACTTGATAAGAAAAAAAAATAATGACCACAGCTCTCATACTTTGTGTTAACTGACTGTGATGCTAACTTTTTCTTTCTTTTCTTTTCTCTTTCGCTTTCTTTTTCAGTCACTACAACCACAATAAGAGCTACCACGTCCCTTGACAGGCATCCAGGCTCTTGGCCTCTCTTCTGGCCGAACCTAGGACCGGCCTTCCCCAAGCCCGACGAAGGGCTTTGGTCGATGCCGATCCCATAAAAACCAGAAAAACCCAAAAAAATCGAAAAAACACGAAAAACCAAAAAAAATCCATAAAACACAAAAACCAAAAAAAATCCATAAAACACAAAAACCAAAAAAAACTATAAAACAAAAAAGACCAAAAAAATCATAAAAAAAAAAGACCCAAAAAAAACATTATAAAAAACAAAAACAAAAAAAAAGTATTAAAAAGAATTAAAAAAGCAAAAAAAAATGCATAAAAAAAACAAAAAGCAAACAAAAAAAAATATAAAAATACAAAAAGCAAAAAAAAATATAAAACTAAAAAAAAGCCGAAAAAAACAAAAAAAATAAGAAAAAAAAAAAAAAAAATTTAATAACTAATATTTAATATGTAACATTATAATATTTACTCATAATATGTAACACTATAATATGTACCAATATAATGTGTACATTATAATAATAACAACTATATTAATCAAGGTGTTTAAGGTGTCTAAGGTGTTCAGGATGCTCAAGGCGCCAAGGTACCCAAGGCCTGCTAGACACAAGATATCCAAGATACCCTAAGGCGTCTAGAAGGCTCGATACATCCAACGGTACCCAATATACCCTCCGAAACACCCGAAGAACTCTGGACACAAGGCACTCAAGACACCAAAGATACCCAAGGCATCCTAGATACTTAACGCACTTGATACACTAGAGATAGTCAAAATAGCCAACATTAATCCTCAAGACCCTTATACCCTAGTCGTAGTTGTTAAAATAATAAATAAAAAGAATAAAAATTATAAACCATCGTATTTAAATATTCTCCCTATAAGCGCAGACGGAATGCGAAAATGGATGTTAACCAACAGTGCTTTTGCCAGGTTCAAAAACCGAATATGAGGTTGCGTGTGTGGAGGAAAACGAACGGCTGCGCGATTTAGTTATTTTTTACAGGTGCATTGGATCACTCATCACGCCCAATTGTTTTTGGTGGCATTTTTTTAAATTTATTTTATACAACGGGGAGCCTCCATCAACGTTAGCACGTTAGAATCCCCTTGCAAGGGGAGAAAGAGTAAACGTCGAAAGATCAAAAGGCAACGTCGGAATGAATGCTTGGCTACTGCAAGTCAGTTATTTATTTGGACTGAATAATATTCAAACATCATTATGATGCTCAAGTCATCCAACCTGCTATCATTTAGACTGCTACAGTCAAAGTGGTGCTATTCTTCAGTGCCTTCGATAGCGCATGAGCTCCTTCATCCCCAATTGAGTTGCACCACAAGTTCAAAGTAGTCAGGGTTGTATTAGCCTTGAGTGCCTTTGACAGTGCAATTGCTCCTTCAGCTCCAATTGAGTTGCATGCCAAGTTCAGAGTAGTCAAAGCTGTGTTAGCCTTGAGTGCCTCTGACAGTGCAAATGCTCCTTCCTTTCCAATTAAGTTATTGGGTAAGTCCAAAGCGTTCAGGGTTGTGTTAGCCTTGAGTGCCTCTGACAGTGCAAGTGCTCCTTCATCCCCAATTGAGTTGTCCCGCAAGTTCAAAGTAGTCAGGATAGTGTTAACCTTGAGTGCATCTGACAGTGCAAGCGCTCCTTCCTCCTCAATTGAGTTGTCCTGCAAGTTCAAAGTAGTCAAGGCTGTGTTAGCCTTGAGTGCCTCTGACAGTGCAAGAGCTCCTTCCTTCTCAATTGAGTTGTGCGACAAATTCAAAGCAGCCAGGGTTGTGTTAACCTTGAGTGCCTCTGACAGTGCAAGAGCCCCTTCCTTCTCAATTGAGTTGCCTTCCAAGTTCAGGGTAGTCAAAGCGATGTTATTCTTGAGTGCCTCTGACAGTGCAAGTGTTCCTTCCTTTCCAATTAAGTTATTGGACAAGTCCAAAGCGTTCAGAGTTGTGTTAGCCTTGAGCGCCTCTGACAGTGCAAGAGCACCTTCATTCCCAATTGAGTTGCTGAACAAGTCTAAAGTAGTCAGGATAGTGTTAGCCTTAAGTGCCTCTGACAATGCAAGAGTTCCTTCGTACCCAATTGAGTTGCCCTGCAGGTCCAAAGCAGTCAAGGCTGTGTTAGCCTTGAGCGCATCTGACAGTGCAAGAGCACCTTCATTCCCAATTGAATTGCCTTCCAAGTTCAGGGTAGTCAAAGCGGTGTTATTCTTGAGTGCTTCTGACAGTGCAAGTGCTCCTTCCTTCTCAATTGAGTTGCGCGACAAGTTCAAAGCAGCCAGGGTTGTGTTAACCTTAAGTGCCTCTGACAGTGCAAAAGCCCCTTCCTTCTCAATTGAGTTGCCTTCCAAGTTCAGAGTAGCCAAAGTTGTGTTAATCTTGAGTGCCTCTGACAATGCCAGCGCTCCTTCATTCTCAATTAAGTTATTGGACAAGTCCAAAGTAGTCAAGGCTGTGATAGCCTTGAGTGCCTCTGATAGTGCAAGAGCTCCTTCATTCCCAATGGAGTTGCTGAACAAGAGCAAAGTATTCAGGGTAATGTTAGCCTTGAGTGCCTCTGACAGCGCAAGAGTTCCTTCCTTCCCAATTGAGTTGTCTTCCAAGTTCAGAGTAGTCAAGACTGTGTTAACCTTGAGTGCCTCTGACAGTGCAAGTGCTCCTTCATACCCAATTGAGTTGCCCTGCAGGTCCAAAGTAGTCAAGGCTGTCTTAGCTTTGAGTGCCTCTGACAGCGCAAGAGCTCCTTCCTTCCCAACTGAGTTGTACCGCAAGTCCAAAGCAGTCAGGGTAATGTTAGCCTTGAGTGCCTCTGGCAGTGCAAGTGCTCCTTCCTTCCCAATTGCATTAAATCTGAAGTTCAAAGAAGTCAAGGTTGTGTTCGTCTTCGACAGCAACAGAATTCCTTCCTTCCCAAGCGAGTCGTACTCCAAGTCCAAAGTGACCAAAGTTGTATTGGTCTTGAGCACTTCTAACAGTGCAAGAGCTCCTTCCTTCCCAATGGAGTTGCCCATCAAATCTAGTGTGGTCAAAGTCCTGTTAGCCTTGAGTCCCTCTGATAGTGCCATGACTCCTTTATCTCCAATTAAGTTGTTCCTCAAGTTCAAAGTAGTCAAACATCTGTTGGCCTTGAGTGCCTCTGACAGTGCCAGAGCTCCTTCAACCATAACTGAATTATCCCTCAAGTTCAACATGGTTATAGCAGTATCGGTCTTGAGTATATTTGCGAGTGATTGAAAGTCACTAGTGTTAATCAATCGAGGCTTCATCTCAATAGTTAGTTTTTGAAGGTGTGGTGGCCTGCTGAGCTGTAAACTGGGGACCTTTATAGTGTTCGGAGGTAAAACAATATGGATCGTCTTCATGCTGCTAAGTTTTGTGATGTGAACAAGCATTCCATATCGCGAGGATGTCGAAAGTAATTTCTCGGTGGTGCTTTCTTGGAACTCTCCGAGTTCAAGTCGAAGGGCCGATATACTTGACTTATTTAATACTTCCTCCAAAGCTTCAAGATCAGCTTTGGTCCAATTCCAGTTAAAGATGATATCCAACTCGTAAACACGTCTTGCATTGGTCAGCGCATTGAAGAATTCTTCAGCTGTGGTTTTGGATTTCAATGTGATGGTCACTTTGCCAAGGTACGAGTCATATTCACCGCCATTCAACTCCACTGCTTTTTCGAACGCTTTCTGTTCTGCTTCTCTATATGTCGAGCGATAGTGATCGAGACAAACCCATTTGACATGACCTGCTTCGGTCGTGATCCTGTACAAGTTACCAAGTTGATTGCCTTCATCATTTGTTTGAAAGAATGTTCCCAGTTGTCGAAGATCGGCTTCTTCAAGTACCTTATAGTCATCAATTGTGGTGATGTTGCTCAAGACCGGATGTACATTGGAAAGCGCTTCCATATATTTGACCGAGTAGTTGATAGCGGCATCGACATTCGGGATTGGTGCCAGAGAAGCCGTCGGAGACGATGTATCCTTGAGACAGTGTAAAAGGGTGAGCATGTATTTTCCATACTTGCGATAAAACTCCATACTGCTTCGAACTTCATATCCATTATGGTTGGCAATATGGATTTGGCTCTGGCTGCTTGTCGTTGCGGAGTGATCCCCACATTCACAGAGGAAATAAAGGCGAAACTTCTTTTTCAAGATATTCCTTGGATTCCACTCGGTCTGCTGGATAGGTAAAATAATAAAAAGTCGCGGGATTGGACACTCGTGTAGCTCAAGGCTCTGGACGAGGATGGCGTTAACATGCTTTTGAAGGATAGCAAGTCTGTCGAGGGCTTGACGTTGGAGTTCTTTAGGTATCTCATTACTCTTCTCCTTAGTCTCCTGTTGTTGTGGTTCCTCCAAGGAAGACAAGTTAGTGACAATATTACTATTGCTGGACTGCGACGTTCCCGTAATGATGTCCAGGATCTTGTGAGGATAGAAAGCAATGCGTGGAGGTTCGATTCTAATAGAATAAGAAAAGAAAGACATGAATGTCCAATCGAGTTCACTTATTTGGTTCTTTTTTCTTTCCAAGGCAATTGACAAGGCACCTTGATAAAGTAAATATTATACTATACCTGTTGCCATTAGAGTCTTCAAGGAATGGGATGGGATCTCCATCGGATTTGAAATGTATTGCCTCTGGAAACATGTCTCGAATGTCCGTCAAATCCACATAGAATGTCAAGTCGCCATTGCTTCGAGAGGTGGAATCAATTCTGACACAAACTTGTTCAATCGTTCCAGTGCCAGCCTGTCGGAACTGTTGGTAATGAATTTGTGTCATTTTTCTTTTTTTCTTTTTTTTTGGTGATTATTCGATGAATGATGACAAGCTGAAGGGTTTTCTCATTTTCATTTTCTGAGCAATGGAGTCGCCGACCATCTTTTTTTTTTTGTCTGGCTTTACCGCTTGAGTACAAAAGTACAAGGATACAGGTCTGTCGAATGCATTCATCTGCTGTGCCTAATAAATTAGAAAAGCTATCCACATGCACATGCAGTCTTTGATTGGCTCTCAAATGATGACTACAGACACAATTAAGTGCGCCTTGGGCTGTTGATACAGTACGGACCACATAATGGCGCCGTATCATTCTCTCTTCTTGCAAATTTCCTGAAATACCACCCACCCTGACAACTGAACTAAGGTGCTTTCCTCATCCTTGTGCTTGTCCTCCCGGTCACCTTTGAGCTCTTCAACAATGTTATCTTTGTCACTGGCAGAGGGTACTTTGTGAAATATTCCTCAATCGATGGTCTACTGTAGTTGAAAGGAGTATCTGTTCCGTATAAACGCTAATGGAGGAGTTAATCCTCATGTGGGAACTAACGGAAGGCGTAGCTGGAGGGAGATCATACGGAGAGTATGGACAGTGTATAGGAGAGCGAGAAAATGAATTAAGTCCAAGGGTTCCAGGAAATGAAGTAAGGAATTTTTTTATTTTTATTTTACATTTTTTATTTTTATTTTACATTTTTTATTTTTATTTTACATTTTTTATTTTTATTCCATATTTTATTTTTTATTCCATATTTTTTATTTCGTATTTTTATTTGTTTTTTATTTATTTTATATTTATTTTGTTTAAAAAATATAGCAAGGCCAGAGTCAATAGCTGAATATCTACTTGTTCATGCTTATGCTTATGCTTCCATATGCGAAGAGAAGAAAGGCGGACATTAAGAGAACATTATGACTTGTTGATGACACTTATCGCTTGTGGAGCTGCAAATGACGAGAGTAAGCATACATTTATTTAAATGCATTGTGCTTACTATCTTTTCATATTCCACTGAATTATCTTGAATAGTACTCTTCATAATGTACTCTTACTTCATTTAATCGCAGTCAGCCTCTTCAAAGGAAAGGAGGGAAAGACAAACTTGGCTGGTGTTGTCAAGATACTCTGCCTCTATTCTTGATCAAGGGCTGGCTGCCTGTGAGCATGGGTGTGCAAATGCGGTGCCACTGTGCTTATGTTATGGGCCTTTGTCCTATTTACTTTAGCCACATCACACTACATGTTACTTGTTGCTCATTGTCCAAATAAATGTTTATTGACATATTTATTTTATTTGCTACAAGTCATCTACCCTGCCATCTTTAGAGCTGCTGGCATTTCCACTATCACAACATGCATCTACTGCAAAAGACGCATCCTTGGGGTCCGTATCTCCTTCGCTCATTGAACACATTAAGAGAGCTTTTAATGGTATTGCACTAACCTGAGATACCTCCATTGTCATTCTTGTCATCATTTGGATCATCCTTGTGTATCTCAGTTGCTGTCCCTCTATCTAACAGAGCGATAAGGTGCGAATATCTCTGCTTACTCACTTGTGCCTGCTTTAGCACCTGGCTGGTGAGCAGCGGTAGCTGCCTGCTCAATGGGGATCTTGCTCAGTTATAGGCAATATCTAATGAGAAGAACTAAAATAATTGGGGATTGGTTAGTGAGCTGAAGAGACAAAACACAACCGCACAACTTCCTTTGTGCTATTAATCTGCTCATTTCCTCAGGGGCAGGGGTCCCAGACATCCAACGATGAAAACAACCGCAATTGGATGATTCCTAACGTTCGTCATAGCCATCAGCCTCAAAGAGACAACAGGCATCGATTGCAGCACTGCCAAGAGCCAAAAAGACTCATGGGGAGGTCATAGCAAGAGACAGTCCACACCTTTTAGCATCGACTATGTGTCTCTCATGTACCCAAAGAGCAACCAACATGATGAGCAGAATTGCTTACAATATGACTCCCAGATAGGTCCAACGGGAAGTGGACTCCAAAGAAGTCGGATGAGGCCATATGGAGGAGGGACTTATTTGCACCACATTATCAACTGCGTGGTACAACAACCCCCTCATGGACCCACGAGTCTGACGGAGAACATGTCGTTCAAGCTGCTGCACCATCCATGCTCAACATGGAGAGGTGAAGACACCCAACGGAGCAAACAAGAACAACAAGCTCAAATCCAGCACCACCTCAGTCCCGGGCTCTGAGGCGAGGTCATAGCGAGAAGCAATCCAGCGCCTTAGCATAGACTGTACTCTTCTCATGTACCCACGGAGGACCCTGCTCGCATCCTTTCTCTGAAATCCGTACACACGCTATGCTTGTTCTTAGTCACAACCAATCCCTTACCTTGTGGCTATACTTCGTTTCATTGCGCTTGCTAGTCTTGATAACCTTGTAAAGCAACCTCATGTTATGGGAAGCAGGTTTGAATTGAAGACAGAAGCAATTGCTGAGCAGAGTGAATGAAGTGAGTGAAGAGGAATGTTTACGCGTCATGCCAAGAACGAGAGAGAAAAAAAAAGAAAATGGGTGTCACGTGCCTTATAGAACCAAATTACGCGTTTAATCACCACACGAATAAAATGCATGCAAGGCAGAATTCATAAGTAGATGCGCCACTCGCAGTTCTAATTTAGAGCATCTAAACGGGTGTCGAGCATCTGGTCAGGGATGACTATTTCCTGCATTTTCGACGTTCTAGTTTGGATGGCTATATTCTTGGAGTTACTGTCCAGAAAGGAGGACTTTATTTAAGGATTGACGCAGAGTATAATCAGCTTGGAGCAACATTGACTGATAGGAAGCGAAAGTGGCCATCCGATGCGGGATAGGAAAAAGTACACATTGCAACAGATGCAAGGGATTGGGAAACTCTCCAGTGCTCGGTGGTCATAGACGACAACATTCCGTGTACGATGTCAAAGGTGGATGAGAGGACCGATTTCCCAAGTGGTTAGAGAGTAACTGTACGCTCAGTGGATCAATGGAGAAGCTGTTCTGAAGAATAATATGGCATGAGGAGCCATATTAGTCCCCGAGTGGAAATGATACACCAGAATCATTCCATAAAATAAAGAAAAGGATGAGATGGAGAGTCGAAGCCAAAAATAAAAAAATAAAAAAAAAAAAACATTGTATAAAAAATAGATGGAACGAATCTTTTCATTCCTACTTTTCATCATTATCCTCGAATTATCTCATGACTCAACAGTACCAACAATTCCGAAAAGCTGGCATCATTGAAGAAGTCGGTGTCAGGACTGCCTCCATCTCTGCAAGCAATGGCAACTCATCATACTATGTGTGTTTACAAGACATTCAGGATGTGTTTCCAGATGCACAGCGATTCAAGCTGGATGAACATCCCATCCTGTTCCTTCAAGACTCTAATGGCAACAGGTAAAGTATTTATTTATCGTATGTGTTGCTCAGGAACAAAAAGTAAGAGAACTCAATTGCATATCCTAAGTTTTGTTTTACTTTTATCCTATTAGAATCAAACCCCCATGCATTGCATTCTATCCTGACACGATCCTGGATGTCATTACAGATGGACCACAGGTCTGCAATAGTAATAGCAGCAGTAATAGTAGCAGCTCCAGTCTTAAAACGACTACGGATTTGATGCTAGAGACTAAAGAAAACGACAAAAAGATGCTTGACTTGTTACTGGAGGCCAAAAAGAAGGACGAAGAAATGCTTAAACTGCAGCAGCAAGCTCTCGACAGACTTGCCACCCTTCAAAGACATGCCAATGCTATCCTTATCCAGAACTTTGAGTTACATGAGTATCCAATCCCTCGACTCTTCATAATCCTGCCTGTCGACACCACCAAGTGGGACCCAAGGAATGTCCTGGGGAGCAAGGTCCGCCCTCATTTCCTTTGTGAATGTGGAGAACACACTGCAACGATAAGCAAGAGCAATCAAAACCAGATTCATATTGCTAAACATGAAGGATATGACATCCGAAACAGCACAGAGTTCTTTCGCAAGTATGGAAAATACATGCTCATCCTCTTACACTCTCTCAAAATGAAATCGCCCTTGACGGCTTCTTTGGCATCAATCCCGAAACTCGATGTCTGTATCAACTCTTCGATCAAATATATAGAAGCACTCTCTAATAAGTACTCAGTCTTGAGCAAGATTAACAAAATCGACGAGTGTGAGGCACTTGAAGGAGCTGATCTTTGGCAACTGGAAAAATCCCTTGAAAATAACGATGAAGGCAAGCAACTTGGTAACTTGTACAGGATCACAACGAAGACAGGCCATGTCAAATGGGTCTGTCTGGATCACTATTGTTGGACATATATAGAAGCAGAACAGCAAGTGCTCGAAAAAGCAGTAGAGCTGAATGGTGGCGAATATGACTTGCACCTTGGCAAAGTGATCATCAGATTGAAGTCCAAAGCAACAGCTGAAGAGCTCTTTGATACGCTGGCCAACGCAAGGTGTGTTTACGAGTTGGATATCGCCTTTGATTGGAATTGAACCAAAGCTGATCTGGAAGCATTCGAAGAAGCACTAAAGACGTCAAGTGTATCGATCCTTCGACTTGAACTCGGAGATTTTCAAGAAAGCATTAGCTGGAAAATACTTTCGACATCCTCGCCATATGAAACACTTGCTCGCATGATAGAACTTAGCAGCATGAAGACAATTCAGATTGTTCTCCCTCCGAAGACTATAAAAGTCCCCAGTTTACGATTCAATAGGCCATCACACCTTCAAAATCTAACCATTGAGATGCAACCTCGGATTGGCTTTAATGACTTTCGAGTACTCGCAAGTACACTCAAGGCCGATACGGCTATAAACACGTTGAACTTGAGGGGTAAATCAATTGGAGATGAAGGACTTCTGGCACTGTCAGAGGCACCCAAGGCCAACACATGTTTGGCTACTTTGAACCTGCGGAACAATTGGGAATGAAGGAGTAATGGCACTATCAGAGGCACTCAAGACTAACGGGGCTTTGACCACGCTGAATTTGATGAGCAATTCAGTCGGGCATGAAGGAGCTCATGCACTGTTAGAGGCGCTCAAGGTTAACACTACCTTGACCATTTTGGATTTGGAGTACGATTCACTTGGAAAGGAAGGGGTTCTGTTGCTGTCTAAGACAAACACGACTTTAGCTGATTTGGACTTTACCTCCAAGTCAATTGGGATGAAGGGGCTAATGCAATTGCAGAGGCGCTCAAGACTAATACAACCATGCTTGCTTTGGACTTGGGGCTCAATTCAATTGAGAGTGAAGGAGCTCCTGCACTCTCAGAGGCACTCAAGGCTAACACTACCTTGATTTCTTTATGCTTGTGGAAGAACCCAATTGGGAAGGAAGGAGCTCTTGCATTGTCAAAGGCATTCAGAGGTAACACTTCCTTGGCTACTTTGGACTTGAGAGAGAACTCAATTGGTGGTGAAGGAGCTCTTGCGTTGTCAGAGGCACTCGAAGTTAATGCGGGTCTGGTCATTCATACGTGAGGAAACCTTTGCCGGCATTTAAAGATTTTCGGTGGTGTAACGCGACTGATTTTGGCTTATAAATATGAGCCATTATTAGGTCTATTTGGGTGAATTTATTATAGATAATATCTTAATAGCTAAGAAGAGATGTTTATTCTAAATAAGTAAATGACTGATGGTAGCGAGCGTTCATACTGTCATTGCTTTTTGGTCCCACTATGTCTTCTCTCTTTGCAATGAAATTCTAGTGTATCAATGCTGTTTTAGGAGCTCATTTTGTTTAATGCTATTGCCTTAAAGGAGCCATGAAAATAGATTAATGGCTAATTACAGTAGTATGTAAATGCTGTTTGTATTAAATATTTTACTCACCTAAACAACCCTTACAATTGGTTTGCATCTGAAATGTGCTGCGATAACAGCTTTATCATGGTTCATCCATTTCCTTGCGCCTTTTGAACTCTGTTCGTTTTCTCGTTCTCTTACTATTCATCTCATCCGTAGCCTCTCCCATAATCGGATTCCAGCTATGCACTCTTTTCAGTTTTTCACTTTTTTTTTTTTTTTTTTTTTTTTTTTTGTGTAGCATCCCCCAAGTGTCTCACTGATGCTTTCTAGATTACATGGATTCATTTCTTGGGAATCACTATTTCGAGCTATCCATCCAAGCGAGACGCATCCGAATGAGTTACAAAGGCCCTTCATTCTCTCCGGCTGAGAGCATTTTTGCCAAGCCATGTTGGCTTCATTGATAGCTTTCCCCCATTCGACTTGAATGAACAGAAGGGAAAAGAGAAAACTAAAAGGATTGCTACAAACGAAGTGGACTGCCGCGTATTTCTGAAGAAGAACCACTCCTCACTTCTTCGCCAAGGAGGCATACACATGTATTTTCTCTATACCTTAAAAGAGTAACAAGCTTGAGCGGCCTTGGATACCCTGCTGTTTAATTAATAGCGGCCTCAATAGGACACCAGTATTCAGTGTCTTGAATTTTAGTCGCCAAAATAAACCAGTTGGACCATTACACCTTTCAAAAAACATATATATATATGCGCTGTTTAATAGCCATACTGGCCCATTAAAACTATATTTGAATGAAGAGTTGTTGGCATGAATCACTTCAGCAAAGAGAGAGATTGTTCGCAATTTCATTACTTCTTTATTTATTTCTTTTTTTTGCTCAAAAGTCATTATATTCATATGCAAAGGGTTAATCACTGGGTTTTTGGATCATTTTTCTGTGTAGATTTTGAGCAATAGCCTGTCTTTTTTTTTTTTTTTTTTTTTTTTTTTTTTTCAAACACGAAAAAAAAAAAAAAAGGAAAGAAAACAATAAGGAAATCAGATTGTGAAAGCTTTAGTTAAGCAAGGATTCCCTTCCAGCCGAGAATAAGAGAGCCGTGATGACTGTTTCGATGGTGGACGTGATGCCCCTGGCTGTGGTGCCGGTACCGATGTCAATGGTGGAAAGGACTCTCTTGGTGATAGAGGCGCTGTAGGCGAGAGCGGGCGATCGTTCCCCGGCCACTTGTTTTCCTTGTCGTCAAAGGTATTCATTCTTTCCCTTATTAGGTCTTTCTCTTCATCATCAGCTTCTGGTTTCACTTTTCTTTCCTCACCATCGTCTGGGTATTGCTGTTTTTGTTTCTGTGATGAAGATGAGGATAAAGGAGCCAACGATTTTTTAGGTTGTGGCCCTATTGTGGTTGTAACCTTAGTTGTACTTTTCACCTTGACGGTGGTAGAAGTTGTATGATCATCTTCGGTTATGATGGATGTTGCGATACTACTAATCATGAAGGTCGTAGTATTAGTAGAATCAAAGAATGATGATTGAGGATCCACAAGGTCTTCTTCCTCTGAAGGAAGAGGAGAAGGCGACGAAGGCATCATATATGCGCAACAACATTCAGAGTCATCAAGATTGCAGATTGGACAGCTCATTGTGTAGATCATGATGTGACAACAGGAAATAAACTATTTGCGCCGTGAAGTGAAGAAAAAAAAAAAATAAAGAAAATAAAAGAAGGCTCGTATAATCTGTGTATTTTGAGTATAGCTGGAGCAACTTCAGATGAAGAAAAAAAAAAAAAAAATAAAGTGGGAAGAGTTAAGGGATTTATATGACTTTTTTTTATTTTGGACGCCCAAAATATTTAATTTGAATTTTTGAAAATTCAATTTCTTAAATTTTAAATTTTTAAATTTTTATATTTCCAAAATTAAAAAAAAAAGAGACGCGTCAGCCTTGCTGTGGCTGGCGTTATATTTTTTTATTTTCCCTAGACATACAACTTTGTACTAATATATATATAATATGTATAGTATATATACATTAGGCATAGGAAAAGAGGGGATAGTCAACCATGGGACTATTAACGTTGTTGACTAACTGAACAGACGTCCAAGAAAAAACCAAGCAAACAAAGAAGGTTTGCAGTGCACTGTTACAATCTTATGTAATCAGTGAGAGCAAACAAATAAGCAAAAGAAGAAATGCATGCTTTTGTCCTTGAAAATCTTAAAAACATATTTTGCATCTCCCACGTGGAAACGATTTCCACAACTGTAAGGTCGATCCCTGGCTTAACTTAGTTATGCATAAGTGATTTGAGAGAATAAAAGTACTTTTAATATGAACAGGAAAATAAAAAAGTTATGTGCACCAATGGTTGAAGAGACCCATTGAAGTCTGGCTATTCGTAGGCATACGCTTGAGGCTCATGGGCGACGTTTGAAGGAGCTCATCAGTTATATCATGCATCAAGAGTTGAAGCAACTCATTATTGAGATGTGGCTATACTATGTATTTATTGGTATATGCCATTCATGTTTATATGTGAGTTGCTTCCTCAGTAGGTTTGGCAATTATCAAGTAGACTTTCAATGGTCTTTTAAGAACAATTAGTGTCCATGAAGATGCATCGATGGTCCCAAAGTCTGCAAAAAATCGTACTAGAGTCCATTAAATGGGTACCGAGAAAAGACATTTTAAATTACGTCTTCGGTTAATCTCCTCTATGACTTGTGATTATTAATATGTTAACACGTAAATAAGCCAACCGCGTTCATTTCTTCACCATCACTCTTCCATTACAGCACATATCTCACCTTGGCAATCAGTATCATTTTCCTTTGCCACTATCCTTTCCTCCATTCTGCTTGGTTTAAAGCTTTTCAAATGGTCGGAGCTGTGCATGCAAGTACAAATGTTGATTGTTACTCCTATCCTTGTACGCTTCAGAGCTCATTTGGCGGGAAGAGGTGCCTGCTGAGCTCACTTAGGATGTGCTGAGCTCATTTGGCGGGCGCATTCAATCATCATCTATGAAGAATCATTTGTCACTAGGAACAGTTGATTGCTCAAGGACTATACAATGCATTTGCTTGGAAATTGGAAATGACTTTGTAAATCATTGGGCTAACAACATAGTTTCTTCATGCTCTCTCTTTTTCCACTTTCTCGATTTACTAATCTGTACTTTATTATCTCGATAATAAAGGTCAATAGCTCGAGTGAAGTTACTCTAAACCCTCACTCCCAAGTGACTCAAGGTATTTCTTTGGCCAGTTCACTAGCAAAAGGGTTACAGGGGATTATTATTATTGTTGTTGACATACTAGTCCATAAAAAGAAGAGTATTTCCTTCTAATAACTTTACTTTGAGCTTTAATTATTTAGGTGCTAATGGAGTAGCCATCAGCTAAAGCTAAGCTAGGTTTTGTTTAGTGTAGCTGGACAAAGAGGTAGTTAAAGCCTTATTGTTCAACAAAGAGGGGAATGTCAAAAATGTACTTTTTGCTCAACAGTCACAAATATTTGAAAAAAAAAAAAAAAAAAAAAAACTTTATTTTTGCTACATACTTTCAGATTGTGATGATAGTGAACAAGATCAAGGAAGATTAAACCTGATTGATGAACAAAAAACTTTTGAAGGTAAGAGGAGCAAAAGGGGTTTTTTCTTTTCTTAAGCAACAAAAGGGAACATGGCCTTGCGTCCACGAGGATAATCAGGGAACTCCTTGCGATAACCCTTATGCTTCTTCACTGCCCAGATATACATCTGACCAACAGCCACCACCAAGAACAAATGAGCAGACCAGGAAAGGGTCAACACTGACACTGCCAACCATGCCAGAGTCTCAAAGAAATAGTTTGGGCACGAGACCAAATCAAAGCCATAGCCACGAGGGATCTTGCGGACACGAGTGCCTGGGGGACGAAGGTTACGAAGGGTGACATGGGTCTTGAGGTTGGAAAGTTCAGCAAAGGCGTAGAGGGCAATGCATCCATAGATCACAGTTCGACTTCTCTCGCCCAAAACAGTGCCGGCTGCATTCCAGGGACCGTAGACCCAGTAAGCGAGATTCAATCCGGACAACAGGTGGTAATGAGCACTGTTCTTGAACACGTTACGGAATGGCATTGTACCGTGGGAGAAACGATGGACGAACACGGTCTCGTACTCTCTCTTCAAGAAGTGGAGCATTACCATCCAGAATGTCACGCTGCAAGAAGAAGGATAAAATAGGAAAAAAAAAAAAGTATTGCAATGTTAATATTGATTCTTGACGTGATTATTATCCTGTCTCTTTCTTTCTTTTTTTTTTTTTTTTGGCTTGTTCCTGGTTCCAGGAGATTCCATGATAAACGAAAAAGAAAAAAAAAAAAAAAAAAGACGGTAACATGCCACTTTAAAATGGAGATAGGTTCATAGAATGGGGAAAAAAAAACCCTCCCTTTATAGAAAACATACGTTTGCATCATCGAGTGCTCAAATGTCCTGCTGTAGAACAAAGAGGGCAGATAATAGATCAGAGGATGGATCAGCAAAGGACCGCCGTATTCGATCAAGAAGACAGTACGCCAGCTAATTTGAGGTCCTACATTTTTATCGTGTTTTGCACATGAAAAAATAAAAAAATAAAAAAAAAAAAGTGTGAGCAAAATAATTCCCGGACAAACAAAAAAGAGAAAAAGAGAAGAGAGAGAAGAGAGAGAAGAGAGGAAATGGATCATGTATGGATGCATGGATGTATATACCAAGGTCTTTAAACGTGACCGAGTCACCATCCTTGAGACCATACTCTGACAAGGTCTTGCCCTGTTCAAGAGCAGTCTTTTCAACCGTCAGACGTTGGCGGTCCACGTAGAGCTGAGGAAACTTTTCAGCGATGGCGGCCTGGACATCCTCTACACGAACAGTAGCAGGGGTGCCATCGAGGACGAGGGTGATGGGGAACTTGCGTGACTTTGGAGACCTGGGGTTGATGACCAACTGCATGATGGAATGCTTGAATGCTTTGAGGAAAGAAGGTTGGGGCGTTGGGGTGGGGAAGAAGAAAAAATAAAAATAATAAAAATAATGCGCGTGTAAAGCCAATGTGGCTGAAGTAATTATATCATTTCTCACAATGATGCATTCCTTTGATTGACTTGACTGGCATATCACATTTTTTTCCCAGGCGAAGCACACATAAAAATTTTTTTTAATAAAACTCATTACTCTCTCTCTCTCTGAAAAGAGTGCTTTGCAGATCAACTCTGCTCTCGCTCTCATTCCATCCCATCACAAATGGTGCTACATCAACGAACCAAGCAGGCATTCCAGTCCAAGGACCTCTCTGTCCCCTATGCTCCTTGCTGGTCTCTCTTGCTCGAGCCTTTCGCCCTTGCCCTTAGTGTGGATCAAAAACAGCAACAGCAACAGCAACAGCAACCACTTGTGCAGGCATGGATCGACTTTGTTCAATCATCCAAGCATGAACAAGAGGCTTTTGGTCGTACAACCTCACAGCAACAAGCTGCAGCATTCAAGAAACTAGGTAACTAATTGAACATTCAATTGGCTGATTCTGTTGTAATAAATACATTTTTTTATTCATCTATTTATTCGTTCCTACCTTCTAATCTCATTATCCAAACAATTTTCACTTCATTCTTTGATCCATGGAATACACTATCTACATCAGAGCAGGCTGTCAAGGCACAGAAGGAGAAAAACCCTCAACTTCTGGAACAACATGATTTTCAAAAAGCATTTTCTCAATTCATTTCTCTTTATTATTTCTCTTCTGCAAAATTGGCCTCACGGAAACAGATCTTTGCATTGATCCAGACATTACAACCTTATTTTCAGCCTGATGAATCCGATCCCAACGGAACCATTGTCACAGCCCTCCGATCGGTGATTATGAATAGTATCTTTGCTCTGGAACCAATACTAACAACAGCAGCAGCAACAGCAACAGCAACACAATCACAATCACAATCACAATCACAACCACTAGGGGTAAAGCCCCAGATTCAGATCGAGATGGCATGGCATCAGCGAACCCTCTGTTTGTACACAACTCTCGATTATACTATGGGAAGGACTGCTCTCCATGCCGACATGGACATTATTCTCGATCAACTTTCTCAACTATTGCAAGCTCGTGTCATCACCACAAATGTTCAGGTATTTTTTTTCTTTCTTTCTTTCTTTCTTTTTTTTTTTTTTATATCTTCCTTCTCTACAATTGGCGGACAAAATTCCACTCAATTGAAAACACCCCTCTTTTTCTTCCTTTCTCTCATACACAGGTTGGACGGGATCATATTCCAGCCGAATACACTGAGGCCATGCTAGACCTGGAATTCATCCTCAAGCTCATCCTCGCCATTATCTCGCGTCTAATCGTCACCTCAAACGGCTCTTTACCATCTTCACCATCAGCAGCGTCCTCTACTTCTACTCTTTCTACTTCTCCTACTTCCAATTCCAATCGGTTTGAAATATCATCCACACATAATCCACCCCAGTACATTCTTCGGATCCTAAAAGACGCCATCACAGTCTCTTCCTCTCCTGTCTACCATCGCGATCTCTCCTCCATTTCTGGAATGATCTTTGCAAATCTGATCGACTTGACCTCTCCAACCATTCAAGAGGTCACAAGGCGAACCGTCCAACTTGTCTTTGGAGAAACATCAGGCATGGACACTGTTGACTTGACATCCTTACCACAGATCCCTCGAAACATGGTCGAAATGGACTTTGGATGGAACACCTACCTGGGCGAGAAATGTGGACCAGGAGAGGAAGACGCTGGCATGTATATGTTGGGCATCGTCCGTGGATTATTAACAAACATCCGTCAGGAAGCTCTCGTCATGCCCATTCAACCTGTCTCAACCTGGTATGCTCCACCTGTGTTCCATGATCTTCAAAAAAGAGGACAACAGGATCGACCGAAGGCAGCGGAACAAGAGAGTGGTCTTGTGCTTCATCAAGTTCTCTTCCATGCAATCGCTTATTTGTGTGCTACCTCTAGAGATATCTCCAGTAAAACCTTTGCGTTCGAAACCATGGGACATTGGCTTCAACAAACCAAACTTCATCTAAGTGAAAAATCCCTTGCGTCTGCTCAGATGAAGGAGGCACTAGCCAACTGTATTGATGAGCAGGCTCAGGAGAAATTATCGACCTATGTTCTAGATTATTGGGAGGATCCAGTCGATACAGTCCAACATAAAGTCAAGAATATTCTAGAGTTACTCCTTGATATTGTCTATCTCAAATCCAGATTACGATCAGAGTCAACGACCCCCGATTTTGTCATTCAACTGCTGGGACGTATCCTCATGGCCGATGGTCATCGCAAGTCAAAGTATCCTATCCTGGCCATCTTGGTTGGAAGGGTATCGATGGCTGAAGTCATTGCGCTTCGTCAGGACGCTTTAGCACAGGCCATCTTGGCACTAGATCAGCTTGCAACAGCACCAGGAGCTGCTGTGGCGATCAATGCAATGATCGGGAAATCCTGGAAAGAGTGTCTGGAGCTGGATTCCCTTCATGCCAACGTGTTGATCCCAGTGACAACAACCAAAAAAAATGCAAAGAATAATACAAGCGAATATGTAGAGAAATCAACTCAGGACTCAGAGGCACTTCAGCAGGTTCGAAAGACGGCAATACAACCCTGGATTGACTTTTGGCTTAAGCCTATAGCTCAAGCACTCACAACAGAGAACGACCTAATTCGCAAACATTTAGGCCACTTCATCTTCTCACCCCTGTTCTCTACCTGTCCTGAAGCATTCTGGACATTACTGGAGGTGCTCAATGACCAGAGTGGGACCTACTCTAGCTATATCTCTGATGCACAGTATCGCTTCAATGCTATCGTCCTTGCCATCAAGATCGGTCGTTCACTAGACTTGGTAGACTCCAGTAATTATGTTGACGACAGCAACAACGTTTCTTCATCCTCATCAGCTGATCTCACAAAATCATCCAAAATTCCAATTTCAATCCTCCATGATGCCATGTACCATGCCTCTGGTGATATCCGACTGGATGTATTAGGCATTCTCTGTGAATCCAGACGCTCTACCACCCCTGTCTCCTCCATCGAGTATCGGCTTTTGAAACAGTTCCTCCCGCTCAACCTGAATTCAGTGATTCCTGATTTTCGACAAAAACTCTACACTCACTTGGCTAAATTCCTGACCCGTGTCCGTGGAAACTGTTTTGTTTTGGCGAGAGAGATCGCTCGTCTTTATACCCCTGTCGGTAAAAAGAACCTGACACAGGAACAAGTGGATAGGATGATCAATGAACGGGAAGCTAAAGTGGCGGAAACAAAGGAATTTCTAGAATGGCTGCTGGATCTCTTGTTCTCAACTGTGTACCCTGGAGCGTCCTTCCAGCGGGTCTCTACGAGTTTGAGGATATTGGGCGTCATGATCAAGACGTTCGGGATCGAGAGCACACCTTTACCTTCCGGTTCTAAACCGGATGAGGTCTCCAATTTCCCATTCCAACTTCCTATCGCGACAGAGGAGCGTACAAAGATCCTATTGGGCTGTCTTTTGAATCCATTCGATCATTGTCGTGAGCAGGCCCTTGATATCCTCATGACATTCAAGGCCCCTTATGCAGGATATGAATCTAAAGAATCCGTAGATAGCCTAGTACGCTGGGGTCTGGACTGGCTCAAGAGCACTAGAGCTGGTGAGAGTGATTCTGGTGGATTAGTGATGAAAACCATCTTTGTAAAGTATGCGATTGAACTTGGATGGGACATCAAACTGCCTTATGGTGATGTGGGCGAAGTCTCTAATGTGAACTTTGCAAAAGAAACAGGAAACCCAGCAGGTATTGTAAAACATCTGTATTTTTCTTTTTTTTTTTTTTTTTTTTTTTTTTTCCATTCATCGAAATGATATCCGATTCATACATTAATACATTAGCTAGCCTCTTCTACCCTGCTAACTTCTTGTTCCTTTTGACATCTTTTATTTTATACAACTGTAATTGATCTAGTCGATTTTACAATTCGTTTACAAAATCTACTCCGCATTCAACTTGAGAAGGCGCGCTTAAACCAATTGAATGCGGCACATCACCATCCTTTACATGGCAGTTTGATAGGCCTCCGCTATCTCTTTTCTTCGATCGACTATGCATCTCCATTGGTTACAAATCATCGCCCCTTATGGCAGACCGTTCATGCGGATATGATGGATCTTGTAGAAAGTGTCTGTGGTACTGTCATGGGTGTCTTGTCGAACCCTTCACCGGAGGGCAACATCCCCGCCACGTTTACAGAAATGGAAGAATCGATCGACGCAGTGATTAGCGCCTCTGGAGGGGATGAAATGGAACAAAGTGGTGGTCCCAACCATCAAGTCATCCTCAGTTACTGTTGGAGAGCTATTAAAGAGTCTTCCTCCTTGATGGAACTTGTATTGTCCAAGGCCACCATCATCAGCAGTGCACTCAAGACCGATGGCGTTTTACAACCCGTGGTACTCGACCGAGCAGGTGGGCTCTTCCGTCGACTGTTGACCACCATTCGCCATCCAGGAGCCTTCTCTTCTGTCTTCCCTGCCTATATCTCACTCTGCACTCGACTTTTGAACTCTGAGGATGCTACTCTAGCTGCATTACCTAGAGCATGGTTGGAAGAGAACCTAGATGCGATTTTGAGTGATTCCATTTCTGTGACTCGAAGGTCTGCCGGCTTACCTCTCTGCATCCTCGCTCTTGTGAATGCAGAACTCTCAGATAGTCGACGTACTTTGTTACCGATGGTCATGCGACGTGTCATGGCCATTGCTTTGAAGCCTGTGAGCCCAGACGCTAACCAACAGGTGGACCTTCCACAGATTCATGCCATGAATGTGCTTCGACGACTCTTTATGGATGCGAAGCTCAGTACTTCGGTCCTGCCGTATGTCGGACAAGGTCTTGAGCTCTCCATCCGTGCGTTCTCTTCCCCATCATGGGCTGTACGCAACTGTGGTGTGATGTTGTTCTCCACATTACTTCATCGCGTCTTTGGAGCGAAACGAGTCCGTGACGAGCACTTGGCGATCAATGGTATCACGAGCCGTGAGTTGTTTGCTCGTCTGGAAGACTTGCGTGGGTTCCTTCAAGGTCAATTGGAGGTTGCAGTCAGTCAACTGTTGAATGCAGAATCGCCGTCATCATCGTCGTCCTCTACAGACCGTGTCCATCCAGGATTGTATCCTGTCTTGACACTCTTGTCGAGGCTACAACCCAGTTTACATCCAGATCCAGCAGATGCTGTAGATGGAGGCATGTCTGTGTTTGTTACTCTGGTTCGTCGTTGTGCTGCCAGTGCGATTTGGAAGACACGTGAGATGGCTGCTCGTGCTTTGATCCCCTTGATCGCCTCTCGAGACTTGATGGATCTTGTGTTGGATATCCTGCAAGGATGCTTGAGACCTACTATTTCCCAAAATGAGACACATGGGTTGCTTGTTCAAGTCCAGTTTCTTTTACGTGGGCATCTCTTGGGCGAAGGAGTTGCCGATCGAGTGGTCCGTCGGTCGTTTGTCACTCGATTCGCAGAGATGTTTGGTCCAGTGTCAGAACATGTTCTCAAAACAGGTTGTTCTATCAATCAGTGGATGATCCTTTCAATCTGCACAGAATTTATCTTTGGTCAGGACTGGATCGGACAAGATAACACGGTCGAAACAGAGGCAGGAGAGGGTAAGGGCGAAAAGGACATGCAGATGGAGGTGGAGAGTGAGAGTCAATATGAAGAGATGACCCGTTTGAGTCACAGTCACTTCACATCTATTCGTGAGTTCATTTTCAACTATGCAATCATTGGACTTGTGGAGGGGCAACAGAGTTATCGTACTCAAATTGGAGGGCATCTGGTCCGGCGTCTTTTAGCAAGAGTCTTTATTTCTGCCACAGTTGTTCTTGGAGACAATACTATGATGTCTAAGGAGCAGGCAACGGAGACAGTGGTGATGCTACTGAGGGATGAAGATTATGAAATCAGACTCGAGACTTTGGAGACACTTCTTCATTACCACCAGCAGCAGCAGCAACAGCATCAGCAGTCAAATGGCAATACCAATAGAGTTGGAGGTAGTATTGACATGGAAACCCATCTGGATACACATGCGATCCATGACACTTTGATCCATATTCTGTTCGAGGGAGAAGATAATCTGGAATGTCTTCGATTGGAGGTAGCCTTCATATCGATCCTTGGCACTGATAGACCTTTCCCCAAGGGTAGCCAGGTTGAGATTGTCGAGTTCTGGAATCGGCTCTTGATGCGGATTGATGATCGAGCTACTGGGGGTGTGGCCGTTGTGGAAGCGATCTTGCCTGCTATTGGAAAAGTCTTTGCTCAGGTAAGGAAAAAAAAAATTATATGATATTCTCTTGAAATGGTCAGAAATGACGTGCTTCTAACATCGAAACCAAAAAAAAAAAAAAAAAAAAAAATTGTATAAACCGTACTACTTGCTTTTAGATCTGGAGTGATATCAGTGTTGAGGAGTCCTTGAGGATTGATTGCTTGAATCGCTGGGCTGACTCGATTCACAAGTTTGCAAACGAAGAACAGGTATGAAAAGGACGCTTCTTACTCTTTATTATTGAAAAAAAAAAAAAAAAAAAAAAAAAAAGACTCGCCTGTTTGTGCTGAACATGTTTTGTTTTTCCTTTTGGTCCGTCTATAGACACTCCAACTTCGAGAAGCAGCTTTGGAATCGATTGCTTTCTTTACCAACGACTTGTTGGATCCAAAGCAGGCTCCACCATCTGTGGACGTAACACGCGCATACCTCAAACTTTTTGAGGCGCTGATTTGGCAGTTGCAGGATGATGAACAAGAGGTTCGAGACGAGGCCACCTTGATTGTCTCTCGTGCAAGTCGCCTACCCTATGCTGTCTCTTCCGAAAAGGCCTTGACATTAGTGTACGATCATCAACTTTGCTTGTTCGCAGGCCTTGGTGTTAATGAGATACAACTCCAACTTCTTGTTGATTCCTTAATCTCTAGTCTTATGGGCACTAACAAGCCAGGTAAACGCTCTTCTGTCTTAATTTTTTTTTTCTTTTTTCTTTTTTCTTTTTTCTTTTTTCTTGACTTTTATTACCGTATTCTAATGCATATCCCTCCCTCCCTCCTTTTTTTTTTTTTTTTTCCTTTTTGTTCCACATCTTCCAGCTCGAGTCGTCATTGAATCTTTGCAGCCAAGCAAAACGCTATTCAATAAGGAATCACCCAATTTATATCGCGAACCATTAATATCGATCCAATTGACTCTACGATCTTTAAAGTCAATCTTGTCATCACGGCCTTCCTTTTCTGATCTCCCAGTTTCGATTCAAAAGAGATTTGAGGCCTTCCAAAAGCATTGTCTTCAGGATACAAAAGAAGTTCAACAGGCGATCGAAAAATGGAGCGCTTCAAAGTTGGACGAAAGGAATAATAATAATGATGGTGATGGTGATGGTAATAATAGTAATGATAATAGTGGTGGTGCCAACGATGACAGCGATGACGGTGTCGATGACGGTAGCGGTGAGAAACATGTTGATCGATCCCCATGGGGCGTCAGTGGTCGTAAACCTATCTTTGAAGTGCTTTACAAATTGGCAGGAGGGGCCAGTTTATTGAACCCAGCTGTTGTTCATTCTGATAAGAGTAATTTGTCAAACACTGACAGGGATACTTTTCTGGAGATCATCCATGACCCTTCCAAGATACATCCTGTTATCGTCCACACAAGCCAACGCCAACATGACACATGTAATTACAATAGACAGCTGTTTTTGATAGAATAGAGAACGAAAGCAGTAAATTAAAAGATTAAATAATTTCAGGCACATTCATTTATTTCGGCTTCGGCAAACAAAAAGATTATCTGTCAATTCTTCAAGGCAAAAAAAAAAAAAAAGCAATATTCTTTATACATATTTTTTTTTCTCCCTGTCTATCGACGACTGTTATGATGGTTACAATATCGCCTGTGTACTGATTGCTCAGTACTGGATTCTGTGTTATATCCCGGGAAAATGGTTGGCCAACAGACAGGATGGAGCTGCGGATAATGTTCTGCAACTGCATTCAGGATACCTTTGTACAGAACATCGTTCCCCATTCTTTTCAAATGAAGGCCATCCATAATATAATCCTCCAATTGGGTGGATTCATGCAACATACAAGTGCCCTCAACTTGACATTGAATATCGGACCAAAGATTGACTACAGGCACCTTCAACTCTTGTCCGACTTCAACACAAGCATCTGCATATTCCTTTGTGACGTTGTTTGATCGATCCAATCGTTTGTTGGCTGCAGTGACTGAGGCTTCCCACATGACATCATGAACAGGTGCTGGGGTGACCAAAACAACTTGAGTGTGAGGAGAATAATTTGGAGAATCTGGGAATCGGATGGAGGAGATGATGGACCGAAGATTTTCCTTGTAGGCGCCCAAGGCCACATGTTGACGCGTATGTGGGAATGATGCATCATCCGTTCCAAGGGCAACCACAACAAGTTTTACAGGCTCAACACCACCGGCAGCTGATTTGGACTCTTGATGTAGAAGATCTGGGAATATTGATTTGATCCAATGCGTATTGTATCCTAACCGCATACACACCATTCATACACACCATGCATACAAAAAAAATAAAAAATAAAAAAAAGGGAGACGCGTCAGCCTGATTTAATAAAAAGTCTCTAATCGTGTATGCAAAATATAATCTTTGGGTTACTATACCTGGGAAGCCCCGAAGGATTACATCAGCACGTCCAGCCCATTCATCAGCCAATGAGCCTATCCATCCATGAGTAGCATGAGTATATCCGTATTTTGAAATCGAGTCTGCAAGAACAACAATCTTTCCAAAGAGTAAACAATCATCTTGATCTGCGATAGGTTCAAACCCTTTCTGTGTCTGACCCTGGTTTGATTGTGGTTGTTGTTGTTGTTGTTGCACGGATGAAAGTGGACAAAGTGGGATTACCATTGGTCGAAGCTCTCCTTGATCAGGAGGACCCATAAAAGTACTTTGGAACTCACGCGTCGGACCCACTTGAGGAGAATCGAGTAAGCCAGCAATGATTTTGAAATAAAAAAAGGATGCGGTGACCACCAAGGAGACGAAGGCAACAGCAGAGTTGAAGGTGTAAGCGTTCACATACGTTGGTGTAAAAGGAGCGTCGCGAGGCAAGCGTCCAGTTCCTTCGTAAGCACGTCCATTGTAATAGACTTTGTTGTCAGTGACGGTGTCAACTCCAGAGGCCGTTGTCGTTGATGTCGTTGTCGATGTTACTGTTGTTGTTGCTGTTGTTCCACTAAGAGTCTTGCTTGTTTCAGCATTGGCATTTGTATCGGAATTAGTTGAAGGAGTGTTGTCGTTGTTGTCTTGGTTAGGATTGTCTTGAGGGATGCGACGACGCAATCCAGAGTCAGCAGCCTGTTGAGACTGCATTGCAAAAGTGAAGCAGGGTTTAAAATAAAAAGAGTGAAAGTAATGGAGTGGGGTCCAAAGGACGAAATGAAGCTTATGAAGGTAATGGAGGTAATGTCATGGGTAATGAGTAAAAAAGAGCAATCAAACAAAGAGAGAGAAGGAGAGATGGAGAGAGAAGGAGGAGGCATAATAAATATGAAAGACTATTAAACTTGTTTAGTCTCCTTTTCTTTTCTTCACTTTACTCCTTTGTTCCTGTATAATAATTAATCAAAACAGTAACGGTTTCTCTCCTTCTCCTTCTCTCTCTCTCTCTCTCTCTTGCCCAGACTCTGACTTCTTTCATTCTTCTTCTTCTTCTTCTTCTTCCCCATCCCTTGTACATATACATATACATATCCATATCCATATACCTATTCTAATCATGTCCAAATCTTCCTATTCCATGCCCCCGGGTGAAGAAAGACATTACAATGTCCCAACTTCAAGACCTAATTCCATGCAACAGAAACTAGCCCTCATGCAACAACAACAACAACAGTACAATGTCAAACCCATCACCATTCGTCCAAACTCAATGTCTCTTCCTTTTGCTGGTCTCTCTCATCAACAAACACAATCCAAACTCTCTCAATGGCTTCATTTTGGCCAACAAAAGTTCCTCAAACTCAAACGTCTACACAGGATACGAACCAGACGTGGTCTCGAACGGAATTGGTATCAAGTCAGCACCGCTCTCTTCTTGATCCTCTCTCTCCTTCTTCTCACTCACCTTCTTGGATCCATCATCGGTTTTGGCTTCAGTTTTGGCTCCCTACCCTTGTTCTCGGGATCGAGAGATCGATTAGGTCCCAGGATGAAGGAGACACTTCAGGCATTAGAGGAACTTCAATACATGACCAATTCTGGTGTCATTGTCACACTTGACAAAAATAAACTTTATTCCGGTGTCAGAAGAGCTAGACTCTACCAGGGGTCAAGGATCCGAAGGCAGATCATGGATTTCCAAAAGGATCCTGTCATCAAAGTCGTCGATAATGATTGCCTGGATGAAGCCTTGAAGCTGAAACGACTGGGCTTTAAACCAATTGTCCTCGATATGGCCAATCGTGAATTTCCAGGTGGAGGTAAAAATGCATGTACTCTGTTCTGTATTCATTTTCATTTTCATTTTCATTTTACTGGTTGATACATTGCATTTTCATTTTCGAAAATGCTCACGTAAAATAACCTTGTTCTCTTTTCTCTCTTTCTTTCTCTTTCTCTCTCTCCTTTTTCCGCATCTAGATTACAGAGCTGATGGCACCACACAAGAAGCAGGACTCTTTCGTAGGACAAACCTTCATCAGTGTTTGGACACAGAGCCAAGGCGGTCTGAATTTTATCCGTTGCCAAGTCAAGGAGCTGTTTACTGTCCCAACATGGTCGTCCTCAGGAGATCAATCAAGGATAATGAAGCATTTATGGAGCGTCCAGAATGGATGAGTTTCCTGGTATGCAGTTTTTTTTTTCTCTTTTTTTTTCGTACATTCCTTACTTTCTAGCGCATTGACTCTTTTTTATTTATTTATTTTGAATTTTTTCTAGGCCATGGCACCACTCAGGAACCCTCCACTTGTTCCAAATGAAGCAAATGAAATGGTCTTGGGAGAAAGAGCCGTCATTATCACAAAGAAAAAGATCCAGAATATGTTTCGCATCGCCCTCGATAATGGTATATGTTGATCCACCTTCTTTCTCTATCACTTGAACAGCTGAACTGAACCAGAATGGTTATGGACTAAGCTGAATTTCTCTGAATTCTTTACTTTAAATACATACAATATAGGACATGATGCTATTGTATTATCTGCATTTGGATGTGGGCGTTTACATAATCCACCTGAATCAGTAGCAATGATATTCAAGGAGGTGATCAAAACCAATTACATGGGTGGTGCGAAACAAGGGCGGACATTTGGTACGATCGTCTTTGCTATCACTTCATACAAAAGCCTGGATAGCGATGTAAGTGATACCTACAACTACGACACCTTTAAGCGTGTTATGGAGGCTCCAGATGAGATCCCACCAACGTCCAAAGAGATGGAGCTTTAATCAAAAGATATACGCATACAATAATATATATATAATAATATAATACAAATAAAAACCCCATATTTTTTTATTTTTTTTACATCTCAATACATGTTCATTGAACTAAAAGAGAAAGGAGCATTAAAGTGGACTTGCTCTGACTGATTGACGTTTTATCTCTGTTTTAATCCTAATAAAATTAAACTTTTTTCAGATCAAGTTCCTTTCTATGGATTAGATATGGATGCAATTTTTTACATGTAAGATCTTCCTACACACTGCAAATAATACACAGAAGGTTCTGGCCTACGATGTGGCGTTGTACCTGCAATGTATTTTAATATACTTATTACACTAATGGACTTTAACAACTTTGTTTTCTCACTCTCTAACTGTCCTCTTCCATCTGTACTCTCTCCCATCATCCCTAGATATCTCCTCCACATGTCTTCACTCTAGAATAAAGCTCCTTTTGCTTACATACACTTACCAATTGCATGGGTCCGGACAACAATCATATTTTTCCCACTCTTGTGTCGTCACCAAATGGCGAAGCTGAAAAAAAAAAAAAAAAAAAAAAAAGAAAGAAAGAAAGAAATAAGAACATCTTTCATCTTGTCCTCATCAATCGAATAATCGAGCACCCACCACAATGACACACAATCAATACCAGCGATTCCGAAGGAGCGACAACGACAGCATTGAAGAAGTTTGTGTCAGGTCTGCTTCCATCTCTGCAGCCAATGGCAACCCGTCATACTATGTGAGTTTGAGAGACATTCAAGACGTGTTTCCAGATGCAATGAGATTCAAGTCGGATGGACATCCTATTCCGTTCCTTGAAGACCTTGATGGCAACAGGTATATTATTCTATCGTAGTGCCTAATGCGCGTTATCAAATACTCTGAATAAGAACATGGGAGGGCTCAATTAGGTATGGGTTCATTCTTTGGTCCAATTAGAATCGAGCCCTCACGCATTGCATTCTATCCTAACAAGATCCTGGATGTCATTACAGAAGGACCACAGGTCTGCAATAGTAATAGCAGCAGTAATAGTAGCACCAGCAGTACTAGCAGCGACAGCATGGCCGTCATCAATTTGCCTGCGTTGAAAATGCCAACCAACCTAACCTCTCAGGATATTTTACCATTATCAAACTTGGTTCATTCTTTCAACTCAATCCTTACTACTCGCGACAAAGCGCAAACTGAGATGGTCAACTCTAGCCTTAAAGCGATTGCGGAGTCGATGCTAGAGGCCAAAGAAAAGAGCAACATGGTGATTGACCTGTTACTGGAAGCCAAAAAGAAGGACGATGAAATGCTTAAACTGAGTAACGAAATACTTAAACTGCAAAGGGAGGCGAAGGAGAAGGACGAAGAAATGCTTAAACTGCAGCAGCAAGCTCTCGACAGACTTGCCATTCTTCAAAGACATGCTAGTGCTATCCTTGTCCAGAACTTTGAGTTACATGAGTATCCAATCCCTCGACTCTTCATAGTCCTGCCTGTCGACACCACCAAGTGGGACCCACGGAATCTCCTGAGGAGCAAGGTCCGCCTTCATTTCCTTTGTGAATGTGGAGAGCACACTGCAACGATAAGCAAAAGCAACCAGATCCATATTGCCAAACACGAAGGATATGACATCCTAAACAGCACAGAGTTCTTTCACAAGTATGGAAAGTACATGCTCATCCTTTTACACTCCCTCAAAATGAAATCGCCCTTGACGGCTTCTTTGGCATCAATTCCGAAACTCGATGCTGGTATCGATTACTCAATCAAATATATGAAAGCACTCTCTAATGAATACTCAGTCTTGAGCAAGATCAACGAAATCGATGACTTTGAGGTACTTGAAGGGGCTGATCTTCGGCAACTGAGGAAATTCCTTGAAAACAACGATGAAAGCAAACAACTTGGCAACTTGTACAGGATCACGACAGAGACAGGCCATGTCAAATGGGTCTGTCTGGATCACTATCGTTGGACATATAGAGAAGCAGAACAAAAAGCGTTCAAAAAGGTAGTGGAGCTAAATGGTGGCGAATATGACTTGCACCTTGGTAAAGTGACAATTACACTAGAGTCCAAAACAACAGCTGAAGAATTCTTCGATGCGCTGGCCAATGCAAGACGTGTTTATGAGTTGGATATCATCTTTGACTGGGATTGGACCAAAGCTGATCTGGAAGCATTCGAAGAAGCACTAAAGACGTCAAGTGTATCGATACTTCGACTTGAACTCGGAGATTTTCAAGAAAGCATTAGCTGGAAAATACTTTCGACATCCTCGCCATATGAAACACTTGCTCGCATGATAGAACTTAGCAGCATGAAGACAATCCATATTGTTCTCCCTCCGAAGACTATAAAAGTCCCCAGTTTACGATTCAATAGGCCATCACACCTTCGAAATCTAACCATTGAGATGCAGCCTCGGATTGGCTTTAATGACTTTCGAGTACTCGCAAGTGCACTCAAGGCCGATACGGCTATAACCACGTTGAACTTGAGGGGTAAATCAATTGGAGATGAAGGAGCTCTTGCACTATCAGAGGCACTCAAGACTAACAGGACATTGACTACTTTGGATTTGGGGTCCAACCGTATTCGAAAGGAGGGAGCCCTTGCACTGTCAGAAGCACTCAAGGCCAACACAACCTTGACCACTCTGAACATGAGAAAGAACCCAATTGGGAATGAAGGAGCTCTTGCACTGTCAGAGGCACTCAAGACTAACACAACTTTGACTGCTTTGTACTTGAGAGACAACTCAATTGGGAATGAAGGAGCTCTTGCACTGTCAGAGTCACTCAAGGCTAACGCAACCTTGACTAACCTGGACTTGTACAGCAACTCAATTGAGAAGGAAGGAGCACTTGCACTGTCAGAGGCACTTAAGACCAATACATCCTTGACTGGTTTGGGCTTGAACAGCAACTCAATTGGGGATGAAGGAGCTCTCGCACTGTCAGAGGCACTTAAGACTAACACTACCTTGACTACACTGGATTTGATGGGCAACCGAATTGAGAGGAAAGGAGCTCTTGCACTGTCAGAGGCGCTCAAGACCAACACCACCTTGATCACTTTGGATTTGGAGTACGATTCACTTGGAAAGGAAGGGGCTCTGTTGCTGTCAAAGATAAATACGACTTTGGATACTTTGGACTTTGAATCCCAATCACTTGGAGTTGAAGGTGCTTATGCAATCGCAGAGGCGCTCAAGGCTAACACAACCTTGACTGCTTTGAGCTTGGAAGTCAACTCAATTGGGAGTGAAGGAGCTCTTGCACTGTCAGAGACACTCAAGGTTAACACTACCTTGATTGGTTTGGGCTTGGGCTACAACTCAATTGGGGATGAAGGAGCTCTTGCACTGTCAGAGGCACTCAAGACAAACACCGGTCTGACCGGTTTGAACTTGTACAATAACTCAATTGGGAAAGAAGGAGCTCTGGCACTGTCAGAGGCACGCAAGGGGCTAACGCAACCTTGACTAACCTGGACTTGACGTACAACCCAATTGGGAATGAAGGAACTCTTGCACTGTCAAAGGCACCCAAGGCTAACGCGACTCTAGTTGTTTATATGTGAGAGTGTCTTAGACGACAGTTAATTATTTCTGGCGCTGTAACACGTCCGGTATTGGCTAATAAATATGAACCTTTATTAGTTCTATTTGGTTGAATTGGTCACCGATATTATCTTGGTAGCTAAAAAGAGATGTTTGTTTCAAATAAATAAATAACTGATGGTAGTGAATGCTCATAGCGTCGTTGCTTTTTGGTCCTTCGATGTCCTTTCTCTTTGCGAGGAAGTTCTAGCGTACCAATGCTATTGGGAACTCATTTTTTTAATCCCTTAAAGGATCCATGAAAAAGGTTAATGATTGGCCGCAGTAGTATGTAAACACCCGCTATGCATTGAAAACTGTGCTCACCTAAACTTCCTTTCTTACAACTACTTCACATCTAAAATGTGCGCTGTGCCTGCTGCGATAACGACTTTATCATGGATCATTCATTTCCTTGCACCTTTGAACTCTGTTCGTTTTCTCATTCTCTTACTATCCCTCTCATCCATTGTCTCCCATAATTCGACTCCAGCTATGTACTCTCTACAGTTTTTCACTTCATTTCTTCTGTTGCATTTCCAAGTATCTCACCGACACTTTCTGGATCGCATGGATTCATTTCTTAGGAATAACTTTCTCGAGCCGTACTTTCAAGCGTGACACATCTCAATGAGTTATAAAGGCTATCTCTTTTTCTCTGGTTGGGTGCATTTTTGGTAAGCCATGTTGGCTTCGTTGTCAGCTTCCCCCTATTCGACCTGAATGAATGGAAGGGAGGATGAGAAACGAAAAGGATCATCGCAAACGAAGTAGGTTGCTGTGTTCCTCTGAAGAAGAGCTGCTTCTCACCTTTTCACAAAGAAGACATCTCTGCTCTATATATTTCAGAAGAGTTGCAAGCTGGAGCCATTCCGGACACTAGGGGATCTAAGCCTTGCCTTGTAATTCCAATAAGGTACGGGATACGGTACCTTCCACTCAGCACCCAAATAAGTCAATTTGAACTATTCCACCCTTCAAAAAAAAAAGAAAAAAAAGAAAAAAAAAGAAAAGAAAAGAAATACGAGCCAGTGGCATCAAGGTCAGGATCTTGGTACTTCTTTGGAACTAATCACTTTGTTTATCTCTAGCGTTGTAAACCAGGCAAAAATGGCTATTTAGCTTCCATCAACCCATGGGTAGATCGGTTTTAGTTCTCCATGCTTTCTACAAGCAGGAAACAACCGTCTATTGCATACTAAGGAAGTAAAATAATCAGTTATCAGCAATAAAAAAGAATCAGCAATAACCATATAGCAAGCTATTTATCATCACGATGAACTAGGTCCTCCATCTACTTGCCTCTACTCTTTAGCGCATCTCGCAACATTTACCATTTTTCATTCGTTCTTCTTCAGCCTAAATAAAAACAAAAACACCTTTCCGGTTCCTTTCGCTAGAGGTGTGTTGCTGAATCTCCATGCTGACCTAAAACTAGTTGTCATTCGAGACGTTAAAGAATCGTTTGATTGCATGCTCAAGTCTTTGGCTCTAGCAGCAATAGTATCAAGCCAAACTACTAGGTGGTATTCATAGTTGCTCCACTAGTACATGCTGTTACCATACCAACCACATCCGTCTCCTATAGTCAGTCTTATCACGGTTAAGATACTACCGTAAATGCGTGGTGTATTAATCGTGATGCGATTGATGCCAGAAATGCTGGTGGAGTGTGCCTCGCGCCAATGTATCTCAAATACCACTTGAATAGTTAACCTAGGATGACAGCTGCGAGGGCTGCGAAGGATTTCCTCATTGGCACAGTTAAGCACTTGAGGTAATAATGATTGGGAGAACGATTCTTCTTTTACAAATTTGCAAAACAATCATAGTTTTCCTATGCTTGAACAATGCTGTTCTTCCTCCATGAATGTTTAAACTGATTTCGACTTGCTACAGACTAAAGGAAACTATTAGGTATGCTTTTATTACTTGCAGGCATCGTACCTAAGCTGGGTGCTTCCAAGCGTTGGTATTCAACCAGGCAAATGAGCCTCACGAGGCGAAGTGCTAGACTACTGTGACCGTGAACGAAACCACGGGTAGTCCATCTAGTTCAATCTAAAAGCCTTGTTCATATTTTCTTCATACAAAGTCATTCTAAGATATACTCTCTCTTGAATCCTTGTATTATGAATAACATTCACACTCTCTATTGATTCTTCGGCCCTGCACTGCATTTCGACTGTGTTTGCTAGTTTTTTTTTTTTCTCATTCAATTTCCTTTTGCGCTGTAGCGTATTTGCATGTTATATTTTCACATCGAAAGTGGGTGTACAATTCGCATTTTATTCAGAACTGAAATAGGTTCACCTGTTCAAAGGTAATCCTTCAGAATAAATTCTTATTATACGCAGAAACGCCTTTGTCAAGAATGATCCGCTTCTTCTGCTCCAGCAGGTATATTTGGGTTCTGCCAAGAGTCTGAGGTGGCTGTGACTTCGGTGGTCTTCAGAGTAGCTTGCATGGCATGTGCTCTCTAGGACCGCCGTGGAATCTCTCTGTATGACATGTACTAACGAATACGCGATATTAATAGAAGCTGCCTGAATATACTCTATATGTCAATACCTTCTTTGTATTTCTGATTGTTCACTTTTCTTGCTAGGATTAATAAGGAAATTGAAAGGAAGACGCCTCGTTTGGAGCTTTCATTCGTCACTTTGATCTATATGACCAGGAATCCAGAGAGGTCGACCTTGTCGCTCTTTTTGGTCAGACCCTTTCAAATATAAAGAGTTTACTTAACAAAGTTCTTGTAACTGAACCAGAAAAAGTGACAAGGTCGACCCTCTGCAGGAGTCAGCAATGAGCTCTTATTCAAAGCCTATAAGCTCAGATTTAATCCGTGATGGCAGACGAAAGAGGCTTCAGGAAGAATCTGAAATATTCAGTAAACACCAAGCAGAAAGATTTTGGGCAGACTGGAGCATTGGTCTATGCCCGAAGTCACAGCAAAGAGGGCAACGATAGCATCCCCAAAGGTTAGGATTGTACAAGTAGAAATAGCCTATAACAAATATCCTAATAAGCCCCCCAGCAAGTTCTACTCCATTATTCCAGACACACTCTTATATTTTCAATCGACTAATATTTCGATCTTCTCGATTGTAACAACCACGACTTGTATTAGCACCATGCGAGCCTGTCAATCTCCTCACAATATTAGTGATGGTGATTTTGAAACTCAGCCACATCAGCATCCCTCCAATAAGAATTTACATAGATGGCAGTTACTTCGACTTCATCAATAACTATAAAGGATCACTAAAACCAGCTGTACTGTTCGAAATACGGGATCATCAAAAAGACAAACTTCATGAACGCGATGTTACATAGATGAATAGAGCACAGGGCTGATAGAGCACAGCCAGTTAGAATGAACCAGTGAATCTGTTAATTAAGATGTTCGGACACCTATTCATATCACAATTAGAAAGGAAAAGCAACAGATCCATTGAATCTGTTATGGCTGACGATTGATAGTTACATGGATTTAATTATAATGATTTTAATTCTATTTCATTCAGTATCCATTAATCGGGATATTCTGTAGATCCACAGTTAGGGGGATATTTATGCAAAGCCTTTTTGTAGTCATAGGCAAGTTCGCCAATTGAGGCCTCGTCTAGAAACTACCACAACCAGACCTGATGCCCATGGCAAATAATTCTCCAGATTTGGGATTCCACGCGGCAAAAAGATATTTGTGAAAATCTAAGTTGCAATAAAACATGGTACATAAGGCCCATGGGAAATAAAGTCCACCAAACAAATTGACATTAGTAAAAAAAACAAACTACTTCCTTTATTGTGCATATCAAAGCGGGTTTGTAGCTTGCATGTTGGGCCCCTAGGCGTGGTGGCGTTCTTGCTCATACACACTAGCGACGCTAAGTGGTCCCCTAAGGCTGAGTTAACAAATACATCTGCATATGCACAAAGTAAGTAACCTCAGTTTATCGTTGAATAAATGGGCTTACAGGAGTTCCTCATACTGTCGTGCAGGAAGGGAATCCCTTGCATCGCTCCCACCATTCAGATGCATCGTCGCCGACATTGCAGTACCACATGCCTCTATCCCGCACCATCACACCAACGATTTTGCTGGGGTCTCGATATGAGTGCGAGCTGCAGAGTGTTTTAGTACGTGGATGTTCGCAGAGGCACCACTCTACTCCAACAGCCATACTTGGCAATACCGCGGCAAGCAACACAATAACAGCCAACTTCATTGTAGTACTGCTAGCTTTTGAGTCAATATAGAAAAACAAGGTAAATCGAGATGAAGAAGGGAGGAAACAAAGAAGTGGAACAAAGACAGCTCCTCTGGGGATGATAGTGTTGGAGGCCTCTCTAAGGAAGAGCCGTCTTTATACAAATGATAGCTGTCTTGTTTGACCTACAGCTGCGCGTTGACAGTAATGAGCAAATAAACGCCGTCCTTGTTCTTATGTTCAGACAAATAAACCCGTAGCCTTCATTTATTTACCTTGTGCCAATTGCATGCTTGAGCAATAGGTTAGATCCGATGAGAGACACGGAGAAAAAGAGAGTTCTCTTTGTCTTTTGAAAAGGTTAAGGCCAAGACCAACCTTGGCGTTGACTACGGCTACTCGCTAGCATAGCTTGATCAACAGTAGTGTAGAAGAGTCGACAGACAGAAGCTTGAGTGGAAGAGGAAGACACTGGCGCCATGTATAAGGAAAGTGCGTTGAATTTGGAATAGAAGAGGAAGCATTTGCAAAAAGAAGTAGCAAGTCGATAGAACATACTAAAATAAGACAAGAGGAAAGAAAACTGCATGATGAGAGTTAGAGGGAATATCACAAGAAGAAAATGATGTTCATAAAAAAAGAAGAGAACGGAAAGTAGAGCATCGAAGGGTCCAAAGCTGCAGAAAATAAGTGGACAAACAATGAACCAAGGCATGGAAATGTGAACAACCACGATGGACACCTTCACGTAAGAAAAAGGGGTAAATATCCAGGACACAGCTGCATCTAATCAATTGTAGCGTAAAGTTGGTGTAGTATTTTACTGTGGGACTTGACAAAAAACTCTAAACGTCTGAATGAAAAGGTCTCTCTGGTACAGTTCAATGACTGTCGCAGCAAACATTTGATCGATAAAGCAGTAAGATGAAACTAACCTGTCTCATGGCTGTTCAGCTTTAGTTCAAGCTCCCTATTTGTAGGGGAGGAAAAGCTGACATCGGAGGATGTTGTTGCTGCCATCATAATGATGCCTTTTGGCTTTTTAAATCAACATTTAAGAAATACTCTCTCTCTGTCCGCAGCACTTTGCCTTTTTTGTTGTTCTTGGAGCTATTGCTGATAGATCTGGTCGCGTTAGCGTCGGCCCTATTCAGTGGATGAATATGAGTCTGCACTGCGAGGTCGTCAGGAAATAACTGAAAGTCGGAAGGAGTACCGCCTCCAGATGTCTTAAAGCAAGGATATCAGCGGGGATGCTATATATGCCAATACGGTACACCACGATAACATCCTCTATCTCCCTAGCCTCCAAAATCTGTATCTCATACCCAACAAAGAAGAGTCCAAACGTCCGAAAGCTCGTTCTGTCGCCGTTCCCATACTTATTGAGCATGACTTGGAGATTTGCTGCCATGGATAGCTCTATTTTATGGTAATCATACGCCATAGACCCTCGCTTATTGGGTTTCGCCTATATGATTAGCAGCTCTAGTTAGACCTCATTTTGAAGTATGGTAGCGTCGTGACAAGCTTCCTCGTTTGATTCCCCCGTCGCTCCGATCATGCGAAGGGTTACCTCCGGAAAGGTCTCCAGAAACATCAAGTAGGGGGAATAAATAGCGCTTATGAACCACCTCTCCTGATGGATCTTCCCACCCGACCCGCAGAGTGTCTCCTAATACATGCGAACATATCAGTCGCTTGTTAGCATTTTAAGTATCGATGATAGAGATGTGAAAGGTTTCAAAACGTATTATACTAACCATCTAATCACACTGCTCAAAGCAAAATCCAGATCGACTCTCTCAGAGTCCCCGACAGAGCTAGCCACCATATGGGGGGCAAATTCCAATATCAAGTTGGTGAGCTCCTTGAAATTGGCCGCGCAGGTAAGCGTGTTCAATGCTATGGCGACATTCATATCATAGTCGTTGGTGAGCTCTTTTTTTTGGAGGCGTTCGCGACTCTCTCTTTTGACTTGCTTATTATCATTTAAAGATAATGCGCTGAAGAGCAAGAATGCCGTATCCTCCTTGCCGTACTCGACCGTGGTGGGGGTGGCCAGTTCGGACCACTCCTTTCGCTCAACTTCAGCAGTTGGCTCGGGAGTATCTCTTCGTGATCACTCCCGGCTCTAGGACATCCTTTCGTGTCCGCTCACCTAGACCACAAATATTAAGCAAGGCAATCAGCACACATATCCCATGATACACAAATACATATGACAGCTTTTGCTTTATCAATAGGCTACTACGGCGGCATACTTCATGACGGAAAGCCTCCGAGGTACATTTGCACTTATCGGTGATTGCTTTAGGCGTCCAGCTGTTCTCGCTTATTGTGCGGAGGCCAAAGTTCCAGGTATCTTCATTGGAGCCATCAGAGTATTCAAGGAAGGAAGAGTAACGCCACTTTGAATAATCTGTGGTATGAAAGTAAGCGTTAATCCCAAGGTATGTGGATGCTCACCATTTTCCGTACAGAGTATTTGTTGACATCGTTGATATTATTGATATATATATAGAAATGGGAAGAAAGGATTGATGAAGATAAGGGTGAATATACAGGATGCTAGGTAAGGAACAAGTTCAACAGAAAACAGCTGCTTTATAAATATTTTTTTCTTTTATATTTTGTAAAAACAGAAAATATGTCTGCGCAGCACAATTTCTCAATTACCGATTTGATTATTTGTTGATGTTTTAACTTTATTTTACTGTATTATTGACTCAGTGACCATTAAAAAAGACGAGGAGGTGATGGTGTTTAACTTTATTTTATTGCATTACTGAAAATATGTGTACGAACCACAGACACTAAAGCCATTTGTTCGACGATGCATGTGTTAACTTCCTTTCGTTACTACTACTGAAAACATCAATGAAAATAAATTGTTTATTTGCATTTAGAGTCTATTTCCAATATATCCTCACGACCTCGTGGGTCCCAGTTATCAAAAAAAAAAAAAAAAAAAAAAAATTGTGAGCCCACTTATCCACTAGGAAGGACGAACAATACACTTCCATCCTACAAACCAATTAAGTCACTGATAGGTAAGAGCACAAATCTCACTACCTTCTTCACTGGAACTCCGCGTTCAACCTCTTATATGATGGGCCAATGTGTCTGGACTTGAAAGCTCTTCGAGACTTGACTTCTATAGCTGACAAACGACGCCTGCTGATTTATTTCGCTTTTGAAAATAGCAAAGAGCTAGCATGCAAGGCCAGTAAGAAACATATGCAGACAGTGCTCCCAATCGACTCGAACATATCGAACTCGAATGGGTTCAAATGCATTCGAATCGAAAACGAATCATGGTAAGTTCGAATCGGTTCAAATAAGCCCTTACCTAGCTCGATTCGAATAACGGCCTTAAGTTACAGATCTCTGGGTAATTCGAGTTGTTTGATTACTTCGAGTACCGAATGGCTCGAGTGGTTCGAATAGGAGCACTGTATCTGGATATTGAAGCGGATGCTTGGGAGTGTAACATCATCGGGTGGCAAGAAGGTCGACGTTCTTGTGCAGGCTCTAGAATCTAGTGTTGGCGTGACAGCTAAAATTGAGCTCGCCTGCAATGAGCACAAACCAGAGGACGCATCAGATTTATACAACAATGGAGAATCAAGGTCGATCCTACCTGACCTTGAGCAATTATTTGATTTGGATAGTTGAATGTAACAAGCGCATCTTAATGACTGCAAACCCTTAACAACTTTCCTTTTCGGCGTATCCCCCGCTAGGCTTGGACCCAGCCTAGGGTTGAGTCTTGGCGCACATGAATCGAAACAGTCCTATACTAGGCTATTTTTTTTTTTTTATATAATACAAAGCTGAACAAGCACGCAGTACTATTTTCACCGACTTTCATAACCTCTTGCTCCACTCTCTGTCTAGCTTGTTTGAAGCCATCGATAGTGAAAAAACCTCATGGTCTTCCGCCAAATCTTTTAGTGTTTGGATGGTTGGCACCATTGATCGGCAAGCTTGCAGATTAATCGTGGCTTCGTGGCTTGAGGACGCATCATCGCCCTTCATCTGGAATAGTGACCGATCAGATAAATTATTTTCCCGCGGGGACACAATTCCATATACAAATGTATATATATATAAATAAATATATATTATTGCATGCTGTATGAATTCAAGGAAAGAGGTAGATCGTAATAAAAAAAAAAAATAAAGGTTCCATTTATTAAACAAGTTCGATTGTCGCTTAAATAATTTATACACATTTATACAAGTCAAGTCTATGCGGCCCCTCTTCCTGGTTGGTATAGAGTTTTTTTTTTTTTTTTTTTTTTTTAGCTTTTTAGCTTCTTCTTTTAGAAACCAACAGCAGTCAAGGCGATAACTATTCCTGCAATGGTGAAGACAGAGTTGGCGGCCATCAAAGAGCTTCCATTCGAGGGATTCGCAGGGTCTTCTTCAGCAGTGGTGGTGGCGGAGGCGCTAGGACGGGTAGGGCTGCCACCATTACCAGGGTTAATAAGAGGGGGATTGGAGCGGGTAGGCTGCGGTCCTGAGGGAGCCGACGGTTTCTGCGAGACCGTCACTGCGGCTGGTCCAATAGCAGGAACAGGGTCAGCAGCGATGGAGAAAGAAGGTAAAGTCAAGGCCAAGATGGCAATTGCAGTGTAGGAGGCAGAGAACTTCATTTTAAAAATTGATTGAAATGTATGATAGAGAGGAGAAGAAGAAGAAAAAAGAGAGAGAAAAAAAGAAAAAAAAAGAAAGAAAGAAAGAAGGAAAGAAAAACGAAAAGAAGAAAGGATGGATGGAAGGATAGGCGAAGAAGAATAAGGTCCTTTTATGTCTTCGCCACTCTGATCCATTTTTTTTTTTTGGTAATCTCCCAAGGAGAGCTTTGCACTAAATCTTTCTAGAATATGTACGTTGTTTGTGTGTTTCCCTGTCTCTGGGTTGGAGTTCCCATGCACCTTTTATTCTTAAATAAGATGAATGTTTTTTTTTTTTATTCTTTTGACTTTAACGGACGTATTGTCAAGATCATGGTTAATACATCTATTGATACGTTGTAAACAGGGAACGCTGCGATAAAATGCTATAAAATATACTCAATTGTTCGTTGTAATTATACATGTACGTTGCCTGCTTCTTTGAACTGTAAAAGAAAAAAAGAGTTGGATCGAAATGAACAGGAAGGCGGTGTTCTCTTTCCCCCCTTTTTTCTTTTTTTTTTTTTTTTTTTTCTGTACCATCTTTTTTTTTTCTATTGCTTCTTTTTCTTCTTTTTTTCTGATTAACATCTGCAGTAGTGGGGAACGGAAAGAAGGTCAAGGGACAATCGGACATTATAGACAGACAATGCTCCTGTTCCTCTCCCCTTCCTCCTTCCTTCCTTCATCTTAAAAGGACCAGCTGCTGACTTGTCGATGTTTTAGCAGCTAATGCGTAGTCTAATACCTGGTCATAATAACCACTCTGTTCCTATCTCTCTCCTTTTTTTTTCATGGGAGAGAAATGCTTTTAAATAGGGTTTTGACCGAGGCCTTCTCTTTCTTTCACTTTCTTGTCTATCTCAACGGTTTATATTTTAAAGGCCACGTGCCATTGTAAAATAGAAATACATTAATTCGTTTTAAATAGGATTGCTGGTTTTATTTTTTTTCTTTCTTTCTAAAACAAAAAAAATATTTATATTATCTACATGCTAAGAGTGTAAAAGTATTGTGTGAGGTTTTTTTTTTTTTTTTTTTTTAAAAAAAAAAAAAAAAAAAAAAAAAAAAAAGAGTAGAAAGAGTGTGTAAGAGAGAGTGTGTGTGCAGTGGAAATAGGCTGAGAAAAGAAAGAAACAGTAGAAGAAGAATGTAGCGTACTAGTAAGGACAAGAAAGACCTCGTAGTAAACAAAATAATGTACACAACGAAAACAGAGAAGAAATAAAAGTATAATTGAGGGGGGAAAATAAACTGACTCTATGCTATTCCACTAAAAGTATCTCCCCCTCCTTGTTTGCAAAAAGTGGTATGTGGTAGAAAGAAAAAAGAAATCATGGCCCAACGGTCATGATCTCCGCACACCAACACTGTTCATACTCAATTCAATACTGTCCGCTCGAATCTCATCCACGAAGCTCCAGTCTTCATTATCCAAAAAGTTCAGCTGGAGTTGATTCAGGCTAGGCATACTCGACTGTAACTGTTGGAGCTGCATCTGTTCTTGCTCCATGATCTGCAACTGCAACTTTTGCTCCTCATCAATTTCTTCCCGGAAACGACGTCTCAAACTAAGTCGCTGTTGCATTTGTTGAGCCAGTTGCATCTGTTGTTGCTGTTGCTTTAGTAATGCATTCTCTGTTAATAGTACCGGATCATTCTGATTAAAGTACTGCTGCTCTTGCTGTCTTTGCTGTTGCTGTTGCTGTTGCTGCTGCTGCTGTTGTTGCTGTTGCTGTTGTTGCTGTTGTTGCTGTTGTTGCTGTTGTTGCTGTTGTTGTTGACTGTATAATGGCGAATTGACACGGCTTATGTCATTGGAATGACTCCGCTGTTGCATAGTGAGCAAACTCATTGTTTGCGGCAGTGGCTGTGTTGGAACAAACGTTGTCCCATTAAAGCTCGACATGTCCATGCCCATGCTCATGCCCATTTTCATAGACATGGCCATATTCATATTCATACCGAGCTCTGGTTGCTTTGCATTCATATCCTGACGCTGCGAGTTCCCATGATTGACTTCTTCCTTCATCATCCTGGCCTGGTACTCTCCCACAAACTGGCACATGTCACGGAAACATTCAGTACAGTCTACAGTGGGGCGACCACAGCCACAACCGCAAATCAGGACACCATTATCACCCAACAGAGTGGGATGCTGCATCTGGGCTGCCTCCAGACTGGAGAGCCCTACCCCACTAAGCTCCTGTTTCAAAGCCTGTCGTGCATCCACACTCGAATTGCCTTCGTTCATCCCATTCTGGACCAAGTTCAAGGCGGCGCTGAGATTCAGAGCCTGAGCACTCGTGAGCGTCTTGTCGTTATCAAACATCATGTCCTTGTTCATATCCGTGTCACTACCGACGCCATCCTGTTTTGATCCGTCCATATTTGATTTTAGCATACCTCGGTTGTTTGGATAGGCAAGACACCCAGGACAGGCGCAAAGCTCACCACAGCAACACATACTAGCAGAAATAGCACATCCACATCCGTCTCGTGGAATAAGCTCATCATCACCAAACTCGCTTCTGCTGGCAGAGGATGAATAGGATAGAATGGATGAAGCAGGGGATGATGCGATATCTCCAATCTTTCCAGAGCCACAACATCCCTTCTTGAGAGATGTGGTCGAAGAAACAGGAAGGTTATATAGACTCGAGGTACTGGAAGCTGGGCCGGGGGAAGAGTAAGGGTGATTGGGAGGTGTAGGCACAGCAGGAGATGAGGTGGTGGAGAACGTTGACAAGGCAGAATAGAGCATTCGAATTTCATCCGCAGATGCACTCTCCATCGGGTTCAACGGTGTAGTCCCGTTCATAATGTCATCCATGATCTTTTTAGAGTCCGAAGGGTTCAGCAAATCCATTTCCTCCAAATCATCTGAAGCATTACTGACAGCATAATTGGACATGTTGTCGGGAAAGAAAGGATAGGACGAAGATGAAGGCTGATAATGGTCGCTATCATAATCAGAAGAGCTAGTATAATCAAAGCACAGGTTGGACTGCATCTGAGTAAATTGTGGCAAGGATGAGGACGAGGGTGAGGGCGAGTGCTCTGAACTGACAGACGATGAGAGGGTCTGGACTAGTAAGGAAGAAGATCCGTTGGCATAAATCCGGTTCCCGTTCATCCCATTGACATTCATTCCATTGATATTCATTCCATGAGACACAAGACCATCGGAACTCTGGATAGTCTGTCCACTGTGGGCATGAAGCGGAAATGACATAGGTGGAACCGATTCTTGAGAGGGCTGAAGCAGACCGGGTTGACCGAAATCCAAGCATGTGGTGCCTTGTTGGTGATCGGATATATATGTCTTGGTTGCACCATTGGTGGGCGACGAGCCCTTGAATGGCTTGACGGCGGATTGAGCGGCGTGATTACGGCAGTGGGAACAGATGAGGCCATCGTGGCAGCTGCATAGAGCGACACCTGGAAGGAGAACAGGCGCTTAAGTAAATGAGGACGATTTTTTTTCTTTTTTGTATAAAACATGGCATTTGGTCACCATAGATAATAATTAATTCAACACGCTCCTGTCCGCAGCTGGTGCTCATAGTCCCCTGGACAGAGGCGTGGCAGAGAGCACGCGGAAGGAGCGAGTGAATGCATGATTGAATGTCTACCTCCATTGGACGATTTTACGTCCGCGCTGTCCTGAGGACTACAGCCTTGAGTCGAGACGGACCGGAGGAGGTTCTCACCACCGATTGCTGCCGACATTGACAGGCGACCATCGTGGCTGAGTGATTTCGCACGTTTCAGACCGTTGGCGACAGCAGCAGCTCCTGTCGTTGAGCAGGTTGGCAAGGCCAGTGAACAAATAAATAAATGAATAAAACGAAAAGGAACACATGAACATGAAGCACTCAATCCAACCTTCCCTCCTATCAAAAGGCTCATCAACCAAGAAACAAAAAAGATACGGAATGGAATGATTAAAAGCCGGCAAACATACCTTCCTCTCGGCCACATATACAGCGGGCACTGACATGTTTTGCCTTGCGTAATTCTTTGCAGTGAGGACATTGGGTGGAAGGGCGACCTTTCTTTTTGATCTCATGCAAGGGACGTTCACTGATTGGGATAGATGACAAGAATAGTGTGGAAATCAGTCAGTCATTAGGAGAAACACGGAGGAAAAGATAAAGAGAGGAAATAAAGATGTAGGGGGGCAAATACGGAGTATTATTTGGATATTTACCCATGATTACATGTTGTCGAACGATGACCCTTGATACAGGTCGCACTAATAACAAAAAAACGAGTGATACTTTGTCAGTCCCATCATGCGGCACACACACAAGGTATATCATCCTCCTCCTTGTTCTTTTCATGTTCACCAATTAGCTTGTAATTTCATCACATAAGTAAGAGGATAGGGTGACATTTGATCCAGGCACGGATATCATCCATGACTCCTATCGTTAGTAGAAGCTATTATGACTACTTACCATGCAAACTTTTGGCCGTTTACAAAGATCATGACGAGTTATAAATAAAGAGATAGTGGGGGAGGTTCTCGATATCAGTGGCCGAATGAACTTTTTTTTTTTTTTTTTTTTTTTTCTTTTCTTTTAATGATAATAACAGGCTGGTATTTTGTATCAAAAGAGAGAGAGAGAGAGAGTTGATTGTTCTTGAGCGAAACAGATACACACACTTGAGTAGGTTATGAGTTTCTTGTGAAGAATTACTTGTAAAGGAGTTGAGACTCGGGGTTTTTGTTTGTTCTTCCTATTATGTTCCTTATTATTTTTTTTTTTACACAGATATATGTATTACAAATATCACACACGATGATTGATCTAAAGTCTACACCTTTTTTTTTCTCTTTTCTTTTTTTTCTTTTTACAGAGTGAATTAGAGTCCTGAACAATGAGTAGAGAAAGTGGAAGGGAAGGGAGGAGTTTCTTGTTTGTTTGTGTCTTTGAAAGAGTTTTAGAGAGCAGGAGAACAAGGAGTTGGAAGAGAGCGAGTGAGAAGAGGTAGCAGTAGAGAGGTTAAAGTGTCGGTAGATGCATATGAATGAAGAGTGAGAACGAGAGCGAAAGAAAGAGAGAGAGAGAGAGAGAGAGAGAGAGAGAGAGTAAAGAGAGGGGAAGTGAGTAAGAAACAAGAAGGATTGGATGGAAGAAAAAGAAAGAGAGAAAAGAGAACGAGAAAAAGAGAGAGGAAAAGGGCTGAAGGGCAGTGCTTGGGAAGTACGAGGATGAGTGTACTGATTAAACAAGTGGAACACAGCAAGCACAACTGGGAATAATTTTTTCAAGTCAGTCAGAGCCAACAGTGCAGCGCCAAAAAAAGGAAAAAAAAAAAAAAAAAAAAAAAAAAGGGAGTTAAGGAAAATGAGAGAACCCGAGATGCTAACCAAGGCAAACTGGGGGTGTTGGTCCTGAAACAGGCACCAACGGAGTGAAGAGGATGCTATTAAGAGTAGGGGGGGAGGGGGGAGGTGAATGAAAGAAAAAGAAAAAGTGGGAAGGAGATGAAAGTGATGAATCAAAGATGTGAGATTCAAAAAATAAAAAAAAAATAAGCGATGAGAGAGTGTATGTTTGTGAGAGTTAAAGAAAGCAATAAGCCTCCGAAGGAGAAGAAAAGAGTCAGGCGAAAGAGAGAGAGAGAGAGAGAGAGAGAGAGAGAGAGAGAGAGAGAGAGAGACGAAAAGACGTGCAAATTCACAATCAAGTTCAATCATTTTGACAACAGGACAGGTCAATCAACAATCAACAATAAAAACTATAATTTACATTGACACATTAATATTTTAGCCACTTGGACAGCATCGAAAAAAAACGATCAGACATCCCATCAATGTCGTGGTCATCCAAATGGTTTACACATGTTTACTATCCCATCACAAAGTGAAAAGATAGGTCAAAAACGAGCAAAGTCAAACCGCATCAGAATAATAGCCACAGCCATTTTTGTATTAGTGAACCATTCTTGATTACGCTAATCAAATAAAAAGAACAAACAAATATAAAAACCATTGTTTCAGGAACGTTGCTTTGTTTTATAAGAAGAAACTACTCAGTCTTATATAATGTAATCATTGTTCATTGTTCATTGTTCATTGTTCATTGTTCATACTCATGTTTCTATTGCAGGGAAAGCTGGGTGGAAACATCAAAATGCGTAAGAAACTTTTTTCTTTGTATTGTATAGAAAAGCAGACCTATGCACATGCATACGTATCTGTGTATACTTGCCCCATTCATTCTCTTCTTTTTTCCTTTTGCTATACTCTCAGTTATACAAAAGATGTAAAAAGCACTTTTTTTCTTATCATCTTTCTTTTCTTTTTTTGCTCTACAAGTCGGTGAGGGTGCTCAAAAGAATGCTCAATCTTAATGGATCTAAAGTGAATTACAACTCATCAAAAAATAAAAAAAAGAGGGCTGGGTCTTCTCAGTAATTGCCAGCAAATGATATCCCTTTTTTTTTTTTTTGTATATTTAGTTTGAGACGCCTACCTGCGGCGGGAGAAGCGCGGAGTAAACGCTTCAGGGAATACATGTTCATGTACATGTACACAGGACAGGGTGTCTTACAGACTGACGTTAACAAAATACAAAGTTGGCGGTAATTCAGTAAATATAAATTATAAACGTACATGTACACAGGGACATAGACTATTATATATAATAGTATATATATTATGATTATATATAATAAATATATACATATTATATATATTACATATAATATTTTATAAATATAATAAATATGATAGATATGGAGATATGGAGATAGATGTATACACCGTGCTTCATATAAATATACGTTATGATAAACCTAAAAAATAATCCACATGCGCCTCATACAAATAATAAAGATGCACATGCACTCAATTTGATCTGAACAAAAGTGGACTCATTTAAACCTGCAGGATTGATTCTGATTTTGATTTTTTTGATTATGATTTTTTGATTTTGATTTGGTTGAAATACAACAATAAAAAAGAAGAAGAAAAAAAGTGGGTTTCCGTGGACTATTTATGCGTTTTTTTTCTTTTTTTTTTGTCCTCACTCAATAATATAGATATACTACACTTTGGTATCGCGAGGGATTTATTTGATGCAGAACCCTTGATGAGTTAAAAAAAAAAAAAAAAAAAAAAAAAAAAAAGACTCTAGTACTTGAGGAAACAAAATGCTGAAGTATCTATATACATGTACAAATTTCTTTATTTCATGTGTATGTTTGTGTAATGTGAGTGCTACACGCATGTGTTTTCATGCTGCATGCTGTGTAAATTTTTGTCCGCCAGTAAAAAAAATCGCGCCCCCCTCCGACTCACAATTAAACAAAAAAAAGGGGACCGCAAAGCCCCGAGAATGAAGAAAGGGGGTTAGGAAGGGGACATGCAAATTAATCTTTGTTTGTGCGTTCATTGTTTATAAAAAAAAACGCGAAAAGGGGGGTGAGGGGAGGAAGCACCAAAAAAAGAAATGCCTCACTCTTTTTTTTTTTTTGCACTCTGTCTCACTTGAGACGTTTTTTCTTTGCCACATGCGCCCAAATGGCCATGATGTCAGGAGAAAACAAACAAACAAACATGACAAACATTGCTCTTTGTAGCCCTAATCTAGAGCAGTATCTTGGACTCTCCTCTCTCCTCCTCATCTCCTCGAGGTATCCCTGGACTTGAACGAACCACAGAGCTCTGTACATGCTTTACATGAACCCGTTTGTATCAGATATCTCATTAATTAATTACATTGCTGTTGCTTATGGTCTTGTAGTTTCTAGACCACGTGAGAACTCATGCCATCCAATCGATAAACACCCAACCTTTTTTTTAATTGGTGGCGCAAGGCATATTGATATCCTTTCTCACTTTGTTGACTGTCTCTCTCCCATGCTTATCATGTCGTTCATGTTGACAAATGCGTGATTACGGCAGCAGACTACTGTCTCATTAACATATTTGTGGCAAAGACATTACATAAATTGATTATCCAGCTCTCTCCCCTTAACAACCCAACCGAAAGAGCAGCGTCACCAAGCTTACCACACGTGATCATGTTTTTTTTTTTTTTTTTGAGCATTTGCATTTGTCAACCTTTTTTGATTTGATTTGCTCTCTCTTTCTCTCTCAATCCACATTCACTCTTCTGACATCAAAAACACATCATGGCCGAAGTTCCTACTTTCAAACTTGTCCTTAGTAAGTATACATGTTTATTCACTCTATTTTCATGGAGGACCAGTCATTACTCAACAATGACGGCGACATGATTCATTTTGATCTAACTTTTTTTTTATATTCTTCAACTCTTAAATCTCTATCAACCAATTTTAGTTGGAGATGGTGGTACGGGAAAGACCACTTTCGTCAAGCGCCATTTGACTGGTGAATTCGAGAAGAAGTATATTGGTAAAGACCTTTTTTCTTTTATCTCTTTTTCTACCATATTTTATATATGTATATATTCATGCATATATGGAGGAAACTCTTCAAGAGAACAGAAGAAAAAAACGGATTGGCGGGAACTGTCGACTGAACTATAGATACGCCATCGATTCTTGTCAGCATATGCGATATGCAATATGCGATACTTTTATTTTATTTTTCATTACTTTCTTTTTTTTTTTTTTTGCCTTCACCACTTAATCCGTGGTGGATTTGAAATGGGATTTTTTAATTTTTTTGGCTCAACATTTTTTCTTTCTTTCTTTTCCACCGCGCCACCCTGCAATGAACCACAACACATACGGTATTCCATCTCTTTCTGGAGTTCCGAAAGATTCAGAGCCTTTTTTTTTGTGGAGCTTTATTTTGCGCACTGAACTATCTTGATTCAGAAGATAAGGTTAAAAAAAAATAATAGTAATAGTAATAATAGCAGTTACTGAGGCTCCTTTGGAAGTATTCAAGAGCAGCAAACAACATACGATAGGATACAACAATGGAGATCAGATCACACGAACGATATGGCGTAGCATGCAACACCCTATTGATTTTTTTTTTTTTTTAAAAAAAAAGAAAAAAAAGGCCTTTTCTCCTCTCGAGTGGCAATGCAAATTGTGGCAAAAATATTAACTTTTTTTTTTTTTCTTTTTCACTTTTATTTCCATTATGTCATAGCCACTTTGGGTGTTGAAGTCCATCCCTTGAGCTTCTCCACCAACTTTGGTAACATCGTCTTCAACACTTGGGATACTGGCAAGTATTTCTTTTTCCTTTTTTATTTTTTTCCCTCCTTCCAGATCGGTTTTTTGGAGCAATAATGTCCAAATCGAACTTTAAAAAATTAACCAGCTCCAGAAAATCATCTACAAACATCATCTCTTAACTAAAATTAATAGCTGGTCAGGAGAAGTTCGGTGGTCTCCGTGATGGTTACTAGTAAGTTACTTTTCTCATGTTCAAAGATCCAGCGGAAGTCGAACCTGGAGTTTGTAACCAAAAGTTCTCCCCCTATCCCAACAACTACTCTTTTTTTTTTTTTTTTTGCAAGACGCTAATCAAAATTATTGCTCCGCTTTTTTTACTTGAAACATCATCATGACAGCATCAATGGACAATGCGGTATCATCATGTTTGATTTGACTTCCAGAATCACCTACAGGAGCGTTCCCAATTGGCATCGTGATCTTGTTCGTGTTTGCGAGAACATCCCTATTGTCCTCTGTGGAAACAAGGTCGACATCAAGGAACGTAAGGTCAAGCCCAAATCTATTGATTTCCATCGCAAAAAGTCTCTTCAGTACTACGATATCTCAGCCAAGAGCAACTACAACTTTGAGAAGCCTTTCCTCTGGTTGGCTCGTAAGCTCTCAGGAAATCCCGGATTGGAGTTTGTTGCTTCCCCTGCCTTGGCTCCTGCTGAGGTCAGCATCGATGCTGCTCTTATGCAACAGTACAAGCAAGAACTGGATACTGCTGCTCAGATGCCCCTTCCTGAGGAAGATGATGACCTGTAAAAAAAAATACTTTTTGTATCCCCAACTTTGTTTAGGACCTTCTATTGATTCCTTAGTATACATTTTACATTAGTCGTTCTAAGTCCCTCCTTTTTTTCCGCCAACAACTATTCTCCCTTCCCTACATCCAGCCTTAGTTATAGTCAAATAAAAGAGAAAAAAAAAAAAAAAAAAAAAAAAAAAATTACATATAAATCAGACTTTAGACTTTCTAATTTCTTTTTCCTTTATTTCTGAGTTTTTTTTAGAGGAAGGTGGGTGAGGGTATCAAAGAGGTGATAAGATGTCTTTGGCCTGTGTTGACAGAGAGTTTATGTTATCACTGTTAGTGTTGCTTGTATATTGTTTTTCCTTCTCTTGTTCTCGTTCTCGCTTATTATCCTTCTCCAATTCGTTGACGAGGGCCACAAGGGCTGCACGGTTGACAGGATTAGAAGATCTTAAAGATCGTTTCCTGACAGAACTCTGATTACTACTACTAGTGCTTGGCGTTCGACGTGTTGAACGGGACGTTGTCGTTGTTGGACTGCCTGGTGTCTCGTCAGTTCCATTTTTGTTAACCACAGGAGCAAATGATAGTTTGGTAGGGGTAGGGGGTGTGAGGGTGGTGCTAATAGCGGTGGTAGTGCTGGTAGTGTTGATAGGACCATTATTATCAGTACCATTCAAAGTACCATGAGCAGGACCATTAGCAATGCTAGTGCTAGTGCTTGTGCCCATACCACTTCCACTTGTACTGCCACTGCCACTGCCAGTAGCAAACATAGTAGCAGTTGCAGTCGTGGTCGTGGTTGTGGTCTTGGCTTTGGTTGTTGCAGCCGAGAAAATAAAGGCTTGTTGAAGCTCAATGGCCGAGGTATGGTATTCCTTATTTCGACGTCTTCCACCACTTCCACGAATGCTTGTCCATCTTCGAGTCCCATGACCAGTCCAAAAGTTGGATGATTCCTTGTTTGAACTAGAATGACCACTTTTGCTACTACTAATATCGTTGTTGTTGCTATCACTATCGCTGTCATTGTCACCAAAGCCAAGTGTTGCAGTCAAGTTGTATACACGTCTCGCAATCTGAAGTGGTCCTCGGACTGCACCTAATAACTCATCCACAAGGGATTCACCCATCATGGACCATCTCTGAGCAGAGTAATATGGTTGATTCACTCGAAGGGTCTTTGAATAAGCAGTAGTGCTGCCAGAAACAGGTGATGTAGGTGACCGTGCATGATTATTATAAGATGAAGAAGAGGAAGAAGGAGTACGACGTGGATGTCTCGAAGAAGGCGATCGAATGGATCCTTGACCTGTGGATGCAGATGAAGTAGAGGGCTTTGTGTCTGATACTGCCCCTGCTGCTGTTATAGTTGTAGTTGTAGACGATGGCGTTTGAAATGTCTCTTCACTTAACGCAGTTCGCCCTTTGGTTTTGGTCCCAGTCTTCAGTCCTCCAACCTTCCGATGACTATTGTGAAGGGAAGAAGTTGATGTCGAGAAGGATGAGCTCAAGGCCTCACGAAGACTACTCGAAGAGACGGACGAGCCCGATAAGGAGGAAGCATGGTAGCTATAATTGCTCTCCACTTGGTTTTGCACCTGGGCAATTGACTCTGGTGTCTCCAATTTCTTTGAATGCTCCGGTGATGGGAAAAAGGACAGGACGCCTGCGGGGACTGTGATGAGTCCTTGTTGAACCATCACCGTCGTCTCCACTGTATCAGCTCCAGCAGCGTTGTGTTGATGATGATGATAAGCATCTAATACATTTGCATAACCGGTCCTGTGTCCTTCATCCAGATCATCCGCCTCATAGATGTGATGTTGAGTTCCAAATGTCATAAAGTCACTTTGCATTGGAGGTAACTGTGATTGTGAGGAAAATGATGATGGTTGTTGCTTTCCACCGGTATCCTCTTCCTCAGTAACCGTGTGGTTAAGTCGATTAGTGATAATGGCTGATAGATTACCACCCGCAGGTTCCGTAGTAGTGGTGGAAGTGATAGCGGTATCCACAGAGCCTCGCCTTGAACCAATATTGGAAGATGATGGCGACGACGCTGGTGATGAAGACGTTGTTGCTGTTGTGGTTGCCGACATTGTTGATGCTGTTGCGGCTGATAGACTCAACTTCCGTGCTGTCGCATAGTGTCTTAGATCCATCGTTCGATGACGCTGGTGAACTGGATTTGTACGCATCTCTTGTCCTTGTCCTTGATGGCCTGCCAGGGCTTTGCGATGTTGTTGCTCCTGCGTGACTAAATCCATCTCCTTAAAGCGTGCTGCGAGAGCTTCATGTGTCATCGAGGGAGGCACTACAACTGTGTTTGGCAAGTTCTCCGATACAGCTGTTGCTGCCATCGATGGTGATGATGATGATGAGGAGGTTGATGAGGTTGAAGATGATAGTGGCCCTGCTTGCTTGGTTCCAGCGCCGATGAAATCAGTGGCGCTTCTACGAGGATGAAGTAATGTTTGCGATGAGACAGGTGCAGCCCTAAGGCTGTTATCCAAAGTAAGGGATGTAGAAGTCATCGTTGGAGATGACATCGGTGGTGCTGCTATCGACTTGGGATCTACCCAAGTCCCAACACGCGGTGAACCAGTGCCAATGTTTATGCCTGTTTTGACAGCAGGAGCTGTTGCTGCGTTTCCAGAGAGAGTTGAATCTACAGCTGAGTTTCTGTCATGGATGCTGTTGTTATTATTCCTGGCGTATTCATTTCCAAAGTCATCTCTTGATGTTTGAGAGTTCATGACAGATCCAGACCGAGAATGATAATGCTGTGAGGATGGCTGTCGAATACGCTGAGGTAAGGTCACTGTTTGGTTGGCCTCATCTACCAGGACTCCCTCTTGCTTTGTTACTGTGCATTCCTCAAAAGGGATGTAGAGGTACTTGCGAGTATGGATCGAATCATTAGTCCACAATTTGTTGGATTTTTTAAGTACAGAGAGCTATGATTACAAATAAAAAAAAAAAAAAAAAAAAAAAAAAAAAAAGTCAATAAGAATAACGTAATACCACTCCTGAATCGACGCAAAGCAATATAATCCAATATATTTATACCTGAATACCATAGTAAAGCGCAATCCCAACAAGCGTGTCTGTGGGAGTAATCTGATGAATGATCACACGTTTCCCAACACTTCCTGTCGTATTTTTGCCATTCACGAGACCTGAATGTCCTTCTTTTTTACCCTCTCTTTTATACGCCCAGCCTCTATTGCCATCTGCCTTGGAGGTATTTCTCCTCCTTCTAGTACTCTGTTCCAAAGGAGGGACATCCTTGCCATTGGTTTGATTAGGGTAATGCGCCTGTCGGGTATCCACACTCATACTCATACTACGGTCCTTATTATTTTGAGTCACTATCGTATTCAAATCTCGATACCTTTCATCCTCCAAGGTTTCGGGTTCTACTGTATAGTCCATCAAGAGCGGGTGAGAGCCACTCCACACTAGTCCTCCTCCTCCTACTCCATCTGCCATATCAGTAGCCCTCTGATCTGATGATTTCGACGGCCTAATAGTAGAATAAGATGAAGACGAGCCTTCCGACACTAGGGTTGAAGAAGAAGGACACTCTGACAGCTGAGATAATCGATGTAGTGATTGTCGCTGTTGTTGTTGGATTGATGTGTCCGCGGATGATTTCCGCCTACTTTTGCCTACATTAGATGTATGGGTTAGAATGGACGAATGTGTTGTTGCAGAACCTGATGATGATGAAGTTGGGTTTTGATTTGATAGAATATCTGATTCTTCACTAGAGTTGATAGAGTGGATGGTATTTACAGGCTTGGCTTCCTCCAATGGGCCTAAATCTGAGAGATGCTCTAAAGGCTTGTGCAGTCTTGATTGGACGGGTGAAGATTGTGTACGTGCTCTAGTGATGGGTCGCCGTATAGGCTGAGATGGTTGTGCAAGGAGCTGTTGTTGTTGTTGTTGTTGTTGTTGTTGTTGTTCTGGGTAATGGCTGCTGTAGCCGCTGCCTATTGGATCCTCCTGAACTGCACTCTGCGGTGTGGCAGAGCCGCTTTTAAAGTCCAAAGTCTTTGTTTCGGGTGATATAGTCGATATTGAAGCAAGATCGGGCAGAGATATAGTACAGTCGGATGTAGTAGGGTTAGTGGTAGGAGTAGCAGTGGCGGTCATTGGAGTCACTGAAGTAGTACATGTACTTGTCTTGAGATCAGCATTGGAAGGATTATTATCCGAGAGGTGATCGTCATCCATTGATCCATGAAAACTTTGTTTGGTTTGATAGTTGTCCTCTTTCTCCTCTTTCTCCTCATTCTCCCCCCTCTTTTGAGAACTGGAAGGAGGCAGTACACCGGAGAGAGTACTATTGTCACTGACGTGTTTGTCATCGTGATCATTATCATTACTGTGCTTTTGATTATGATTACTCGTGTTCTTGACTACCCCGTTCGCCTGACCTTTCCGACTGGGGGTGTCTCTCTCTTCTTGTGTAACCGTCCCCTGGTTTTCGCGCGGACCAGCTTCAGTGTCAAGAGGATATGCCTGTTCTGTTCTTTGATCTTCCCCTGCATTAGAATCGTCACCATCCCTTTCTCTGTTCTCGTCGTCACTGCGGATTGGCTGATCTTCCTCAGCATGACTGACATTTAGGGGATGCTCACTACTAGTGCCAGTAAGCTTCGTCTTCTGTCCCTGTTGTTGCTGTTGTTTCGATTGTGTCATATTTAGGGAGAGAGGATCGGCAAAAGAAGAGGAATTGGTGGAATTGGGGTTGGATGTGGATATGGATAAAGAAAGAGGTGAGCCTGAACTAGAGTTGTTGCGCTTGATTTTTTGACTTGCTTCCTCTGTTCTCTCTTTACTATTTAGTGGACTTTTAATTCTATCAGTCCTTTGACCTAAAGCATCACCATGGGCTCCACTTTGTAAAGGATCGTCTAGGATTGGCATTGAATTATCATGGCTTTTGATGTTGTTGGTAGTGCTGCTATTCCAGACGAGAGCATGGATATTTTTTAAGGCTGATGGAGCTGTCTCCAATCGCTGCTGCTGCTCTAATATATTCATGGCTGTGGGGAGAAAAGAGTATGGAATGAAAGATAATAATAACAACAATAACAAAAGAAATAAAGGACAAAAAAAAGGGGGGGAACAATGGGAGAAAGAGAAGGAGAATTGGCTTTGTAGTTATTTCTATGTTCTCAAGTGGGATGGGTTGTGATGGTGTGAGGTTCCTGTCTGGTGCAGAACGAGAACTTGAGAGGAAATGAGTCAATGTGAAAGCGAAAGAGCGAAAGAAGAAACTCGAGTGAATTAAGAAAGGAAGGAAAAAAAAAAAAGACAACAATTATTCAGTGAAATAGTTTTGAATGAGAGTGAAAAGAAATGGATGAGAAGGGCATAAAAAAAGCAATGAAGCAATGCCATGCTTTGCAATGGACAAGTTGACAAGGGTTCGTTTTAAGGACTTCTACTTTTGGAAGCTGCAATCAATCCATTGGCTCCAAAATGGCACACACCACACCACACCACACCACACATGTAGTCTTTTGTCTACATGCTGTCATCGTTACCCGTCCTCTGTAACCGTTCGCCTCCATGTACTCACCCCTTTTTATTCTTTCTTTTTTTTACCCCTATGCCATTTTTTTACTTTCCTTCAACCCCTCTTCTTCATGTCATATGGTACATACTTCTTTCTGTCTCTCCTTGTTCAGTAACAATATTCCATGAGAGTAGATGCATATTTGGGAATCTGGCCGATTCATAAGATTGTCTGGACTGTGTTTAGTTTAGTTTAGTTTAGTTTCCAAACTTTTTTCTTTATTCAATAAAATATAATACAAAACAAAAAATAAAATAAAATAAAATAAAAAAGAGAGGGGCAAAGTTTGCAGAAAAGCATGGACAATCCCAACCCATTGAAGGGTATTCTATTACAACAATAAATCCTTTTAAAGCTTGGCAGCAGGAGGAGCACCAGGTTGTGGCTCAGTGATGAATTTAACACCCTTGGTAACATTGCCCTTCAACTCATTAATCGCAATCTTCACCAACGCCTGTTCCTCAGTTGAGAGCTCTGGGAGGGCCAAGACTTTGGCCACACCATCAGGACCCAACTCCACATCCTGTGCAAAGTAATCCAGTCCGGTGAATCGCTGGTTCCACTCTGATCCAGGATTACCGGGCAGATGCACAAAGGTTGACTCGACCACTCCTCGTTTTCCTCGGACAGAGGCCTCCAACAACGACAATGTGAAACGAGCTCCTGCATAGGCCATAGAAAGTGTAGCAGATCCAGCCCCGTCCTTTGCCTTCACGACCTCATCCCCTCCAAACTGGATACGGTGTGTCAACGTCTTGATTTCCTCTGGTGTGAATGAGATGGATTGGTTATGAGGCTGTTGATTGATCTTTGATAGGATAGGGACGATCGTTGCACCACTGTGTCCGCCCACGACCGTGATCCGGTTGGCAATCTCATGAGGCTCAAACTGAGGTTTCACCTCGTGCACGAACCGTGAAGAACGCACCACGTCCAATGTGGTCACTCCAAAGACTCTATAAAAAAAAATTTTTATAACATATTTTAATCATCACATGAAGAAAAAAAAAAAAAAAGAAAGAAAGAAACATGACGCGCAGTGTTTGAAGGAAAAAAAAAAAAAAAAAAAAAAAAAAAAAAGGTTTTCTTTATGAGTCTCCTTTACCTTCGAGGATCAAATACGTTAGCCTTCTTGAGAACTTCGCAGACAATAGGGACTGTTGAGTTAACGGGATTCGAAATCACGAGAATAAAGGCCTTGGGGCAATGCTCTGCGCATGCTTGTGCAAGATCTCGTACAATACTGGCATTCACCTGATATTATATAAAATAAAAAAACAAAGAAAGTAAATTTTCTCATCACATAAAGATTCAGCGATCAAGTAAAAAAAAAAAAAAAAAAAAAAAAAAAAAGAGCTTTATTACCTTGAACAGATCATCGCGGGTCATGCCTGGTCGACGAGGCACACCTGCAGGAATAACAACGGTATGAGCGCCTTGAAGAGCCTCTGCCAATGCTCCTGCACCCACGTGTCCAGTCACTTTAGAGGCAGTGTTGATATGTGAGAGATCCGCTGCAACACCGATAGCATTCACAATATCGTACAATGCCAGGTGTGAAATAAGATCCGATTGCTTCAACAACAATGACAAAGGCTGACCAATACCTCCAGCAGCACCACAAACCACGACTATAGATAGATAGACATTAAAAGGGAAAAAAGAATACATTTTTTTTATTTCATGTTGTTAGATCTAGTGTTTATAGTGACAATTTTGTATTGTAGCATGAGTACTTGCTGCTACTGTTGTTGTTACCTTTGACCATGTTGTTTATATCTTTAAGCCGATGTGAAGGATAAAAAAGATTGAGTGGGATTAGAATGGGAGTTGAAAGTGAAAGATGAAAGAGAAGAGAAGAGAAGAGAAGAGAAGGAGGAAAAAAAAAAAAAGACGGAACGCAATTTATTTCACCGAATGTTTTGATGTAATCTGTCCCCCAATCAAGTTGTTCGTGTACAGTTCATGTTACTTGACACGAAGAAATAAGAGCATTGCAAACATTCACGGAAAGAAAACAGAGTGAAAAGAGGGGAAATATGATGATGTGCATGTATACCCACGTTGCAGTACATGCATCGACATCTTCATCTCCATCTAACATCTTCGGCTGCCAAGGGAACCCGTTTAATTTTCTTCTATTTTATGTTGACAAAACATGGTCCCCATGGCATTTTACTTCTTTACATGTACATTTTATTTGTTTTGTTTTGTTTGTAATGTTCATTTTGACGCGTTTGCTTTCGTTCCTCTCTTCACATGAAACTCAAACAAATAAAAAAAAGGACATTCTTCTTGGGGAAGAAAGAAGGATGGATTCGAACCACTTTGTACATGTACTTTGTATAGTATAATACATACATATTTATATACATTTGCTTCATCTGAGCCGGACCCTTCTTCCTTTCCTCCGGATTATTTTTATTTGAGTTCTTCCCTTCACCTTCGCGGGTTCTCCACATCGCTCGGGTATATTGTATACCACTGATAAACCTTAGTTTTCTCTCTCATGGCAAAATATTTATTCGTTTAAGCACATGTATAAATGTATTTTATACTTTGTCTACTACATTTGTACAAATGCATAACATTATATACCCATCATTCCCCGACTATCCACTGCGTTCAACTGCTTTTTTTTTTTTTTTTTTTTTTTTTTTTTTCAGACACACACAGGTTCATTGGCAAGTTAATATTATGAGACAAACATGTACCGCACATATTAGATGATCGTATTGGTTTTAGTATACAGTGTCCAGTGTAGCAAGCCTTCCCAATATTTTGAGCCATACAGATGCCATGTAAAATCAAGTTGAATATTCTATTATCCTGTTTGCAATGCTGGCATGAGCGCACCATCATGGTATTATTGACTTTATTCATTATACACGTTTCCCTAATCCTAGCTTGAAGTCCTTGAAAAGAACAATGAATTGTGGTAATCCAAAGAATATGTTCCCATTTTCGATATTTGAAATAGATCTTGAATAAGTATGATGCCCTTCATACTGCATTCAACTATCCGTTCTAGCCGCTTGCCGTATATTTTCTCGCTTCATTAGATCGGTGGTGCATGGTTCAAAATAGGATGAGAAAAAAATTAGTACATGTATGTACATGTGTATGCTCCCTAAGATAACCTGCAAATATTCGCTCTTTTCGAAGACCAAGAGAAAGGCCAGCTGAATTTAACCCAAAATCACGCGACAACAAAGTACGCGCCGATCAGGCACCACGGTCCATCACCAAGGCTCTCCCTTGCCATTAACAGGAGATCCTTGGCTATGAGAAAAGAGCAAGAGTGCTCGCTTTCTTTGCTGAGCTAGGGCATCAAGCGAAGACTCCTATGAGCTCCCCCAAAGCTAGTAGCTTCACCTCAGTCTCTCCTTAGAAAGACTGAGTTACCTTTCACGAAACTGATCCCCCATGGACTGACCAAGGGAGTGCGGGAGCCCCGTCATTCCTATAACGCGCATTACTACGTTGGGCAATTAAGCAGAACAACATAGATCGATCGTGAAACATACCTTTGAGAGAGGCTGATGATGACATAAGACAATGACGCGTTTTGAAAGAACGCCTCTTCTATTTGAAATTCTAATGTTATACAACACCACGACACGACAAATGCAATTGCAAGTATAGAGTGATAAGAAAAAGGATGCCCAGCGTCACCAACCATGGGTTCCATCTGGGGTACTTACCTTGAGCCCAAAGCGCTCCATAGCTCAGAGGACTCTACGATGAGACATTGCCATCTAGACATGTAGAACAGTGCTCATCACAGAATTTAAAAAAAAGAAATAAACGGTAGATGGTGGAACGTGATTGCAAGTAGAGGGTGATAAGAAAAAGGATACCCATCGTCACCAATCATGGGTGCCGTCTGGGGTACTTACCTTGAGCCCAAAGCGCACCATAGCTCAGAGGACTCTACGATGAGACATTGCCATCTAGACATGTAGAACAGCGCTCATCACAGAATTTAAAAAAAAGAAATAAACGGTAGATGGTGGAACGCGATTGCAAGTAGAGGGTGATAAGAAAAAGGATACCCATCGTCACCAATCATGGGTGCCGTCTGGGGTACTTACCTTGAGCCCAAAGCGCACCATAGCTCAGAGGACTCTACATGTAGAGCAGCGCTCATCACAGAATTTAGAAAACAGATGTTGTTGTAATATTCACAAGTTACAAGAGGACATTATCATAGGGCAGTAGTCACACTAGGATTTTTGACACTTTTTGGCTCGTGACCTAAATTTCTTCCATATTTGCATGTTCTTCCTCTAGAAGTACGGTCGTATAAAGTGATGCAACCAGATTGATAAGAAATAAGCATCGTCTGTATATGAATAGCATAATAGAGCATATCCATGTTGGATGCTTGTTTATAAATATAGAGTGAATAAACTTCTTCGAACTATGTGTCGCAACTCTTTTTGGATTTTTTTGATTTGAGTGTCGAAAAGATCGAAATCTGCTGGAGTCTTTAACTGTAGCAGGCTTGCTATACCGTTACAAACACGAAGGCATTCACCAATACAAGGTGAGGTTGGAGCAATGGTAAAAACTGTGGTTTCCTCAAGTGAAAGTGAGTGAATGGTGTAGATGAATGTGCACATGAAAAAAAAAAAAAAAAAAAAAAAAAAAAAAGGTCATTCTGTATGCCGTGCTTTTGAAAGAAGGGGCATGCAAATGTAGAATTAATCAAAAGCATGGCTTTGGATGACCCCGTCTCTTTCAAGCATTCACACATTTTTAATATATTCTTTCAGTGCAATACAGCAATTACAACTATTTCTTTTTTTTTACACTACGAGAGGAACTCCTTCAAAATGACAACAGAACTTCCAATCTTTTCCGGCGATTACGACGTCAATATGCTTTCCAACCTTCCCATCAATGATTACTTTAAAAACAACCACCCTAGTGCCTGGCATCCTATCCATTATGCCAATAATTCCGATGTATATGAATATGTAGGGTTTGAACATGGACTCATCACAATTGGGAAACAACTTTCCTCCCCCTGCGTGTTTGCTCGAAGGTGGCTAAAGTATCTGTCCACAAAAAGCGGAAAAATTCTCAAAGAGCAAGCGGAGGGTCTCTTCGAACTAAAATTGGCAGCTATAAAGAATCAAATCACATTCTCAAACGTTCAGGCAAAATTTTCAACCAAAACGTTTGCTTCACCATCTGCTGAACAGGTACGATAACATCAATAATAAGTGCTACTCTATTCTACGTTGGTGGCACTCGACGTATTATTATTATTATTTTTGGAGATTTTGTGGAAGCTGAAATTTGTATCAATTTTGAACGTGAGTCGTAGTTTGACGATGCTTAATATGTTCCTGAACCCATCTCTTACGCATAGAATGATCCTGTACAACCTAAGACATTAGCATTATCAAGCTCTTCCTCTCAGGTAAGAATTACATTTGGTATAATATTCTGGTTATCAGATGTGTACGCTATCGATGATTTGAGTTAACATATCGACCTCGATTATTTTAACCTAACCAAGCCAAAAACAGAAACATCTGGTATGCTACCACAGTTCTATTTGTCTTGTATATTTGCTATCGTTATTATTATTATTAATCGAAGAAATTACAAATATTTCACACACATCAATGTCTAAAGTTACCATTACTGGAAAGCGAAAGTGGCAAGGAGACATTGAGGATCCGCAGCCCCGATCAATGACATCAACTACTATGCCAAATCCATTTTTGTCCGAAGACGATGCTTGGCAGGATTTCGCGTACTTTACATCGTTCGGCCAGGCGTCAACCTGGACACATGTTGCTGACGGTCCTGATGCCATAGACTATCTGTCCTTGTTTAAGGAATACCGAACAGCTCAGAAAACATCACTGGCGCTTGATATGGTCGCAGACGTTTCCACTAGTGGCTCGGAGTCCGGAACGTTTACGGAGTGGATCAGAAAGAAATATGGGTATGCAGGCTTGAGGAATGTACGATATAGAGCCCCTACCTCGACGGCCATCAAGGACATATGGCCTACGTTCGAAACGGTGATGGAGCGCATCTTTGCCCCTGACGTCGTATCGTATGATGATGTTTGTCGTTCTGTTGCCAAAGAGCCTGATCAGCTCGATCCACTCGTGACATACTGCAGTGCTGTACTGAGGTCATAGTAAGTCCTATCCTCGCATTTATAGCGTGCTAGGATCAGTGTTATTCTGAGCCTTATTGATCTAGGTGCCTACCAGTCTATCAGACTAATCATCTATCCTTATATTCAATAGTATGCATCATTTTACCTTCAGCAGCACTGTAAGGAAAGACATCAATGAGCGGGAGGCGTTCGTGGATTTCACTTGGTGCTTCATTCGTTCAGCTCTGACCATCGCGAAGATACCATCACGGATGTTGGAGGTGCAGATGGATGGTAGCAAGGATCGAAAGGTGGAGACCAAGCATAAGGGGACACGGCAGAATACTCCAAGGAGGGCGGATGGGGTAGGATTGTATAATGACAATCAGATCTACGTAGCGGAAGCTGGGCAGGTCTATGGTGCCACCTTGGAGAAGAAGGAGGAAGATGCTTGGAAGGTCAAGCGTGCCATGCGGGATTCATGGGTGTCCCAGTTGCGTCGCATCTGTGAAACGCACAGGCCAACGTCACCATTGGTGGTGTTTGGGTCAACATCACATTTGCATACGACCAAATTTTACGCCATGGATTTCGTCGGATGCTTCCGCGTCTCCGTTCTGTCATCAATGGTGGTCCCACTGAGCAGCGATGATTTCGCAGACAAGATGAAGGCATGTATGTTGACGTGCCTCAACTTCGTCCGTATACTCTTGGCCGAAATCGAGAGCCGCAAGAAGGCCACTTTTATGTTCGATCAGGAGGAGAAAGAGGAGCTTCTTGAGCTTGTTGCCAGCATTCCTGCAACCAGCACGACGCCCATCAAGAAGGATGAGAAGTAATTCTTTACTAGATTCTGCGATTTCCTTTCCTTGTATTAAAAAATCACTTTGTACAGTAGTTGTCATCAAACAACAAATGGCGAATGACGTCCCTTGGTTGCAGCAGTGCATGAGCAAGTTCAAGCTAAGCTAAAGCTAAGCACACGACCTTTATCACAACCCAGCCATGAGCCTAATGTCCAACTCTCTCCCGCCTCTCTTTAAGGTCCATGAACGCTGACTCTGACTCTTGATTCGTTGACTGGAATGTCTCCGGCCTGTAATAGTGTTCGATGCATGTCCTGAGTATCGACCAGAGGTCTAGTCTTCAAAGCGGATAGAAATCTTTTCTTTTTCATTTCTTTTTTTTTTTTTTTTTTTTTTTTTTTTCTTACACATTTCGCTTGATAAGGGCCAGCAAAGGATAAGGTATTACATAAGGCCACCAAATGGGATCCATTACACCATATTCTGTATATTGTATACCATACATATACCATATATATGGTGGAAGTGGTATGGCCAGGACCCTGAAAAGTTAATTTTTCAGCAGGACAATGCAAGTGTTCATACGAGTAGGATGGTTAAAGAGTTCTTTATTAAGTCACACATTACCACTTTGGAGTGGCCTCCAAATTCTCCTGACCTCAACCCTATCGAGAATGTATGGGCCTACATGGATCATCGGCTCAAGGGATATGAGAAGGTACCAAAGGATCTGGATGAACTATGGGAAAGACTACAGGATATCTGGACATCTGTTCCACCTGACTTCCTTGATGAGCTATATGAAAGTATGCCACGAAGGGTAGAGGAGCTACATCGCAAGAAAGGAGGTCGTACACATTACTGAAGAACAGAAAAAAAAAACAAATAAAGCAAAGCTGCTGTTTTTCTTCAAATGTCATTCAATGAGATGCCAATAATTGGCATTCATCTAAATTTTCAATTAGCAACAGGAGCTCATTGACATTGTAGTAGGAGTGACATTGTCGATGGTCGAACTCGCTACGTAAGTTTCATTAGCGACAAGCAAGATCAAATTGGAGAAAGGAATGAGAATGTCGAAATTCCTAATTCATTGAATGACTTTTGATGACCACTGTATATATCATCATGTCAATATAATTCTGTGCAAAATAATAATACACATATTAACACATCTCGCCTCGCTTTTTTTTTTTTTTTTTTTTTTTGGAGTAAGTAATAACCAGCCGCTGTAGTGCATGTAACATGTACAAAAGTCCATATCTGTTTGAATATTCATCCTATAACTGCCTAGTCATATTTTTAAAATAGTAACAGTAATAATAACAACATTAATAACAACAATAAAAACAATAACAATAATAATTATACCCAAGTTCAAGGATAAGAAAAGAAAGAGTGAAAGCAATTCATGGTCAAATGATTTTCATGGTCGAAAGCAAAAGCCGAAACCCGAGATTGCTTGACATCTTATAGCACAGGTATCATCTGGGCCTTTCCAGTAAACCAATATCACTCCAGACATCCAGGTTGAAGTCCGAGGCTAGCATCCAGCGCGATATGGATGGGCAACACGGTCCTCCAATGGAGTTAAGGAGCTCAAACATAAGCTCCTGTATTCTGTAAGATATCGAGAGATGCACAAGCAGGGCTCAGGAATACAGAAATGGGCACAGCACCAATTATATACTCTTACCAAGCTTTTCCAATATGACTTTTGCCGATTGAGGATGAACGCGCTCCATGGCAATCATAACTGAAGCTGGCTGAAAGTCATGGGCTGGGACGTGAAATGTTATTCCAAAGAACTTCCTTTGATTACCGCTTGTCCAACTATCCACTGTGATTGCGCCTTGAACTTTATGTTAAGTAAAGTAGCTCTTGGTCTGCACCCACAAATTTGTTATATTCAAATCCATCATTGATTGGATAGCGTCTGTGCTTGAAACTGCATATAATGACTCAAGTTGCAAACATATTGCCTTGAAAGGATCCCAGTCAATTAAATTGAAAGAAGTTCAAGCAATTCATAGAGCGTGTACCATGTCTCCGATGCTCCATGACTGGTGCGTAGGTTATGTCGGCGCTACTCCAAAGCTTTAGCTTCAGCCCCAAGCAGGGTTGAGCATGGGTTGTCAAAAGGCAAGGACAGGCTAAATCTTGTGACGAGACCTTCAATTCCTCTTACACCTGGGTCGAAGAGCCACTAAGAACGAAGCTCGGAGAAGAACAAGTGATTAATAGAGTTTTATAATATGGCGAAGCTGACACTGTCAAACAACCCTTATCACACTCGCCAAAAAAAAAAAAAAAAAAAAAAAAGATAGAGATTGAAGATTTTATTTCGCTCAAAGATTCGGACGACTGACATGAACAGCATTCACCCACTCACTGGTCCAAAACGCAAAATTTCCCATACAGCAGTATAAAAAGTACAATAGTAATAACAACAAACCTCTCCAACAGTGGGCTTCCGTCGCTGAATCTACTCATGGTGGCCACATGAAACCTGGAAATATAAATGAAATTCATTTAGGAACCATTTTCAAAGCATAAGACTGAGAATTATCAAGCTCATCTAGAGCAAAAGGCGCGCTGAGCGTGCACCAGAAGAAAAAAAGAAATAAGGCGATGTTGAATATGTTACCTGAGTTATTTCCTACAAAAATGTATGTGGTTTCGTCAAGATGCAGTGTGGAAAGCCTTCTTTTCGAATGGAGGGGGATTCTGTTGTAAATATATCGGGCCTTCCCTTCACCTCTGGAGAAGGATGCTTTATAGAGCGTGGCTTTATCGATATCAATTTGCTTAAAATTCATTTCCTTGATTTTAGCCTTGAGGTCAGACACAGTAGCATTCCACTCAATCTCGACTTGACACTCGCAGAAAAACGCGAATCCCGGTCTAATGCAGGTAAACTTCAAGTTGCTGCCGGCATTGAGAGTACTGCCTAATGGACGCTGTACAACTATATATATAGTATTGTCGAAATACAATGTAGAAAGTCTTGTTCTTGGATGGAGGGGCATACTGTCCTTAATATCATCCGGTCTGATGAACGAATATCCATCATCATTGAGGAGCAATACTCTCCAGAGCATGAGTTTAATAGCAGGAATGTCATCGAACTCGGGAGCATTACTTTTTTCGATTTTATTCTTGAGGTTAAACACATTAGCAGTCGGCTCAATTACGACTTCGAAGGCATCAAAAGTGGGGTTCCCGTCTACAAGGCAGAAAATTTTCATTATGTTTTGTCGGTTGGATGGGTGAATGTGTCAGAAGATAAAGAAAGGGCGTGGGAGTGGTTGGCGATTATGTGATTTACGAACAGGAGGCAACAAATATCACCTGTGCATTTTTTGGGATCAAACTTACAAAGCGTTGCCGTACTTTGCAAGCAGGGGAACATGCCAATAACAGAAGGCTTTTATTCTATACACTTGCTTTTTTTTTTTTTTTCTTGTTTGACGAGAGAGGAGGTCTAAAAAACACGCCTGGTTTGAGCGCAAAATAAGCTCTATCAGAACAAGATATCGATGATACACGCATAAAGTATTTACATATTGTCAGGTTAGCTGACTTCTCTTTTACAACGAAGCTCGGATCTAGTTTAATTCAAGGCTAAAAGAATACCTGCTTACGCATTTTAGGTATTTATCTCACTTCAACCGCCATTCTTTGGTCATGGTCCTCTTCCTCTTTTGTTGCCTTTGAGGTTGCTCAGGAACAAATTATATTCCTGAAGTAGTCAGGACGCTGCCGCAATCGTCTTCTTGAGGTTGGTGGCATGCATGGTATGATACTGTCACTAAGTTGAACAATATTCCTATCTTTGGTAATATAGTGGAGACCCAATCTAGGAGGCACAGCCATATACTGTGTAGCGTTCCATTTTACCCCTCAAGATCTTTGATGGTTAAAACAAAACAAAACATAAAAAAAAAAAGTACATGTACAATTGAAGAGATTGTGATGGATGGCAAACATTATCGGGGGTTCGTTTGAAAACTGTTTAGAATGGATGTTTACAGTTATGCATGTACTTTGAAACGCATACGTGAGATCGGCAATCGGCAACCACAGCTGTAACAACAGTGGCTAGTTTTGCAACCCTGAAGATGGGATGTGTGTGTGCTGCACAGTTACGAATTCCTGCATTTTCATGTGCAATTGTCCTTTTTTCTCTGATATACAGGACATGTGTTCCAGAACCAGGCATTGTGTTTATATAAATATATATATATATATATATTTCTTGTAATATATACAATATACTTATTATATAAGTAACCATACATATTTGATTCCTTTTTGCATTGAAGGTTAAGGTTATTCTTTCATGCTCAAAGTGAGATGGGTTATACATGCCTATGTATGGCAATCATTCTTTCTTTTGTTTCGGCCAAGTGGAGATCTGGCCGAAGTGAACAATGCAATAAAGCTGATCAGGGCAGAAAACACCGATACACTTTGGCTGTTCTGCCTCTTTTTTTTTTTTTTTTTTTTTTTTCTTCATTCTTCTTGTGGGATGTTAAACAAAAAGAAAAGAAAAAAAAAACTAACCAGCCACAAGCCCCCCTTTTTTCCTTTATAAACTTTGTACATCATGCGCCCAACTGTTTTTAGTTTAGCCAATCCTGGTTGTACACCAGTCGAGCAAGAGACTAAAACACAAATTGGTTTTTTGTTTGCTTGATCAGGAAAGCAATTAGAGTTCTTGGATTGATAATGATCATGTCTCTTTCCCTTTTCAACAAAAGAGGAACAATAGAAGGAAAAAATAAGGGCGGATAGAATTCCTCTTTTCCTCTTCCTTTCTTCCTTTCTTGTTCCTGTGTAAGGACCAAGTGGAGACAGACAAGCGAGATTGGAGAAGCTAGAACAAAAAAAAAAAGGCCTGTAGCAATGGACATGTGCTCGTCGGTTATTGTTTTTGTTTTTGTTGTTTTCTCCCTATTGCCACGTTATTGATTCATAAACAATGATGCTTTTGTATTTGGCATGGTGTACATTTACACTTTTTTTTTTTTTTTTTTGTTTTTGGCATGTGCAGTCTGCCGGAGAATATTTTAAATCAAAACGAGTTGTTTGTTGTTGTTTTGTCTTCTTAGTCCCCATCAAACACCATCATCGCAAAAAAAAAAAAAAAAAAAAGTGAGCCAACAGACACGAACACATGGCTGGTGATTATTAAGAGCATTTTTGATATAAATGTAGATTTTGCCTAATGAAGTCTTTCTAATGACCTTGGCCAAGACAGAGAGACCAGCTTACAACAGTCTGGGGAAGAGGGGTAATGGGCTATGGTTCGACGGCAGTGTCATTATAAACTGTTGTCTTAGTATGAAAATAGACGATGTAAACGACGAGTAATAAGGCTGAACATGGGCGGCGACCTGAACCAAAAGAAAAGAGAAAAAAAAACTTTGCAGCTCTTGAAGGTTTATTTCCGCTCCAATCCAATCTCAAGATGTTGTGATGGCGATATTTGACGCGAACCAATAGGACCACCAAGATTCTTTTTCATTATTAAAATAACATACTCAATCACCTCTATTCAATTCCTCCATCCCTCTTTCACGTTCCTCCTCCATCTCTTCCACATATAAATAGGTTTACTTTCTTTATCTTTTCTTCCGCTCTCTTTTCTCCTCACTTTTCGCCTTTCAATCCGTTCTTTCTCTCGTTCGTGTTCTACGCATTTCTCAACTTTTGCTTTTTTTCTTCTTCATAGTTTTTTTTTTTTTCTTCTTTTTAAATATCTTTTATATTCTTATTTTTCATATTCATTTCTACTTTTCTTTTATACGTGTCGTCAAAATGTCATCCATTATTGCTTAAACGCTATACCTCCTGCGCGCGAAATTAACTCTCAACATCAGTCAAATAATCATAACAACAACTAACAAGTGCTTTTTGGTATCGAATCGAATCAAAAATAACGAAAACATCACTCAACTTTATCTCATCAATAACAACCAACCTCCAATCTCAACCAACAAAAATGGCTTTCTTCTGCCTCTCAACTCCTCGTGCTCAGAACAACAGAAACAGATACACCCAACCGAAGACCTCATTCGATAGACATAGACCAACCAAACGACCGTCTTAAAAAAAACGCAGCCCTTTCACTTTATTCATTGACTTTTTCTTTTTTTTTTTTTTTTTTTCCTCATTTTCTATTGAACAAATCATTCAAAACGTTCCATTATCAAAGCCCCTCTCTCTTCTATTCCAATTCCTTGTTTTTGATAATTTCATTTCAAAACTATACTTCTACAAAAAAAAAAAAAGGAAAAGAAACAAAGTATGAATACATCAATCATGAATATCGTCGCCAACAGCAACAGCCAATCCGGCGCCGCTGCGTTTGGAGCAGCTGAGCGCCTGCTCAAGTCCGCAGATGCTCTTAATTTTGCATTAACTGGTTCAGGTACGATAGGAACCAAAAAAAAAAAAAAAAAAAAAAAAAATTGTGTGCTTTGTTTGTTTGAATGAATGAGCCTCAGCAAAAACAAACAACCAATGTTATATACTCATTTGACTGTTGTTGTGGATGACTCGAGTGTGTCAGCTGACCAGACCCTGACACATTCTGGTCATCTCGCGTGGATTGTTCGGAGTGTGAATTCAAAACCTTTTTATGTCATTTATTAAAACTGTATTTCTTCACTTTTTTTTTCTTTGAACTATTGCCTCCATTTTTTTTTTTTTTTTTAAAAATAATTTACCATAAACAGACAAGAAGAACACGGAATACTCTCGACAAGATTTGCTTGGGTTTAGCAGTTTGGATCTTGTCGCTGATTCGACCGAACTCACCACTTCTTTGTTTGACGATTGGCTTTCCGGTGATCTGCAGCAAGCTGGCTTTAGCGGCGACGATTCTTCGTCCGACTCGGACTCTAGCTGCCATAGCCATAGCCCTGTTCTCTCCCTCAAAAGTGATTCGCCTGCTCTCGGATTTGATTCCATTACCTCGGACGCAGACTTGATTCACTCGCCTACATTTGGATCGACTATGGGTTTCTTCCCCGATATCAACCTCACTGCCAGTCGCTTGTTCGCAAACCTCAACGATGGTACTAATATTGACACGAACTCGCCCCTTAATGCCTCCGCCAACAACCATGTCGTTGCTACGACAGCCACAGATGCAAGCAATATTAACAGTGCAGCAACTACATCATCCCCCATGATGCCTTTGACCCCCGAGGCTGTTCGACAAGCCGCTATTGCGCTCAACATCCCATGGAGCAAAGCGTTGGAAGAAGCTGTGTTGGCACAGTCATTGTTGGCATCTCTCCCTATGACTTTGCCCATTATGACAACGCCCCTTAGACAGTCCACGACGCCGTCACAACCAACGACGCCCCCTCAGTCCAATGCCACTGTTACTTCCATTGCCAACATGGTGCCTAAACAAGGCGCTAGTATTAATGTCGCTCACGACAGTACCATGGATATATCCCCTCCATGCACGCCTGTGATGTCCACAATCTCAAGCCTGTCTCCCCTGTATACCCAACCTATGGGGAGCCCTTCATCCTCTTCCTTGGCCAGTCCCTTGTCACCGACGATGACAATGGCGACTACGAGCCCAAAGTCATCAGCACCGTCTACTCCGAGGCTATCTATTTTGAGTAGCACACAGACTCGTTTGCCTATTGGCAATAGCAACACCACGATCCAGGCAACGACCTACAAGAGTACTTACAGGACTGCATCGCTTTTCAAGCGAAATCGTGAGTTGGAGCAACCCCCATCGGTTTTGGATGGCAAGGACCTTTCAGAGCTGGATGAGGTGGCATTGAAGCGAGCCAAGAACACGGATGCAGCCCGTCGATCTCGTCACAAGAAGTTGGTTCGGATGGAAAGTCTTGAGCAACGTGTTGCAGAATTGGAGGTTGAGAACTCGATGTTCGAGTCAAAGTTGAATGAAGTGGAATTGGAACGGTCCTTGTTGGCGGATAAGGATCAGATGCAACAGGCTCGTATCCAGGAGCTTGAGCAAATGCTTGCATCTATGCGGGAAAAACAGTATTAAAAAAAAAAAAAAAAAAAAAAAAACATAAGGTCATTAGAACTCTCCTTTCTTTCTCATTTCATTCCTATTAGCATTGATCATTATACATGTAGTCTATTTTGCATAAAAGTAAAAGATAAAAAAGACAAAAAAGTATACATATACATACACACTCCCCCTTCACGAAGAACGAGATGTTGAGTATTTGTCAAGTTTTTCTATAAATCTTAAACTATGATTGGCTAAGAACACATTTCAATAGCTCTACCCTATTATCTTTCACCATCATCGACACACGTACGTGAAGAATCTCTTGACATTCTCAATTGACACATTTGTCTAAAAAGGAAATTCTAGCCACCTCATTTGACCCACAAGTCATATCAACTACACCATGGAAGACCAGCTATGCAATCAAACAAAACGAGTGGTCACCTCATTCTGTCTTTAAATGTAGGTGAGATATCCTCCATCATGCTACTAAGCTAATAATATATACTAACATACGATAGTGGCACAGAGTTCACAGGTGAAAATCATTAAACCGACTAACATAGTGGACTTTTTCAGGCGCCTTTGCAATGGTGCCAAAATATTGTCATAATGGCAACGCACTAGGCCGTGGAAGTGATGTCTTACTGACCACTTCAATCTTCCTGTACTTCGAAAGGAGAGCTCACCCAGCATCCACCCCAGAGGTGGGGAAAACTTCTTTTTTGTTTTATTTTTTTTTTAAAAAAAAAAAAAAAAAAAAAAAAAAAAAGTAGAAGAGACCTTGCTTTTTGATCCTTTGATATCAGGTCTTCCTACAAAAGCTGAATTCAGTAAGGATTAGGCTGTGCATCCGTGGTTAGGGAGGAAAGCTGGCTTTGACTATCGCAAGACAGATAGTTTCGTTGCCAGAGGAAGTGAAGTAATAGAACTAAGCACATCACTCAATCCTAAATGATGCAAAAGACAACCTTTTGGGAAGCAAATTCTACTCATTACACAACACTACATGTCACATTACAATTTTCGACAGACATAGATGGCCACCCCATTCAATTCTACAGCGCCGTCTTCTTAGTTGATGGTTTAAATTGCTTCATCTCATACTTTGATACAGCTATTGATTTATTGGAAATTTGTCTACTTTAAGCGATTATTTTCATTATTGAGATGGAATCTTTATAAGAACAAGGTCAAGGTCTCTTTTTCTTAATAGCTTTCTTGAGGTCGCGAATAGTTTGATTGGAATCAATGGTATCGATTATGGCTTCGGCAATATATAAAGCTTCGGTTCAGTTGGCTCAGGAAACTCGCTGTTCTCGAGTCTTGCTTGGAGTCATTGCTCGGCAGCACCACGTATAGTCGAAGAACGGGAGACAGGACAGGACGTTCAGTTAGTTCAGGAGACTAGTTGCTCTTGGGGCTTGTGGAGGTAAGATTGGTCATTGCTCGGCAGCACCGCGTATCGAAAGACGGTATGACAAAAGTAAAAAAGCGATTCACACCCGTGACCCATCCTAGGCATTGTCATGCGATTCACCCATGAGGCTAGGCATTGTCACGCGATTCATCACTTGATCATCATTGTCATAGCCACTTGGACGAGAGATGGTACTGGCGACTGTTCGATAGTTTTCCAAATCTGCTCTGATTTCACCGCAATTTAGCGAAAATGATTAGCAAGGTAGCGAAGAAGCCAGAACTTGGTCATGCTGCCGCAGATAAGCTAACTCTCTACAAAGTCTTCATTGACGAAGACAAGACCGTCATTGAGTCAGAAATTGTGTCGAAAGAGACTCTCGTACCCGCGTCAATGAGATATTTAATTCTGACCTTCCAAGGAAAACTATCCATGTTTTTGTCAAGCCACCACAGCGAGGTATGTATTTGGCTCTTGATGGACTGATTGTTGATATTTCTAGCTGATGAAGCTTGGTTTATATCTTAAACGGCCATGTGCATGATATCACCATTTGGTTTGTGTCTTGATAACTCAACGTTCTTTCTAATTATTCGCTTTTGATACTTAGCTCAGAAAAGAAAACTAGATGGAGATTCTGGTGAGTGCTTTTGGCCGAGAACCTGGTTATTGATCAATTTAGAGTGATGTGCAATAAATCAAGAATATTGACTTTGATCACTCTATCTCCTTTATCGGAGTCACCCTCTAAAAAAGCTCATCCAAGCATGAGTAGCAGAGGTGCTCTTAGGGATGCGATTACAGAAGCAGCAGGGCTTGTAACGAAAGGGATAGTGAATGGTAGCCCTGTCATCTCGCCTCTCAACTCGAAAGAGGGGGGTCAAGGTGCTTTCGTACATGAGGGAGGAGTTATCAGGAGATAGTATTTACTACAGAGATCTGAGCCTGAAGAGAAAGGGCGTGATGTTTTGATTTCCAGCACGTGCTGGAAGAAAACGAGCACAAACTTGTCGCTCATACAGCACAAACCTATTGCCCAAACAGCACAAACCTAATGCCCAAACAGCACAAGCTGATTGCCCAAACAGCGCGAACCTGTTCTGAAACAGCGTGAACCTGTTCTGAAACAGCACAAACCTTTTCTAAAACAGCGCGAACCTGTTCTGAAAACAGCACAAACCTATTGCACAAACAGCGCTAACCTGAAGAAAAGCACACAGGCTTAAAAAAATCCACAATCATCTGCATGCATAACAGGCTTCTTCTCTTTTCGCACTACCATTGCCATTGCCATTGCCATTGCCATTCTCATTCAATTCTCAGAGAACCTTCTGCATCATCCCTAAAGACACGCTTAATACCACGAACAGTTGACAGATTAACTTTATTTGTCTGATCTTGTCTCGCAAAGCGGCCATGTACTTTAATAATTCAGTAAATGCTCGGCATCTCTGCCTCTGCTTTCTCTTTATTACTAATGTTGACTATATATAGTCAAAGCCAACTTCTACTTCCATAGCTAGGCTTCTATATCTCTATATCTCAAAGATCTTAAAGACCAATAATGATTGTCTGTGACGCCAAGTAACACTGATACGATTGTACTAGATTCTTCTCTTGCCACTCTTCGTCATACTCTTCGCCATACTCTTCGCCATGCTCTTTGTCGAACAAGAAATTTTCACTCTTATCATTCATCGTTGAGTAAAAAAAAGGAATTGCGTTTCAAGGTCAGGCAGACTGATTCAGGAAGAGGAATGGAAAGTGGGTGCATGAAGAGAATGAATGAGAACAGAAAAAATTTTATTAAACAAAACAAGCATATGGACACAAAAAGTTTTATCGCATATTGAGCGTTCTCTCCTCCACGAGGGGAACAAACTGTTTTTTGTGGATTGAGTAAATGGGCTCAACATATTTAAAGATTGTTCCCTTTGTCTCTTTGCGAAGGCTGTTGCAAGAAGAATCTAGTACAATCGTATCAGTGTTACTTGGCGTCACAGACAATCATTATTGGTCTTTAAGATCTTTGAGATATAGAGATATAGAAGCCTAGCTATGGAAGTAGAAGTTGGCTTTGACTATATATAGTCAACATTAGTAATAAAGAGAAAGCAGAGGCAGAGATGCCGAGCATTTACTGAATTATTAAAGTACATGGCCGCTTTGCGAGACAAGATCAGACAAATAAAGTTAATCTGTCAACTGTTCGTGGTATTAAGCGTGTCTTTAGGGATGATGCAGAAGGTTCTCTGAGAATTGAATGAGAATGGCAATGGCAATGGCAATGGCAATGGTAGTGCGAAAAGAGAAGAAGCCTGTTATGCATGCAGATGATTGTGGATTTTTTTAAGCCTGTGTGCTTTTCTTCAGGTTAGCGCTGTTTGTGCAATAGGTTTGTGCTGTTTTCAGAACAGGTTCGCGCTGTTTTAGAAAAGGTTTGTGCTGTTTCAGAACAGGTTCACGCTGTTTCAGAACAGGTTCGCGCTGTTTGGGCAATCAGCTTGTGCTGTTTGGGCATTAGGTTTGTGCTGTTTGGGCAATAGGTTTGTGCTGTATGAGCGACAAGTTTGTGCTCGTTTTCTTCCAGCACGTGCTGGAAATCAAAACATCACGCCCTTTCTCTTCAGGCTGATTTACTACAGCATTGTTAGTGTGGCTTGCGAGCTCCGAAATTCTGGTGAAGGATTCCAAACTATTGACTGCCCCTGAGGGTCGTATCTTCCCTGTTGCCAGAACAAGGCATCTTTATATCAGAAAAGAATATAAAGAGCTTTATGACCATATTACATCTAGATTCAGCACCCCTCATGAAGCTAGTTTGAACCGAATTTTTGTCACTGGAACGCCTGGAATTGGGAAGTCAGCCTTTTTGGTCTATTTTGCCATCCGGCTCCTTGCAGAGCATGACGAGGAGAATCCACCGATTATTGTTTTCCATGAAAAGAAGAATACCGAATGTTATGCCTACGGAGGAACAACTTGCCAACGTTATGGAGAGAGAGTAGATTTCAAACATTTTCTTGCGCAACGTGAAACGCGGTATTTAGTTGACAGTGGTTACCATCCTCAACCAGATCAAGCCAGGACGACATTTTCGGCATCACCAAAAACTCTCTATGGGCAGTATGATGAATTCACAAAGGAAACTTCACGCAGTGGCTACTATCACATGTCACTCTGGTAGAGCCAATGTAGAGTATTATCATCCAGTGGATGAAACATTTTTGGAGGAACTTTTTTGCAACTTGGGGGAGTGCCAAGGCAGGTCCTACAGGGTCCAGCTAATGTACTATCCAAAAATCAAAAAGATATTGTCAGCGCTAGAAAGGCTGCATTTCAGTTTGTTAATGATGCCATTGGCGTACTCCAGTCCCCAAGAGATCTTTCAGACCTCTTTAGAGTAGGAGATAAAGCGGGTGGTCATTTACTCCATAGAGTCCCCACTTCTGACCACCTCGACTTCCACCTGGTATGGGCATCTCCTTATGTTCGATCAAGGATCATCATGGAAATAGATCAGACTCGGATCGACGTGTTGAAGCGACTTGTCAAAGTTGGCAGTGAAAGAGTTAAAGGACCTTCGTTTGAACTCCATGTTCACTATTTAATTCGATGTGGTGGACTTAGATTTCCATTTAAGGACCTACAGTCAGACGAAACAGCATTCCTTGATCTTCCGAGGGACTCGGAAGGATTATTTACCAGGACTACAGCAGATTTTTCAACATTCTCCAAAACAACAGACAA